AGCACTGTTCGGTAGTCTCCTGCAGTAGCAGTGTTCCGTTGTCTCCTGCAGTAGCAGTGTTCGGTAGTCTCCTGCAGTAGCACTGTTCGGTAGTCTCCTGCAGTAGCAGTGTTCCGTTGTCTCCTGCAGTAGCAGTGTTCGGTAGTCTCCTGCAGTAGCACTGTTCGGTAGTCTCCTGCAGTAGCAGTGTTCCGTTGTCTCCTGCAGTAGCAGTGTTCCGTTGTCTCCTGCAGTAGCAGTGTTCCGTAGTCTCCCGCAGCAATAATAATAACAATAATATCACGTCACATCCGATGGCACAATATAAACAACCCCGTTTTCTTTGTTTCTCGTGAGTGAGGGTAAAATAAAAACATTATTGCTCTTTACGTCTTGCTTCCTCTGTTCTTCCCCCTCCATTATATATATTTTAGCTTCTTGCTCATACGGTGGGCATTTTTATGTACAAAATAAGAGAGAGAGATAGGCCAGGCCCCCCTCGCCATGCATCATTGAACCTTGCCAATGGACGATCAGTTGTTTTTTTGCCTCACAGATATCCACAGTGGCGCGCGCCAAGCTGACATACCCGCCACCTCCGATTCTCTCCGTGACTGACTTAAACAAATACTTATACTAAATTCTCATTCTATTTAATATTTTATTTACTCACACATCAAGATTAAATAAAGATCAATGCAAACTGTTAGCTATACAGTGGCAAGTTAGGTTAGATTGCTTTATTATAATGAGACATGGGAGGAAGGGAAGTCATGTGGACAGAGATATGGAGAGGGCGTGGCCACGTGTGGCCGGGTCAGTTACTGCTAATATACGGCCAGTTTCCTGAAATTAGGAAACTTTGAAATGGAGAACCAAACCACCATTTTTTCCCCCTGTCTTAAATATAAATAATGTCATACATAACGATCGGAAATTAATGTGTTTTTAGGGCGTATAAACTGAAGATGATTTGTTTGTTTATGTGTTTGTTATTATTTAACTTGTTCGTGCTTGTTGGGTAGAGCATTAGCTCCTCAGTCCCGCCTCACCAGCTGTTTGTTTCTAATACAGTGAATCTTGACCCCTCTGTTTCTTATCATATTTATTGTTGAAATAATTGCGGGAAAACGCTGTGCGTATTAGTTAGTGGCTTTAGGCAGAACACACATGGTATGAGAGTCAAAGCTACCTAATTGTCGAATGACCTCACAAGTAATTAACAGCTGTATGTAAACTAACAGTTTTAAAGGGGTCCCGGTAGTAAAGGCCACTCCACTCTCGTTCACTCTCGTTCTCCACTCACAGTCGAGAACTCCGGGTTCGAATCCCGGACGGAATTTGTTCCTATCACATAATGCTCCTGTTTATTTAGCAGTAACTAGGTACCCAGGAGTTAATCGAAGTACCGACGAGTTAATCAGCTTGTTGAGCGAGTGAATTCTGGGGAGGAGGGGGGTCAGCATTTCCCCCTGGGGGGGGGGTGGCCTCGATCTATGCTATGTTGTGGCGTAATGGTCCACGGTAATGGTAATGGTAGCTTGGGAGTACCAAGTGACCTAGCTACTGATTACTCATTGATACATGTGATTTCATTGTTCATTATTATTATTATTATTGAGAAAATCAACTGGAGTTCTGATGTGACTTGAACCCGCGACCAAGAGACTGGCAGCCGGTGCCGCTAACCACTGAACCACCCTGACTAAACACGTACAGGGTAGTCCAGTAATTAGCGTCAGCAGCTGGGAGTCTCTGGGTCGCGGGTTCAAGTCGCCTCACAGCTCCAGTTGATTTTATTATTGATATGTATCACCTTAGTGCGATTTCTCCTTGTATTATTATTATTATTATTATTATTATTATTATTATTATTATTATTATTATAAGGGGGAATGATAAAGAGGGGTATAAGAGAGAGGGGGAAATGGTAGATGGGGGAATGATAAAAAGGGGAATGGTAAAGATGAGAATAATAGGGAGGGAGAAGCGGTCACCCGCGCCGGCCTGTCTCTACTGCACTTTTTATTGTCCTGTTCATTATCTCTGTGTTGACCCGGGAGATGAGAGATGCTGCTATGATAACTGAGGAGATGAGAGATGCTGCTATGATAACTGAGGAGATGAGAGGAAAACATTACCCATTCCCAGCACGGGGGCGCTATTTTGTGTGTTTTTGGTGCGCCTCGCTCAGGCATTCCCTAGGGGCGCCTCGCTCAGGCATTCCCTAGGGGCGCCTCGCTCAGGCATTCCCTAGGGGCGCCTCGCTCAGGCATTCCCTAGGGGCGCCTCGCTCAGGCATTCCCTAGGGGCGCCTCGCTCAGGCATTCCCTAGGGGCGCCTCGCTCAGGTATTCCCTAGGGTCGCCTCGCTCAGGCATTCCCTAGGGGCGCCTCGCTCAGGTATTCCCTAGGGGCGCCTCGCTCAGGTATTCCCTAGGGGCGCCTCGCTCAGGTATTCCCTAGGGGCGCCTCGCTCAGGCATTCCCTAGGGGCGCTTCGCTCAGGTATTCCCTAGGGGCGCCTCGCTCAGGCATTTTCTAGGGGCGCCTCGCTCAGGCATTCCCTAGGGGCGCCTCGCTCAGACATTCCCCAGGGGCGCCTCGCTCAGACATTCCCCAGGGGCGCCTCGCTCAGACATTCCCCAGGGGCGCCTCGCTCAGACATTCCCCAGGGGCGCCTCGCTCAGGCATTCCCTAGGAGCGCCTCGCTCAGACATTCCCCAGGGGCGCCTCGCTCAGACATTCCCCAGGGGCGCCTCGCTCAGACATTCCCCAGGGGCGCCTCGCTCAGACATTCCCCAGGGGCGCCTCGCTCAGACATTCCCCAGGGGGCGCCTCGCTCAGACATTCCCCAGGGGGCGCCTCGCTCAGACATTCCCCAGGGGCGCCTCGCAACCTTCGCCAGATATCATTGACAACAAAGGCCGCGTCTCCACCGCCGAGATAATCATATTAATCTTAATCTGTCGGCATCGCCGCCGCCAGAATTTTCTAATACCAATTTCGCAGCTTAACGCTTTGAAGGATTTCCGATGAATACTGGTTAGTACTGGGGCGCCCCCTGGACGCTGATGGGGGTGGGTGAGTACTCGTTAGTACTGGGGCGCCCCCTGGACGCTGATGGGGATGGGTGAGTACTGGTTAGTACTGGGGCGCCCCCTGGACGCTGACGGGGGTGGATGGGTACTGGGGCGCCCCCCTGGACGCTGACGGGGGTGGATGGGTACTGGGACGCCCCCCTGGACGCTGACGGGAGTGGGGGAGGGTGGGATTGCAGGCAGGATGTGCACTAGTTGGTACTGGTGAAATAAGGTCTTTACTATCAGTGATGGTGCACCTGGCCCACGTCACCAAGGGCCGCCCTCACTGCCTCCACCTCACCCCAAGACGCGGTCCAGGAAGCTCAAACTAAGGTTCTATTTTTGAACAAATATGTAGCAACACGAGAGTCTGGCAACATGAAGCTTTACCTTCTAAAACTGGGCTCTTTTTATAAGTTTCCCAGAAAAAGAATACAGCTTTAATTCCTAGACGGATCCCCGCCAGATGAAACAAAAAAGGAATATTGGGTGAAGACAATTGATTAGGTCAATTTGCTCCTTGGAGAGTGCGGGGCAGAACTCCAGGGGTTCCCACCCTCCCAAAGGGGAGGGAATCTCCCCCCCCCACAACTGTTCTCCCCATGTGTACTGAAGACTTTACCATCTCCTCCCCATACACAAATTTACCTCATCATTATATATATGTAAGCCAAAATGTAGGACTGGGAATAGATGCTTGTCCACCCACAGCGTTATAAACCCATGGAACTGCCTACCCGCCGAAGCCGTAAATGCCAAAACTCTGTTAAATTTTAAAGTATAATAGGAAAAGATCAAGGTAAATTGGGGGACCTTCGACAAGCCGCCGGTTTCCTGTCCTCGTCGAGGCCACTAGTGTTAGTGGCCCTCAATATACTATATACAGTATACAGTACTATATGGACATATATAATATATATTTATTTTACAAAGAGCACTATCTTGGAATAAGTTAGGTAAATAATTAGGTAAATTAGAATAAATAAATTAGAATAAATTTACAAGGAGGTAAAACTGGATAGAAACTGTGAAGCTAAGAATTCTTGACAAACTCCTTGACGGGTGTCCAAGTTTTAAACATATTGTAGCGTAGTTGAATGGTGAGTAGGAGCTGGTGACCACTGGTCAGGAGCCTGGGCCCCTCAGTGACCACTGGTCAGGTTAAGCAGTTTGAATATACGACCCGCCTAACCAAATGCTGTGCAACAACTGGCCTATCATCGAGGAGGCTGTGCAACAACTGGCCTATCATCAAGGAGGCTGTGCACCAACCTGGTGCATCTTCCCACCAGTACTTCCTCTCTGTGCTATCTAATTTGCCATATACAGGGTTAAGCTGTACACTGGTGAGTTTAATAATTTATTCCTTATAATTTTTATTCATTATTATTAATTTGACTAGATTTATAAATCACAAATAAAATTGAATTATTGTGTAACCCAATAAACCTTCAATATGTTGGTTGCAAGTACAGTAATAAGAACTGATTTTTGGAAAGCTCTACCAAAGGAACAACAGCATGCTATAATGAACCAGAATACTGTATTAGCATCAATTCAGTCAGCATTCCATTTTCTAGGAATGAATATCTAGATTTAAATGGAGTATGTGCACATTTACAAGTGCTGGTTTGTTGCTATTAAATTAATTCCTTGCCTCATTTGTATGTACAGTTGGAATAATTGTTTACATTCTAATTTCAGTGACTGCCCAGGTTATGATGGATGTACAGGCCAGCAGGGCACTACCAGTGACAGTTTCACTATCGACACAAGCCATAACCTTCCATGTTAATCTGTATAACAAAGTTATAACTGGCTACAGGTAAAATCCAAAACAGGAGGAGGGAAGGGAACTATGAGGAGAAAGCGCTAAGCCACTATGACTATACTGTATAGCCAACTGGCAATTTTATAACTTGTGGAAAAGAAAACATGTATAAATTCATAAATCATTTGTAATATATCAAAACTTAACATTCAACTGCATACTAATATTTCATAAAAAAAATTATAATTACATTACATCAGACAATGATCATCAATGCCCATATTGTCTTGTACTGAAACCAAATAAAACTGCAGTTCTTTTTGCAGCATTATTCTAGAAATGCAGAATTATTCATTGATTTCTACTTTACAACAAAATAGTTTATCAATAATACAAATATTTCACTCTTGCTTCTTGTTCTTGAAAAGTGGGAGAGCATTACACATCCAGCATGGATGCCACTTTAGTTTTCGAAATTCATCAATACTCTTGTAAAAATCATAGTAAGTTTCTTTTATTGCAGTTTCACGAGGAAATCCACGAAACCAGTCCTGCAAGAGATTGGCGAGTTCCTTCTTACTTTTGAAGATAAGTCCATTTTCATTGTGGTGTACTAATTCAGGAAGGGCAGGGTAATCTATAGCTGCTACTGGGATACCACTTCCAAACATGTCCACCACTTTCATGGGTAAGTCCAGTCCTGATGAGGAATAGTGTAAACATACTCCAAAATCAGCAGAGGCAAGCAATGTAGGATAATCTTCAGCAGACATCCAAGGGGTAATAACTGCAACGTGCATCCATTGCTGCTCCGACATCATTGACGTGTAGTAAGACTTTAGGGGACCTTTGCCCGTAACTGCAACTATAAGAGGAGGGTAGTGACTGGGAAACTCCTGCCGTACACGCTCATAATCTTGCAGAGCATAGAAAAGAATAGAAAAATCTTCATCTTCAGTCCAACTTGTAGAAGACACAATAAGCGCTGGTCGATCTTCACATTCTGATACTCTCCCATCTGCGTATCTCTCTGTAAAGACTGTCTTGTCTGGTGAAGAACCAGAAAAACAAGAGTATGTTGAAGACAGCTTCATGAGGAAGTTATGTTTCTCCTCGATTGATATTGGATGGAACCTTTCAGCTGGACGATCATACAACACTGATAATTTCCCAATTCCCCAGTTTTGCTCTAAATCAATCTTCATAGCTTTTGTAACGCACAATCCACCATGTGCTAGCTTACCAAATAATCTTTCTACAACTCGATAGATAAACACGAGAGGGTGATTCTTTCTTAATGAAAGAGCAAGGATAGTATAACCGTAGTTATGCCAGTCCACAAGAAACTTGGTTCTAGAGAGTAAACAGTACAGCCAACACACAGGCATAGCTGGGACTCCTGGTGGGTTTTGCAAGAGGAGGATTTTGCTTCTTGGCCCAGTGAGTAATGTGAAAAACAGAATTATTGTTTGCCAGATAACTTTGGCAACAAAAGCTAGTAATTTAGGAAGCTTGTTAAATACATCAGGGGATGGTCTCATGTATGTAAGGGTGATATGTTCATCTTTAAGGACTTCTATTTGAGGCTTGGAGCCTGCAAATCCCACAAGGTTGACCTCAAAGCCTTCTTCCGAGAGTGAAAGAGCATGGTAATTCATGCGTGGGGAACGACCCAGATCGCCCAGCACTACTACAGTCACCTGCTCACGCTCCCTCTCATTGTCTCCCATTTTTGTCAACCTGCAAAAATTTTAATTAAATTTGGTAAAATACCTGATACGTATAGCACAAAAATTATTTCATGCATTACTATTCAGTATACATTAATTCATTTTATATTACTGTATTACTATGAATAAAAAAGTATAGAGGGTTATAGGCACACTGTGGATGTATAAGTTGCATCACAATCTCATAGGTAATGTTGCATTTTTGTTGGCTAGTGCCTAAACAAGAGGTGTACCAATACCAATATTCTGACTGATATCGACACTCTTACAGTTTTATTAACAGATACTCATAATGATACAGTATTGCAAAAATAAGCCTATACTACCAGTACCAATATACTGGTACACAAACAAATGTCGTTGACCACCAGGTGCTCAATGGGGTGTCATACTACAGAACAATACCAGTACGTATATAACAAACCAAAGAAGATGCCAACTTTACTATTTGCTGATGATGCTACCTTTATCTATTCTGACCCCAACCCCCACACACTAAATAATATTGTCAATGGTGAATTAAAAAATGTACACTCATGGATGTCAACCAACAAATTCCTTGGCCTATACACAGACAAGAGGCTAAACTCCAGCACCCAAATACAACACACGGCCAAAAAAAAAAGTCTCAAAAACAGTTGGTATACTTCTAAAATCAGATACAATAATGTTCCCTACTCTACTCTCTTCTCATCATACTACGAGCTAATCTATCCATATCTTACATGTGGTATCTGTGCATAGAGTTCAACCACTGCAAATTACCTCAAGCCCATCATCATACAGCAAAAAACTGCTATCAGAACTATAAACTATCTTCAGACAACACACTGCCCGCACCTCTGTTTAGGTCCATTAACATGCTACACACACACACACACACACACTCCACACATTCTCATGTGCTATTTACATGTAAAAATAAATCTTGTTCTTAAATGCTAATCTTGATCTGAAACTTTTCCTTGATAGGTATAATGGAACCCATGAGCACCACACCAGAAATAAATATCTCTTTTGATATCCCCAGCGTCAAACTAAATCTGTGCAAACACTCAGGCAAAGTGTTTGCCTTTCCTGTCACTGGAAAGGCAAAGAGTTAGGAGTGACATAATAGAGGTTTACAAGTGGATGAATGGACAAAAATGGATATTAATAAGGTATTAAAAGTATCAACACAAGACAGAGCACGAAACAATGGGTATAAATTAGATAAGTTTAGATTTAGGAAAGACTTGGGTAAATACAGGTTCGGTAACAGGGTTGTTGATTTGTGGAACCAATTACCTGCGTAACGTGGTAGAGGTGGGGTCCCTCGATTGTTTCAAGCGTGGGTTGGACATGCATGAGTGGGATTGGGTGGTTATAAATAGGAGCTGCCTCGTATGGGCCAATAGGCCTTCTGGAGTTACCTTTGTTCTTATGTTCTTACTCCGTGCAAATAAAAGGACCCGTTCTTTGGAACTCACTCCCTGATGAATTAAAAAAAAATCCAATTGATGCCCTATTCAAAAGTAAAACCAAAAAGTATCTAATTTCTTCCTCATAGTTTCCTACCTTGTGCTTCAAACTCACACTGTATCTTGTACTACCCACTTCCCCAATATTAGTAGACATTAATATACATACGACTAAAGACATCTTTACCAATGTAATCACCTCTGTCAATTTATATTGAAGTTATTTGTTGATATAAAACATTGCTACAATGTACCTTTTCATCTTACCTGGTATGATACATCAAAGACCTGCAGGAAACACTACGCATGTTAGTGGCTTTGCATGAATGTAAATATACCAATCTTATGTAATCTCACCAACCCACTCTACCTTCTTGTGAATATTTAGTATTATTAATATAAAATATTAACAATTTTAAAACAAAAAAAAATATTATACAGCACAATGCAGAGAGCTGAAGCTTCAAAGCCGTAATACTTTTATGTGAAGTGAGGCTTACCTTGTGTTGTCATTATATAATGGATGATAGAGCCAGTCCTCACTTTTGATTGTAGTTATGACTAGTGATTGTGTGTTTACTCATACAACTCGCCGAGGAGCGGTGACCTCTAATCACTTGGACAACACCTGATATCAGGATATGAGATTTTGTCTATGTACTCACCTAGTTGTACTCACCAAGTTGTGCTTGTGGGGGTTGAGCTTTGGTTCTTTGGTCCCACCTCTCATCTGTCAATCAACTGGTGAACAGATTCTTGAGCCTACTGGGCTCTATCATATCTACATTTGAAACTGTGTATGGAATCTGCCTCCATCACATCACTGCTTAATGCATTCTATATGTTAACTCCTCTAACACTGAAAAAATTCTTTCCAATGTCTCTGTGGCTCATCTGGGTACTAAGTTTCCACCTGTGTCCCCTTGTTCTTGTTCCACCCGTGCTAAAGAGTTTGTCTTTGTCCACCCTATCAATTACCCTGAGAATTTTGTAGGTGGTTATCATGTCTCCCCTTACTCTTCTGTTTTCCAGGGATGTGAAGTTCAACTGTTCGTTTAGCATTTCACATTTCTTCTTCGTTCTCAGTAGTCCTGTTTCATGTCTCAATCTCTGAATTTTATCTTTTACATACAGCTTGCTTTTTAAATATAATATTAGTTGTGTATATATGCCAGGAAAAGGTTTCTGAACATTAAATATATCAATATTTAAAGTTATGCATAAATTACCAGTATATTTAGAGTATATAATATGTTAAGAAACTGCTAAGTACATTTTATAGAGATGTAGATTTTTATTACCACAATTGGCAATATACAAAGGATATATAGAATCTGTTGTTAATATACAGTACAATCATTTACAGATAAGGATAATGCTGGCAAGATTAGGCAGATAAATTTTCAGATCACCTAACTGTTCAGAATTATCTTCATAATAATGGTACATTAACTAATTATAACAGTAATTTGAGAATAGGTTCTATATATGAAATAAAGATACATTGTGCATGGGTGGAAATAATGATTAATTATTAATGATTAAATAATGGTGGAAAAAAACAGGAATAATGCTGATTATAATTTCAATTAATAAATTATATAAAATATATATATATATATATATAACATATATATATAAATAAGGTATGTATGTATGTTCGAACAGCAATGCAAATCGCTGTAGCAGCCTTCCTGTCTTCCTCCTCGGCATCCTTGGCATCTCGGCTCCTCGATAACCTTGTGAAGTAAATTCTACCAGCCTACTTAGATCAGCTAGCAGGCATACACCACGATCCCAATTTTATACGCTGTGCCACCAAGTGGGCCTCTTGTGCAGGCTCATAACCTCAACCACCACCCTCGAAAGCCCACAAGCAATCCAGCTGGAATGGCCCTATTATAGACTAAGTTGCTGCAGAGTGCCTAGGTGCTGCAACAACACAACACGACATTGTTCGCCTCACAGCAGTAGCAGCCCCACATGCAGGGGACTTCCTGTTAGCAACCCCCAATGTTGGCAACCGGCACACGTCTCACACCACACGCCCCTCCGAATTGCTGTGGCCCTCTGCCTTGCTGCCTCAATCCACACCAAATATATAGGTGTACTGTATTTGTGGCAAGGTGATGGCCGACAAGTACGGCCACCATGGCCTACTCTGCCAAAGCACAGGGGAATGGCACTCTAGGCACAATGAAGTTAACATCATCATCAAGAGGAGCCTCACCACAGCTGGATGTCCAGCCGAGAGAGAGCCCTGTTACCTAATGTACCATAACTCTGATGCTCTTATTGGTCGCACAGATGGTATCACAATGAACCACTGGAAGAATGGCAAGCAGCTGGTATGGGACCACACATGTGTATCAACCCTGGCTAACATCTACATTGACCTCAGTGTTGCACAACCGGGTGGCACTACCACTCACAGGGAATCGGTCAAATCCTTTAAGTACAGAGATCCGGATCACCACTATAATTTTATCCCTATTGCTTCTGAAACACACTGCGCCTGGGGTAAGAGTGACACCAGTTTTTTTTTTTTCAAGGAACTGGCGAGACAAGAGACCCTAAAGCTACCACCTTCCTTTTCCAGTGCCTCAGCATGGCAATACAGAGGGGAAATGCTCACCGCATTCAGGGTTCCTGCCTGTCATTTAAGGAGCTGGAGGAACTCGACAATTCACTCGACATAGGATGACAACTAGACAAAGCTGCTTGCAGAACAAATCCACAAGGGCCGTGACGAGGATTCGAACCTGTGTCCAGGAGCATCCCAGACACTGCCTTAATTGTCCTGCAATGTCTGCTCGCAGACATTGCAGGACGATTAAGGATACAGAATACACCACAAGGTACAGAACTGCAAGAGCCAGAGGCCAGAATCGACGACTGCCACAGTCCACATCAGCTGAGGAATTGAATGCTGTAGCGGCCTGCATGGGGGGGGGCAGGACCTTGTACTATATCCGAGGTCTTGTGCTATATAAGGCCTCAGATATCATGTATCAGGCCTAGGAAAGTTAGGTTAGTTTAGTTTGTCTTGGCAATATACCGTAAGTAGAAAATAGTTTTCTGGTTTGTCCAACTCAAGTGCTGATTTCTACTTTCTAATTTCGTTGTACTGTACATCAGTATATATACTGTACTATGGTCCTCATCGGTAAATAATATGCAGTGTTTTTTGTCCCAAAAACGTTGGTTTTGTGATGATTTTTCATGGTCCAGAAACGTATCCCCCATTTATAGCATGGCGCCTATGGGAAATGTGGAAATGCTATACGAACACAGGTTCAGAATATAACCTGTTCATAGTAGGGGGGACTGCTTGTACTACCCCTTTTTTCTTTTATTTAAAACACAACTATACAATAGGTACATACAAGAAAGGTAGGAAATATCCTCATCTACAGCCGATAAAATCCTAACAACTATCATCAAACAATAATTACGATCATTCTGTGCATCAATGTACAAACATGAAACCTTGCAGGGTTTATACTTCACACCAATCCAACTGGTGTTGTTGATACTGTATAAATATTATAAGAAAATATATGAGAGAGCAGCAGGCCTATTTACCCATATATATATAGCTCTCATTTATACCCAACCAAATGCACTCATATACAGTACTTTGTATGTATAAACTTCCTTTGAAACAACCCAATAATCCCATATTATGTTATTTTGTAATCTGTCCCCTAAATGTTGACCAGACCACACACTAGAAGGTGAAGGGACGACGGCGTTTCGGTCCGTCCTGGACCATTCTCAAGTCGATTGCGAGAATGAGAATGGTCCACAATCGACTTGAGAATGGTCCAGGACGGACCGAAACGTCATCATCCCTTCACCTTCGAGTGTGTGGTCTGGTCAACATACTTTAGCTACGTTATTGTGACTCATCGCCTGTCCCCTAAATGTTTGAAGAATCCTTAATACTATAAAATTTGTGACTTTCTAAATATTAATAATTTTCTTTAAATGGGTCGAGTCGATCATTCTAGAAGACCTGTGATTGAAGAAACATGCACCAGTGCAAGAGCACAACATTGTGTTGAATCATGCCAAATGAACTCGCCTACTCAAGCCTGCTTGAGTAAGACAAAGACAAAAAGAGTAGTAAACAAGTGCAATTCGATGATAAAAAGAGTAAATTAACACCCTTGTTATTAACTTTATCCAAACAAATTTATTACATTCGCAGTCTTCACATGTTACTTGAACCCCTGTACCAATATTGGTGGAATTGACCTATTTTTGCAACACTTTTTCTAATACTGCTCTAACACATGACAATATTAGGCATCAGTATAGAAGAATCGGTATTTTTTTATCACTATACAGGCACTATATCATTTCTATATCAAAATTATATTTACGGTATTGGCCAATGATTGTCATCACTAGCATATGCACACTACCATACCTGTTTCATTTAAAAAATTCATGACTGATGGTTACCTCTCAAAGTAAGGACTGATTCAACACAAATATTTCCTCCGGGAGAAAACATGAGGATTCCGTTATCATCTCTCCATCAATGACTCCTTCTGACACTATTACCTATTCCCCTGCAAAGTATAATAAAATTAAAATATTAGAAAGAACAAATACATATCTTATGCAATTTACTCAATATTATTAATAATATTGAAGAAAATATATATATATGCAACAAAATTTTTAATCCAAATTAATTTATATACAGTATAAACAAGACAGTACGTGTTTAGAAAATATAGATTTTGGTGAATAAAGGTACATTCTTGCAAAGCCACTGACATGCAGTGTTTCAGGCAAAACATTTATTTACCCAAATTAGTGATAATTTTCCATCATGTTTCCTGTAACCTGGTGTTCTTAGTCCTTATAAAAATAATGTAAACAATCATTTGAAATTAAAGTGCTTTCTGGATAATACAGTACTGTCCAGTACTTTGATTTTATTGATCACCAATGTTGATTTTAATTGCTTAATTTTACATTGCTGAAATCAGGTAAATAGCCAAAAAAGCAATTGCAATTGACCTATGGGGGACCTTACACTTGATTATCTGTTCTCCTGGCAGTAAATAGGTACTCAGGAGTTAAGCAAATGGTGTGGGTTGCATCCTGGGAAGATCGGTTGTTGGCCTGATAGATAAACCTAACAAGTTTCCTGTCCCTGACAATGACAAATCACTATGACAAATAATGTATACTGGGTGCTTAAACCAATAACAAAATACCTGTATAGAATAGTTAAAAAAAAAAATTGTAAAAATTTTATCAGTACAGTATATGAAACAATATTTCCATTTCAACATGTAAATTGAATTAATCCGTTCCACACCCGCAAAAATATTAACTTAAAAATACATTTTATACTGAATAATACTCATTTTGTACTGGCTACAATACAGTATATCATACCTTGAATGAGGACTCTCGTTGAATATAGAAAACAGTGAGGAGGAGGGGAGAAGGAAAGGTGTTAATGTTTGGAAGGAGAGTCCCCGTCCATTACAACAACAGTGATGACATTTCTGGGGTACTCTCTCTCTCTCTCTCTCTCTTACGTTTTACAGGTATACCACTAGGACTTGGTTGTGACTCCCTGCTTGCTTGTCTTACTAAGAATCTGTCTAAAGATACTTGGTTTTCCCTGTTTTAACACTTCTGTAGTGAGACATCACATTCATTTACTAAGAATGATCTCTTGCTTTTTACTCTATCATCTTTCTCACAACTATTTTCTTAGGTTGAACTTTACCAATGACTTTCTTAGGACATATGGCATGATATATAAGAACAACTTTTTTATGTTTAAAAAAAAGCAGGCAAGAACAAAGAATTCAAAGCATGGTCTCAGTCGTCACTACGCGAGATAGACTTGTAAACAGAGTGCCTCGCCCCCAGCACTCATTTGACCCATACGCGCATGAACAGACGTCCTCTTCCAAGTAAACCGCCGTGCACCAATTCAAATTTTACAATGAATTTGACGTGTACCAAAAATTTTGTGTTCTAGGCCAGTCGTCAACCAAGGTTCCACTGTATTAAAAAAAAATAGACACAAGAACATGGTACAGTGATTGAATAGTGGTTACATAAAATGCATACTGTATTTCATAAAGCCACCTGTATGCAAAGTGTTTAGGGTATAAAATAGTGAAGCACTGCTGGGTATAGGCAGTAACTGGTTTCACTGGGTGATTATTTATTTATTTATATACAAGAAAGTACAGTGGGCTGTGAGAGTACATAATGCTGGTAATTACCTAAGTGTAGTTACAGGATAAGAGTTACGCTCGTGGTGTCCCGTCTTCCCAGCACTCTTTGTCATATAACACTTTGAAATTACCGACAGTTTAGGCCTCCACCACCTTCTCACCTAACATGTTCCAACTGTCTACCACTCTGTTTACAAAAGTGAATTAATTACTGTTTACTGTGTAGATTACATCAAGCAGACTAATAATAGCAGTATTGGTACTTTTTGGGGAATGGAAGCCAAACTGGCAAGGATTTGATATGTTGAATTTTACAACATAGGAATAGAGCTGTTTATAAATAACATTTTCAATTATTTGTGATAGTATTGGTATATGATATTGGTCTGCAATTGTTTATCTGCTATATCACCTCCATTATGAACTGGCATTACTCTTTCTTTTTTAAGGATCTCAGGAAGAATATGACACTAGAGATTTGTTGAATAGCAGAGATATGGGTGGTGCAAAGGCATAATCGGCCCTCTCATATACCATAGGTGGTATTTTACTAATGTTCCCAGCTTTGCTTTTAAGCGAGTGAATTATCGATATAATGTCTGTTGGGCTAACTGGTTAAAGGAGTAGAGAGTTAGGATAGCTGCCAAATAGCCTCATACTTGGCTACGTGAACGACAATAACCCTTCCAAGCTTTCCAACTCTAACAATGGTGTAAAAGACCCTTTTGTACATGGGTCACATCTCAACAGTGCCCAGAGAACAAAGCAATGGTGTTAGTGGCTATGCAAGAATGTTATTTACACATCAACATTGTTACTTTGTACATGTATAAACATAACAAAATTGTATTAATTACACAGGACAAAAAATATGCTACTGTAGTTATACAAGTAATCTGTGGTGCTGGGTCTGGTCTATATTGTGCTATATCTGGTCAGTGGAGGCTACTAGTGTGGCCTCCACTGCCTCCCACCACTAGTGTGGCCTCCACTGCCTCCCACCACTAGTGTGGCCTCCACTGCCTCCCACCACTAGTGTGGCCTCCACTGCCTCCCACCACTAGTGTGGCCTCCACTGCCTCCCACCACTAGTGTGGCCTCCACTGCCTCCCACCACTAGTGTGGCCTCCACTGCCTCCCACCACTAGTGTGGCCTCCACTGCCTCCCACCACTAGTGTGGCCTCCACTGCCTCCCACCACTAGTGTGGCCTCCACTGCCTCCCACCACTAGTGTGGCCTCCACTGCCTCCCACCACTAGTGTGGCCTCCACTGCCTCCCACCACTAGTGTGGCCTCCACTGCCTCCCACCACTAGTGTGGCCTCCACTGCCTCCCACCACTAGTGTGGCCTCCACTGCCTCCCACCACTAGTGTGGCCTCCACTGCCTCCCACCACTAGTGTGGCCTCCACTGCCTCCCACCACTAGTGTGGCCTCCACTGCCTCCCACCACTAGTGTGGCCTCCACTGCCTCCCACCACTAGTGTGGCCTCCACTGCCTCCCACCACTAGTGTGGCCTCCACTGCCTCCCAACACACCACAGAACTGAGAAGTCACAACAATGTGGCCTGGTATATGATTACCGACTAGAGGGAGGTGTGGTGGTGCAGGGGTAGTGCGACAGGTGTTTGAGAGAGGGACGTTACCACCACCCGCGGGGCCTCACGGTGTACTGAACACCTCACACCATATACACGCTAGAGGGAGCACCCAGCCACGCCAGTACACACACATGCGTCACCTCACTTATATACAATACAGTATATGTGCTTGCAGGGTTGAGCTCTGGCTCTTTGGTCCCGCCTCTCAACCGTCAATCAACTGATGTACAGATTCCTGAGCCTACTGGGCTCTATCATATCTACATGTATGGAGTCAGCCTCCACCACATCACTTCCTAGTGCATTCCATTTACTACCCACTCTGACACTGAAAAAGTTCTTTCTAATGTCTCTGGCTCATTTGGGTACTCAGCTTCCACCTGTGTCCCCTTGTGCGTGTGCCACCCGTGTTAAATAATCCATCCTTGTCCACCCTGTCAATTCCCCTCTTGTACTCACCTAGTTGTGTTGCCAAGGGTTGCGCTCGGCTTTTTCGGTTCGCCTCTCATCTGTCAATCAATCAATCAACTGTTACTAACTACTAGTAACTATTCCCTCCCGCTCCCCCTCCCCCTCCCCCTCACACACACATGAATGATGTAATAAAACTAAAAGAGGAAACAGAGGCCAGACACAGCATACTGAATGGGAGATGAAGTACTTCACGAAACAGATAGAGAGAAGGATCTAGGAGTTGATATCACACCAAATCAGTCTCCTGAAACCCATATAAAAATAATAACACCTGCGGCGTATGCAAGGCTGGCATCAGAACTGCCTTCAGGAACCTGTGTAAGGAATCATTCAGAACCTTGTATACCACATATGTAAAACCAATCCTGGAGTATGCAGCCCCAGCATGGAGCCCGTACCTTGTCAAGCACAAGACGAAACTGGAAAAAGTTCAGAGGTATGCCACTAGGCTAGTCCCAGAACTAAGAGGCATGAGGTATGAGGAAAGGCTGCATGAAATGCACCTTACGACACTGGAAGACAGAAGAGTAAGGGGAGACATGATCACTACCTACAAAATTCTCAGAGGAATTGACAGGGTAGATAAAGATAAACTGTTTAACACGGTTGGTACGCAAACAAGGGGACACAAGTGGAAACTGAGTACCCAAATGAGTCACAGGCACGTTAGAAAGAACTTTTTCAGTGTCAGAGTAGTTAACAGATGGAATGCATTATGCAGTGATGTGGTAGAGTACATAAGGAAACTCCATACACAGTTTCAAATGTAGATATAATAGAGCTCAGTAGGCTCAGGAATCTGTACACCAGTTGTTTGACAGTTAAGAGGCGGGACCAAAGAGCCAGAACTCAACCCCTGCAATCACAACTAGGTGAGTACACACACACACAATAATGAGAGGGTTGTGACAGATTAGGATTGTAGGATCCTCCATGAGGACTTGAACAGGTTACAGAGACGGTCGGAGAAATGGCTACCGGAGTTCAACACGAACAAATGTAAAGTTATGAAAATGGGATCAGGTAATAGGAAACTAAAGGGGCAGTACACGATGAAGGGGAACTGCCTACCTGTGACGATTCGAGAAAGAAACCTGGGAGTGGACGCAACACCTAATCTGACTCCTGAGGCATATATAAATATAGGATAACGACAGTTTATTCCTCCAAGGAGTGCCGGACCAACCGGGCTGTGGTGGGTATGTGGGCCTGCGGGCCGCTCCAAGCAACAGCCTGGTGGACCAAACTCTCACAAGTCGAGCCTGGCCTCGGGCCGGGCTTGGGGAGTAGAAGAACTCCCAGAACCCCATCAACCAGGTACCAGGTAACAGTAGCGTACTACTCACACGGGAGACATCTCCCGTCACGCAGGGTGCAGTCGCACCTCCACAGATCTCCAGTATCATCCATTGATACTGGTGATGGCACTTACGGGCTATTCATGCCCGTGCCACCTTTTGGGTGGTTTAATCTTCATCAATCATCATCATCAGTAGCGAACTCAACACTGGCAAAAGTCGAATCCTAAGTAAGGAGGCTTTTAGGGCGCTTTACACTGCCTACATGAGATCAGTCTTAGAGTATCCAATAAACTGAATAAACATTTTATTTTATTTTTTTTTATTAGGGAAAGGGGGGGGGTGAAGGCCGCCTATAGGCAGGTATGGTCGTTTCGGATACGAGACGATTCGACGAAACTCGTTTTCTGTTTTATTTATTTATTTATTTATTTATTTATTCATTTATTTATTTATTTATATACAAGAAGGTACATTGGGTTTGAGAGAGTACATAGCATGATGTGTTTACATTCTTGTAATGCCACTATAGTACGCACGAGGTTTCGGGCAATTTGTTAGAACCGTGTATACTGCCAATCCCCCAATATTTATTTACCTAATCCAAACAACTTTACCATTGTGATCATTGCTGTCGTCTTATATGTGTTATCAATATGCTGTATTGTGCCTATTAATCTTTGTTAAATTATCAATCAAGCTGTCAATGCTATCAATCAGAGCTATCGACGTACCTACTAATCTCTCTCATTCTTGCAATGTACCTGTTAACATTTTATAAATTTTGCTAGACTTTACCTATCTAAAATTATCTAGTAGATTAAGGACCCGAAACGCTGCGCGTACTAGTGGCTTTACAAGAATGTAAACACCATGCTATGTATCCTCACATACTCAATGTACCTTCTTGTATATATATAAATAAATAAATAAATAAACATATATGGTATTAATGACGTGAACAATGAAGGTGAATGTGAATTTTAACTTTAGGTGTGGCCTCCTCTTTAATATTCATGAAAATTCTCAATGCTAGGAATTGTTAATAAAAATCTAGTTTACTTTTATTTTAACTATCATTGCTTATTTTTTAATTTAGCATATATGTGAATATGAGCAATTATTTTATATTTAAAATAAAGTTAAAATATACTGATTGACTGCAATATATAGAGGGTGGGGAGGTGAGTTGAGTTTACTTAGATTTACATCAAAAGAAGATATCTCAATTATGAGTGAGAGTTCAATATACTGAAGCAGATAACTGAGCTCCGCCTCAATGGCTGTATTGCCAAATGGTTTGAGAAAAAAAAATCAAGGGCATTGAGTTGAGATTCCTAAATAGTATGGTGGACTCATCACCTGGCCATTGATGTTAAATCCAAAAAGATCCCCGGAAGGCAAACCGATGACGTCACAATGACGTCACACTCCTCGCACTTACAACATATACATAAAAAGGCAAAAATATATATTTTATTTTTATGAAGATAGGTTAGATTAGATTAAGATACAAAATATTAGGATAGGATAGATTAGCATATAGGTAAGATATATGTTGATTAGGTAAGGATAGGATAGAATATATTTGTTTTAAGGAAATCTGTGACGTTGAACGGGATAATTTTTGGACCTTTTTTGAACTAGCTATTGGATGTTGTGGTGGTGGAGGCTGCATCTCCTGTCTCGTCTCCTGGCCAGTGATCTCCTCTCCTGCAGTATCCACACCAAGCTCTAGTGACATGTGAGCCCCATACACCTCTCATAGTTGTGGTTGCCTCTCCCACCATGATGGAAGAGCCGATGATGGTGGAGGAGGCGGAGGACGGGAGCAGGAGCCGTGCTGGTGTGTGTGTCCTCAACACCAAGTCTAAACCCATCCTGGAGGACTATGTCATCTCCAGCACCGTGCTGGGTCTGGGCATCAATGGCAAGGTGGTCGAGTGCTTCAGTAAGAGAGACCACAAGAAGTATGCCCTCAAGGTAGGCCTACGCATTTGTTCAGGGTTGGGGTAGGCCTAAGGAACAAACCATTGTAAAGATTTGACTTACCTGGCACAGGAGCGGGGCTGTGTGTCTGGTGGAGGACTAAGGTTTACCCTCCACCAGCCACAGCCCTGCTCCTGTGCCTGGTAAGTCCACTACGGGCTCACCATAGCCCGTGCTACTTGGAGCTTTTGTTCTGAGTAGCTAAATCTCAAACAACAACACCGTCAGACTGTTGGGAACAATCAAATCATACACAAAAGTTCAGCCAAAACTCTTCTAATTGTAAAAACTAAGTACAGTATAACCAAGTTTACCTGAGGGCCACTGTCTCTGGTGGCCTTGATGAGGACAGGACGCTGACGGCATATCAAAGGACAAACCCCATTGGTCCCGATGAAAGCTTGCCTGATCCTAACATCCCAAACCAATGTTTGGGATGCTACGATATCATTTGCAAGAGATGTGCCAGCGGATGAGAAGAAACTTGAATTTAGTAGCTGTGCCAGTCAGTGGCTGATGGGATTTCACTTGTTACCAACTACGAATGTTGCTTTTTTTATTGGGGGAGCCCCTACGCCTCCCCCCAGAAAGTTGGAGTTGCTGGGGAGCCTCCTGGACTCGCCCAGAAAATGGCATTTCATTACATTCAACGCTGGTTTTTTAGTTGTTCTTTGATCCTAAAATATTTATGCTACCCTTTATTTGATTACATTTATTTTGCCAGTAGCTTGTTTTGGCTCTTTATATTATCATAGATAACATTGTTTTTTTTTTTGTTTTTTTTTTATTATACCTCTTAAACAATTCTTTGGAAATGACCCCAGTTCTATATTTTTTCTCATATTCATGCATTTTATTGATATATTTAAATATTCCTTTAGTGAGCCAAGGATTGTTAATCCTTTTAGTTGTGACTTGTTTAGTTAGCATGAGCTAGTTAGTATTATAGAGGCTTAGAGTTTTGTGAAGAAATGTTTGTACTCCTGGGATGATGTTTACCACATTACCAAGTTTAGTCTCCCAGTTTGTTATCTTGAGATTATCTTAAGATGATTTTGGGGATTAGCATTCCCGCGGCCTGATCTTCGACCAGGCCTCCACCCCCAGGAAGCAGCCTGTAGCAGCTGTCTAACTTCCAGGTACCTATTTACTGATAGGTAACAGGGGCATCAGGGTGAAAGAAACATTTTGGCCATTTGTCTCCGCCTCCACCCGGGATCGAACCCGGAACCTCAGGACTAAGAATTCGAAGCGTTGTCCACCCAGCTGTCAGGCGCTGCCCGTAGCAGCTGTCTAACTCCCAGGTACCTATTTACTGCTAGGTAACAGGGCCATCAGAGTGAAAGAAACTCTGCCTATTTGTTCCTGCCTCCACCAGGGATCGAACCCGGAACCTCTGGACTACGAATCCGATGCGCTGTCCACTCAGCTGTGAGGCCCCTGTTACCATGTGACCAGCAATGGCAGCACAGTTGCTTATGGAAGCTTCATTGTATCAAGCTAATCTTCACTGTTTGAAGATGTGGTTTACTAATGCTAATTGAGAAAGAGTAAGCTGATCAAGCCCTATTAGTTATGGTCATTATTCATTTCTTCATTAATTTATATGGGCATCTTTTCATAGTCAATTGTAAGCAAAGTGAGTTGTATGAATTATGTAGAGGATCATATCCCATTGGTGCCTAGTGTTCCCCAATCTTATACTCTTGTTCATGTATTTCTTTATTTTCAATTGGCATAACAGGCTTAAAATCCTTCCATAGGTTCTGCGTGACAGCTCAAAGTCTAGACGAGAGGTGGACCTGCACTGTCGGGGTTCAACTTGCCCACATGTTGTAGCAATAATTGATGTCTATGAAAATGTTTACAACAATCAGAAGTGTTTATTAGTTGTTATGGAGTGGTAGGTACTCTTGAGAATATTTATATAATATAATTGTCTTATTATTTTCCATCCTGTTTGTTATCCAGGAAGTGTGATCGGTAGGTTCCTGGACTGTATTGTGCCAAAATATGGGATGCTCTTGAAGCATCTTGTATTACCTCTTTCCAGTACTGTACAGTACTATTGAGGTGGGAGCTGGAATATTGATGTGCTACATTTCCTGATTAAGACCCAATGTTTCACAAATTTTTATACGAAGTTAAAGTCTTTCATGTTTTGATTTTACGTTACTATTTGAGGAATGCTTCAAAGAAAAATTGTGAAAGACACTGATTATTTACTTCTCAAAAAAACAACAAAAAACTATGCATCAGACCCTCATCATAAATTATGCCACCCACCATAAGAATAGTTGCATTCTACTGCCTGGTGTGTATCTTGGTAAAACAAAGAATAAAAAAAAAAAATTGTATTTTGTGAGGATCAGTCTTGAGATACTGGAGCATGTGGCCCATTAATTTATTTTATTTTTGTAACTGCATTACTATAGTTGTGTTTATTTAGTCAGTAGCATAGATTGTTGCACATTTAATCTCTGAGAAGTATTTTATCATTCATGGGAGGTTTCCGTGCAGAATGTTGTGTAATATTAACTTCTAACATAAATGGCTTATTATAATAGTTTTGTGGGATGGGTAGACAATAGCCCAGAGAAAGGTAGTAGAACAGTGTACAGACATAAAGGTTAAGGCTATAAAAAATCACACTGGTACATTCACCGTATCTTCCACACTAACCAGTTTTATGTAGACTTAGTACAATAACTTTCCAGCCAAGCCTCCACAACTGTTTCCTACTTATTTGTATCACTAGATGTTGAGTGCTTCTAGTCTTTTGTCATATAAAAAAATATGTTAAATAATCATTCCTTAACAAGTGATTTGACTTAGATTTGCTCTCCCCCTACATCTCATATGCTGTTCACATGCAATTCTCACCTCATACACTTGCTATGTATGTCCATCCTCTTGATCAATCTCACCTCATACCCTCTATTTCAGTTTGAATGCTCACCACTTACTGTATCTTGATTCACTCTTCTCATTGTTATGATTTAAATACTTTTTACAATCCCACATCTCTTCATGACATGTTTATTTATTGCTCTGTCCTAATACCACATATGCATCTTGGATTGTCCATTTCCACAACAAATTCTTGATTTATGCATGTGAAATGCTAGCATCTCTTATTGTACATAGGCTATGCCTATGCTCTCAGCCCCAGGTGCAGACTCATGGAATTCTTTATTTATAAAGACATGTAAAAGGCCAGTAGTATAAGCACTCAGTTTAGTGTGGAGGAGACACATGGATACAGGTGAGATACCGGTAGCACTTAAATCAACAGGTATGGCACTCCTACACAAGGGAGGGAGTAAAGCGTTGGCTAAAAATTATAGACCAGCCGCATTAACTTCACATGTAGTGAAAGTTTTGAAAGAGTGATCAGGAGTCAGATCTTCAGTTTTATGGAGAACAATCTCCTTCACAACCCAGGTCAATATGGATTTAGAGCGGGGAAGATTGTGCCTTTTGCATGATCATGGAAGCATTAGAAAAACAGTTAAATGCAGATATGGTGTAAACTGACTTTGCAAAGGCATTTGATAAATGCAACTATGGAATGATAGCACATAAAATCAGATCAACAGGAATAACAGGTAAAGTAGGGCAATGTATATTTGATTTCCTGTCAAATACAATGCAGAAAGTAAGTCAGTCAAAATCAAGTCCAAGCACAGTCCTTGCACTACTGCTTTTTCTTATTCTCATATGAGATGTAGACAAAAATACAACTCACAGCTTCGTGTCATTTTTTTGCAGACTGCACTCAAATCAACATGAAAATTACTTGTGTAGAAGACATTGGAAAACTGCAGGCTGGTGTTATAAAAGGATTTTGATTGGGCAGCAGGAAATAACATAATATTTAACAGTGATAAATCCCAGGCACTTAAGTACAGTATCCATTCGATTTAACGACCTATAAGGGGCTCTACCTAGATTGTTAAATCTGGGGCTCCACTAAATACCGAGGTACAGTATTAAAATATTGGTAACTTTTTAGTTATATTTGTGAGGGCGACAGGATGGAAGGTGGATGGGCAGGATAATTGGCTGGCTGGTAGGCAGGCAGGTGGGTGAGCGGGCAGGTTTGTACAGAGTGGTGGCTGACTGGTGTGTGGGCAGATGAGAAGGGGAGGTTATCTTGAGTTTATCTTGAGATGATTTCGGGGCTTTAGTGTCCCCGCGGCCAAGTCTTCGACCAGGCCTCCACCCCCAGGAAGCAGCCCGTGACAGCTAACACTCGGGTACCTATTTTACTGCTAGGTAACAGGGGCATAGGGTGAAAGAAACTCTGCCCATTGTTTCTCGCCGGCGCCCGGGATCGAACCCGGGACCACAGGATCACAAGTCCAGCGTGCTGTCCGCTCGGCCGACCGGATATTACCCGGGAAGGGTACTATCAGGAGAAAGCACCAAGCCATTATGAGTATATAGTATAGCAAAACCAAGCAAATACTCTATAGTGTCGGCTAGAAAAATTATGGGATGGATTATGAGTACATTCAAATCCAGGAATCCCATCACAATGCTCATGCTGTTCAAATCACTTGTGCTGTCCTGCCTTGAGTACTGCTTGATACTCACTTTCCCTTTTAGAGCAGGGGGGAATTCCTCAAATAGACAGAATACAGAGAACATATACCACACACATGGGCACAATAAACCACCTAAAGTATTAGAACTGTCTCAAAGCTCTCAAAACGTATTTTAATGGGGATTAGACAGCTGCTACAGCTGCTTCCTGGGGGGGTGTGTAACAAAAAGGAAGCCTGGTCGAGGAGCGGGCTGCGGGAACGCTAAGCCCCGAAATCATCTCAAGATAACCTAAAGAGGGTCTGGCTACTGCCACGTGAGCCCCAGTGGCTCCCTGACTCCTTCCCCCAGGGCATCAGGGTGGTCTTCATCACCATAAGAACTGTTGGTGGAGCAGCTGGCTGACCCGGTCTGCCTTCCTCCTCCCCCAAACAAGGGGGAAAGGTGGGGCGAACTAGCTTGCGCTAGTTTCATGAATTTTTGTGAGTTTGTTTAATTTGTTGGGGGAGTTCTTTTAGCTGTTTTGAGGCTGCTGTCAACCAAGCAGTCGTCTGTTTTGTTTTGCTGACTTTCTGGGTGCCTTCCCTTGGTGGTGGCAGATGTGAATAAATTTACATAAAATTTTTCATAGTGTCATTGCCCACTGCTCCTCTCCGAGGGGGTCCAGGTTCTGGCTCGTGGTCACCGGTAGGTCAATGAGAACTCTGCGACTGATGGCACCATGTAGTCTGGCACCATACAGAATACTACCTTCAGGGAGCACCCAGAAATTGATATTTCATTACATTCAATGCTGGTATTTTGGAAAACCAGGTAGCTCCCTCTGTTGCCTTGATTCAATCAATCAGTAACTTTTGTTATGACTATTAATACCTGTACTGTATTATAATTCTCATTAGGATTACTGTTGTTTTCAGCATGGAAGGTGGAGAACTATTCCAGAGAATTCAGGATCGAGCTGATGGTGCATTTACTGAGCGTGAAGCAGCCTGTATCATGCGAGAAATTTGTGTGGCAGTTCAACATTTACATCTTCTCAATATAGCTCACAGAGATCTTAAGCCAGAAAATCTGCTCTATACCAGTTTGGGTAGGTGACTTGTGACTCAGAGCTGTTCAATGTTAGCTTTATTTGCTTGTTGTGCTAACCTAGTTCTTCATTGTGCATCCATTGAAGTAAATAATTTTAGTTTTAGAAATTGAAATATATAAATGAAATGTGTCTGTAAATGGAATTGTTAAAATGGTATTTACCAGGTTTACTTCCATGTGATAGCAAATGAAGGTTACTGTTAAAAGCTAATACAGTATAACCTATATCCAGGAGATTGGCTTCAGTCAAATTTATTTATTGACACTTTAATTAATCTTTGTAAATGTTACAAGTCATAATTTAATTTTGAGAGAATGGATTTCCACAGCTGACATAGTTGTATAAATTGAGGTCATGATGGTTAGGAAATCAGCTTGAGAAAGCTAGAGTGTACGACAACATACTGCATAGACTTAAAATCTTAGTTATGGATAAGGTCTGCTATGTTGGGTCTCTGGAAAGGCCACATTGGCAGAATGCCATTGATAACACTAAGGTCATTGTGCGTTCAGTCCCCGATTAATTTGAACGACTGAAGCGTTCAGTAGGAAGGTGGATCTAATCACACTGGCAAGAAAAGAACCCAGGGAAATGTGTGTGTGTGTGTGTGTGTGTGTGTGAGCCGCATCCAACAGTCTGGTTGACCAGTCCAGCAACCAGGAGGCCTGGGCAATGACTGGGCCACAGGGACCCTATGTCCCGAAACCATCACAAGGTAAGGTGATTACACTTTACACTTATGTAATCTCTTACATAACTTTTACACTTTTCTTAGTCTATTTGCATTGACTCAATAATACCTCATCATATTGCTGTGAGACCTGTAGATTTACTTTTGGTAATAAAACTGAGCTTCGTGTTGATGATGGGCTGTGTAGTAACTTGGAAGTCATTTTTACAATCACTTTATTATGAAAAATATACAAAATTTTATGTATTGTGAGGTGATTTTCCCAAACTCATCACCTAAGTTCATCTTGATTGGTGTTTACATTTACAGTACAGTATTGTAGTATGTGTGTGTGAGGGGATGGGAGGGGGTGTGTGGATTCCTGTACTTATGCACGAATATATTCACCTTGGTGTGCTTACAGAGGCTTCTGGCCCCACCTTCCAAACATACTTGTTTGTAAAGGATTATATATATAATTCAAAGGTTTTAAGTGGTGAACTGCTGCTGTGGATGTGGTGTGGTGTAGTGTGGTGTGGTGCATGTGTCTGCATGAGACTGGAGTGTGTACAAATGGGACAAATAGATGAATACTGTATTTTTTCTGAGCATAGTCTTCCTGGTTCCATAAAAGTGGGAATGACGTAATGATGATATATTTAGTTATAGTGTACATAGTAAATCAGTAAACCTCTGAAAGTTAATATTAGTAAGCAACATAATTTTAAAGTGTAAACTCTGATAATATATTTGTAGCAGTTCATGGTTACTAATAATAATTTGTTGTACAGTATATATCAAAAGACCCAAGAAGAGTATTTTATTCCATGTATTTTGATAATTGGTGCATACATCCCTGGTGAACTTTTGTCATTTTGAAAAAAATAACTTTTGCTGCATTAAAACAGGCCTTGTTTATTTTATCTTTTGATATTACAGTATAGTTAAAGTTATGATGATTATAAACATATATATTTTACAGGTAATGATGCTATACTTAAGTTAACTGATTTTGGGTTTGCCAAGGAAACGTTCTCGAAGGAATCTTTGCAGACCCCTTGTTACACTCCATATTATGTTGGTAAGGACATGTCTGCCTGCCTATTTTGTTTAAGAATTTATGATAAAATTTTCTAGCATACTCTTTACATCTGTACAAGCTTTTGAACACCTTTTCTGGGGGATCCCCTTCGGCTTCCCGGAGCTATCCGGGCTGATATGAATGTGTATTAGACCCTGGCATCAGTCAAAGCAAATTGAGTTCTTAGGCCTGCCGGGGACCATGAGACAGAACGTGGGCCCCCTCAGAGAGGCACAAGGAGCAATGGCCTATAGAAACCCCGGTGTGGTTGGAAGCATTCTATGTTTGCCATCGTCCGGGTCAGGCACCCAGAAAGGTAGGCTCCCCAAAACAAACCCTATCTGGTTAAAATATTGCTACTGAAAGCCGAACTGTTGGACAGAACTCCCCCAAATGAAAAACGAGCAAACGAGCATGACGTCACAACCGTCACCGTGCCGCTGTCTTGCAGGTCCCTAATCCCCGGAAGGGGAAACCCCCAGACCTCTGAGCCAGCTATCTACACCCTCAGTTCTGTGGCTGATGTGAGACCTGGCAATTGTGCGACTCTGGCTCCAGACGTGTTCCAGTGCTGTGCCTTGTGGTGTGATCTTGTCCTGTGATGGTGCGCAAGCCAGAAGTATTTTCACCTGTACTCGGGATGCATGCGCCTAGGGTTCCCTTCCCTAGGTGCTGTCCAATGTCCATTCCAGTCCCTGGACTTCTGGGATGCGTATTGGCATGTCCCGATTCATCTGGAGTTCAGGGATTGGCTCCGTTTTGTTGTGGGGCGTCAGGCTTATCTCTTTCGTTGCCTTCTACACTGCTTGAATCTGGCGCCTCGCATGTTCACAAGCCTTACCCGGGTCATGGTGGCCCGTCTGCATCTCTTAGGAGTTCATCAGGTGCCAGGGATTTGGTTCTTTCCCTGCTCGCCAGGGTCGGATTCCTGGTGAACTAGAGGTAGTCCCATCTGGGTCCCTCTCAGATTCGGTCTTGGCTGGGTCTTGTGTGGGGACTCTTGAAGAGCTTCCTTGTCTCTCCCTCTGGAGGCTCTGCTGTTGTTGCGGGCCTGCCTTTGCCTGTTTCTGGGGGGCTCCTGGGTCACGAGCGGTTACTCAAGGGTTTGTGCGGGAGTCTGAACTTTGCCATGGTGGTCTACCCGCCGGGTCAGGTTTGGCTTTGTCGGCAGTTCTGGTCCCTTCAATGATGTCCCACCCCTCTCGTGATCACTGGGTTCGGCCTCTTGGTCCCTTACATAGGCTACTGCGTTGCAAACTTCCTCTTTGGGTTTTTTTTGGGTTCAGTGCCTTGGCCCCTACCTGAGCCCTCTCGATGTGTTCACGGATACGTCGTCTCTTGGCTGGGGCTTTGTGACCAGTGCTTGCCAGGCCAGCCAGGGATGGTGGGGTCCGTCCTTCCGTCGGGCCCACAGCACGGTGTGGGAGTTCGCTGTATTAAGGAGGTCGCTTTGGAGGGTTCGGGTTACTCACTGATCAACGATCCAGCTCCATTCGGACTGCTTCCCGGTGGTTCATTGCCTGAACCGAAGGGGTTCGATGTGTTCCTTGGCCCTTTGGGGCTGGTCACTTCGGTTGACTCGTCTGATGAGTTCTCGGGGTTTGGCTCTCCTGGCCATTCACATTCCAGGGGGGGTGTCCAATGTCCTGGCAGATGGTCTGTCAGGATTCATTGCCCTGTCCACAGAATGGACGGTCGACGCTGACTTGTTCAGTTGACTCTGCCAGACGTACAGGCTCCCAGAGGTGGACCGTTTCACATTGGCATGGTCGAGGCATCTCCTGTTATATATGGCGCCCTTTCCCGACTGCAAGGCCATCGAAGTTATAAGGGCTTTCATATGACCCACAATTATCTTATGTATAATAATGCATTTTATTACTGTATAACTATTATTTAAAGCTAATATACTGTATAGTCTTAATAAATGTGTTGATATTATTTTTGTTTGTTTTCTAATTGAGAGTTATTATTTCAGCTCCTGAGGTGCTGGGGCCAGAGAAGTACGACAAGAGCTGTGACATCTGGTCATTAGGTGTTATAATGTACATTTTGTGAGTATATTTGCAATTGCTAACTCATAAATGGCATAATTTTTTTCATATTGACTGATAATTATGAGTATAAAATTATAGCCCCAGATAATACAAAATGTTATGTTGCATGATACATACGTACACATTAAAAATCGTGACGGGAAACGACAAAGTTGACAGGGTTCATATTTTTTAAATCGGCAATGTCAAGAACAAGGTGTCACATATTCAAGCTTAGAAAGTAAAGAAACTAAAACATGAAAAGTGAGATAGTGTTGGATGTCAGAACCATCAGCAATTTCTGAGTCACGTGACAAAAATTATAGAGAAACGGAACACCACTAGCATAGCTCTCATCCTATAATTACATACACACTTTTATGCACTCACTCATGCCACCCACCCACCAGCTGCAGGCTGTGGATGCCTCTGAAGTTCATCACCTAAGTTGTTTAGAGAAAGAGTTATATATTACATATGAATATTTTGGCCTCAATGTATGTTTTATTTAACAATACATCTCCTGTTGCTACCTGACGTTGTTTTCTGCTGCTGTTCACCATAATTTGTCTCCAGTTTTTCAAACACGTCTCAAGTCTGCCCATCATGGTCAGCGGGCACCTGCCCGCTCGGCTCCTGCCCACAGGGAGCCGGTCGGCCGAGCGGACAGCACACTGGACTTGTGATCCTGTGGTTCTGGGTTCGATCCCAGGCGCCAGCGAGAAACAATGGGCAGAGTTTCTTTCACCCTATGCCCCTGTTACCTAGCAGTAAAATAGGTACCTGGGTGTTAGTCAGCTGTCACGGGATGCTGCCTGGGGGTGGAGGCCTGGTCGAGGACCGGGCCGCGGGGACACTAAAAGCCCCGAAATCATCTCAAGATAACCTCAAGATCATCATTATAGCTATTTTTTGCTCCGTCCCTCTAAATTCACTTGAATACTTATTAAAGATGATGAGTTCATTCATTTGAGGTTCTTATTCTATTTTTGTCACATCACAGATGGTTTTCAGGTCATCCATTTTTACTGCTCTTAATTCTTGATTTTGTCCTGGTCATACCACACCAGCATGACACATGGTGCACGAGGGTAGGCACTGCCACACCCTCATGCTACCCCTCTACCCACAACTATCTTGTACCACTTTCCTTGTAATAAACTCCTCTTTCCACTTGCACAAGTTTGTGTCTTGTCAATTGCACAGCTCAGATATTGAAACTGATTAACAACATCTAGAATTTCTCTATTCACTAAAACTAGTGGTATGTTTATTGTGATTTGTGAGGAATGTTGCTCATTAAGCTAGCGCTTAACCATTTGGAGGATTTTCTTTAGACATTCTTTTTCATTTTAGAAATTATGATAAGTAGAATTGTTACTCCATTGTATGATGATGAACTCTACTAGTACAATGTATAATGCGAGTACTCTCATATCACCCAGGAGAAATTAGCTTATTAAAGCAAAACAAGTAAGTTTGCAAATTACAATACATTTCCCATTGTTTACAGGCTTTGTGGGTTCCCACCCTTCTACAGTAATCATGGTCATGCAATATCACCAGGAATGAAGAAGCGCATTCGCACAGGCCAATATACATTTCCTAATCCAGAGTGGGCCAATGTAAGCCAAGATGCCAAAGACCTGATTAAGGGTATGCTCCGTACTGACCCCGAGGAGCGTCTCACAATCTTTGATGTTATGAAGAACAAATGGATTGTGGTAAGTTTACAGAATGTTTTAAGAATTGTGTAACTGTTTAAACATCTTTTGGAAAGTACTGATGAGATTGCAGAAGCTTTTTGGACATTGAAATTTCATCACATTTTTTTTACATTTTTAATTTAAAAGTTTTGCAATATTGCAACTTGATTTTTTGTATATTCCTGTTTAGATTGTGTGTGTGGCTCACACACAGTATTCTTACATGTTTTGTATGTAAATATGTGGAGATACACTGAACAAACCATCATTATGACTGTCTAGTTGGATGACTTAGGTAACATGATTAAAAGAACTCTACAAACTTTCCCTCGACCCCACATATGCTGAATAGTAAGACAAAAGCTAGCAGACCTTCCCCCTTCCCTAATACCCAGCAATGATTTTGTTCTGTATACACTAACTTTCCAGGCCTTATTTTTTTTTAATTTTTGCATTAATCTAATTGTACTGTATTTATGCTGGATTGCTTTGATAGGCTGAATTGGTTAATTTGATGTGAATGCTGTGTAAATGCAATATTTTCCACCTACTATTTGTCTTGAGGCAGTGAGAGATGCAAGACATCACAGAGATAAGAATTTCTCCATTCAAGCCCACAACAACCCAGGAGGTTATTGTATTGATGGATCATAATGTGCTGCATTACCTTAATAATGCTCCCCATGATCACCATGGCTGCTTATAATAGTGTTCATACTGTGAGACACTTGACACAGGGACCAGGGCTACCTTCCTTATAATACGTGTACTCTGACAAGTACCTAACATAGGGACCAGAGATACCCTTCTTTGGTTGTAACATTAAAATTTTTATCCATATTTAGTCTTGTTTTGTTTACAAATGGATTGTTGCTACTTTTTGTTGACAATGTTTTGTTCTTCAGTACAGTACATTGTAATTTTAAAATTAGTCTGAATGTATCTTAAAAAATTTGGTGTATTGAGACTAATGGTTCTTAACCCCTAGGCTGTGCCCCCTAGTGTAGTTGACATCCCCAATTCACAAGAACAAATTCAACAACTCTCTCTTTCTGATTGTTAAAATGATCACAAATGTATGCAGAAAAATAATACAAATGTATGCAATCTACTTTGGCTGTGGTGAAGTCTTGTAATGACGTCATGATTCATGACTTATATTGAGCAGCCCCAGGGTGGCTACCCCAAGCCAGCCATAAGGCAGGAATTACAGCAAAGATATTTTTACATATTTATTTCATTGTAGTCAATTTGTGTTGTTTTTTGTTTATTTTTGTTTTGTTTTTTGCAGTAATATTATTCAATAGTCTGTATTTTAAGGAATTTAAATAATAAAATGTGTGGTACATCAGAATGTTCAAGTATATTCGTGTCACTAAGATGCGCACTATATTATTTGCCTAGAACAATAAAACATACTGTCTTTGCTGTTATTACACTATATACACATTTTTTATATAACTGTTTACATTTTCATGCACGATTATGAACCACTAAGCCATTCTGATGGGTGTGATAACCTCATAACAAGTTATCAGAGTTCAGGCTAGCTGCGCATATTTTGTGCAAAATAATAACTGCTTGCATTGAATATACAACATTTTCTTTGTATTTCTAACATTTTACCATGGCGTTTAAAAGTGCAATGATGTAGTGGGTTGTGAGTAATGTTATTTGTATCACAGAACATATAGATCATCAGTATGCACAGATATTTTTATATCACTAATGTGTGCACCATATTATATTCTCTGAACAATAAACCACAGTTTATGTTGTTATTACACTATATTCACATGACAAATATAACTACATTTTTATGCACCATAATAAACCATTAAGCAGTTTTGGTGGGTGTGATAATGAAATCCACACAAACCCTACCACAGACGATGCCAGCAGACGACACAACCTGATGGAGCAAAATGCATCATGATATACTATGCACATCGCTAATTCTAGACACACACACTACTATTATTATTAGATTTCTGGACATTAAATTATGAATATGAGTAATTGTCTACACGTTGACTTTCCATATGAACATGTGGTCACATTTTATAATGCATAAATGCATGAGACCGTGGTTGTGTGCTGTGAACAACAGAACCAGCATTGTGTTTGCTCTTATCTGAATCTTGTACATAGTCATTATCACAGTTAGGATGTTCTATGACACTATCATTATAAAGTAATTGCAGTTATTTGTTTATTTCTTCATAATTAAGTGATGTTGGGGCACAAGCTACGGCAATGCTGTAAGTTGATACAGTATGCAGTACCCATGGTTGTCCATGGGTACTGAGTCCCTCGCATCCATGAGGGCCTATAGAGCCTATGATTTGTTTCCAAGATAGTGTTCCAACAAGAACTCTGTGTGCAGGTGATGAGTCACAATAACGTGGCTAAAGTATGTTGACCAGACCACACACTAGAAGGTGAAGGGACGACGACGTTTCGGTCCATCCTGGACCATTCTCAAGTCGATTGATGACCCCAATAATATAGTACTACATCATTACGAATAGCTTCAGAGAACCTCCGGGGCTCACCCAGAAACTGGCATTTAATTACATTCAACGCTGGTTTCCCCCCCCCCCCCCCCCGTGTCTACCAACCTTCCCAGTTCCAATTTGTACCAGCCTCTTAACTTCCCTCTCTTCAGTATCCCATCTCACTAACCTCATTTCCTTTTTTTTTTCCCCTTTCACCAACCTTCCCTCTCATTATTCTCATCCATCCCCTTCATTACCAGTGTCAGTTATTTAGCTTGTTTGCTATGTTTTTCTCTAGTGTTGCTCATTGTACTTTACTATATCCAGCTGATTTACTTTCTCCACTTTCCTTGTAGCAATACTCCGAGGTACCGCAGACACCACTTCACACCTCCAGGATTCTTCGTGAGGAGGGAGACTTGTGGCAGGAAGTTCAGGACGAGATGACTCGATCTCTTGCTACCATGCGTGTTGATTACGACACACTCCAAATTAAAACTTTAGACCATGCTAATAATTCCCTACTTAGTAAGCGCCGTAAGAGGGCCACTGATAACTGAATGTGTACTGCAGATATAAATTTGAGTATGATTGAATATCTCATTTGCAAAGAAAAAATGTTTTTCTTTAAGATTGGATTTGGAGTTTATTCCATCATAACTGTCACAAAGTTAAATGTAATAATAGGCAACTTAAGTTTTTCAGACTTGCCTAAGGTAAAGCACTGATTGATTTGTCTACATTAAGTTTATGAAGAGTAATTAGCCATGAAATGTAAGATTTTTCCAAGTATTTACTCACTCACATTGTGCTGTAATGTACAGCAATAAGGTATTTATATATAGAACATACAAAGGGTTTAGCACTTCAGCTGGTTATAACACTACTAAAAAGTGTGTGAAAGTGACAGTAGTATTTGTAGTAACACATTTATTAAAAATTATGAAGATATAATTTTGGTCATGGGACCATGTAAGGACCTGCATGAAGAACTAGGGGTTGCGTACATATACACTATGTACTCTGCTATATTTAACAAATTATGCATAAAGCTATTTTTCTGCAATGAAATGCAGTTATTTTAAAATAACCATATGTGATTTTTGACAATATGTGGCATTTATACAATGTTTGTCTTTTCACCGTTTCCTTAGATATTCAGACTCTTATGTTTTCAAGGAATCAGATGTTTAAAGATTTCCAATATTTGTCATATACATCTCCTCAAAGTAATGTCACCATCTTCCAGTAGTAATGGGAATTTGTGTGTGGTTAATGATAAAAAATGATTTTAATGCTGTATTAAACAGGCCAATGAAATAATGTTCATTGAAGTAATGTATCCATAAATGTTTAGATAACATTGCCCTTAATTTATAAATCACATCTTTTTATCTTCTACTAGGGAGCTAATCTGAGGTCACTAAAGAGGAATTATTTATGTAAAATTTTGGTATTGCACAAACGGGAGGGGCATTGTGATCGTCGGAAGTTCCATTCCTTCAGCTTATTAAATGTTTGTTAATGCTTGAGGAACACCGTAATCGGTAGTGCCATCCATCTTCATAATGGTTGAGTGTGCGAGTAGCCAGTATTTAAACATCGGTAGTATCTCATTCACTCTTGATATCTCTTAACAAACATACATTGTGGTACAAATATGAATGTATGTATAATACAAGTTAATATTTTTAGAGAGGAACCAGTTGATAAAATGCTTAGCTATCCTGGTTTACTTGTGAGAAGTGTACTAGCTAACATAGGTAGAGAAGATTGCTTGTGAGGAATGGTAGCGTTAGCTCATACGAGTGTTGTTGCATTTTAGTGGCTAAGGGTAGTAAATGCGGTCCTGGCAATAGTAACAAGGTTAAGTGTCGTGTTCTGTAGCAATAATGACAGTTTGAACTGCATATTTTACATTATCATCGCATTTTCTATTAATAACTAATTGGTTTAATTAATATTTTATAATACATATGGAAATGCTATTTATTCTCATGTTTTTATGAAACAAAACTGTTACATACACCTGTGTGTATGGTATGATCAGTAACATACACCTGTGTGTATGGTATGATCAGTAACATACACCTGTGTGTATGGTATGATCAGTAACATACACCTGTGTGTATGGTATGATCAGTAACATACACCTGTGTGTATGGTATGATCAGTAACATACACCTGTGTGTATGGTATGATCAGTAACATACACCTGTGTATATGGTATGGTCAGTAACATACACCTGTGTGTATGGTATGATCAGTAACATACACCTGTGTGTATGGTATGATCAGTAACATACACCTGTGTGTATGGTATGATCAGTAACATACACCTGTGTGTATGGTATGATCAGTAACATACACCTGTGTGTATGGTATGATCAGTAACATGCACCTGTGTGTATGGTATGATCAGTAACATTCACCTGTGTGTATGGTATGATCAGTAACATACACCTGTGTGTATGGTATGATCAGTAACATGCACCTGTGTGTATGGTATGGTCAGTAACATACACCTGTGTGTATGGTATGGTCAGTAACATACACCTGTGTGTATGGTATGATCAGTAACATACACCTGTGTGTATGGTATGATCAGTAACATACACCTGTGTGTATGGTATGATCAGTAACATACACCTGTGTGTATGGTATGATCAGTAACATACACCTGTGTGTATGGTATGATCAGTAACATACACCTGTGTGTATGGTATGATCAGTAACATACACCTGTGTGTATGGTATGATCAGTAACATACACCTGTGTGTATGGTATGATTAGTAACATATACCTTTGTGTATGGTATGATCAGTAACATACACCCATGTGTATGGTATGGTCAGTTACAAATTGTCAATATTTGTTAAATTACAGGTAATACCGGTATAATTTTTTGTTCTTGTTTAAAATTTTATTGAGATTAAATCTTAACTAATACATAGATGTATATAATAATGCATAATTGCACATTGGCCTCAAGTATATGCATAAACTTTATTTTAAGTTAAAAGTTTGCATGCATGTTAATTTTGAGTGATTTACATATGTAAAAATAATGTGTGCTCTGTAATTTTAATGTATTATTGTGATGCTGACACTGTCACATATCAACAAACTTAACTTTTGCATAAATTGCCCAATGAAAGTGTTTCATGAATTTTTTTTACTAATTTATTCTTATGCATATATAAGGTGTTGATTAATTTGTCAGTGTGCTTGACTTTTGTTCGTCTGTTTCTCCCGTCCTCAAATCTTTTTAGAAAGTTTTTGTGACACGAGAATATACCGACATGTTATTTAGACTTAAAGGCACCGTTAAGCTAATAATCACAATATTGGAGTTGAAGCAGAGGTGGTTGTGTATGTTAAGAGCCATGTGTTAATGTCACCCACTTGGAGCATATTGGCTAACTTGTGTTGTATGTTGCAGTCCATGGTTTTGTTTTAAAATATTGCAGTGCTATACAGCCATACTGGCTTTTTACTTTCTTTTCATACTTGCAGCATTAACTGTAAGTAATTAAGTTGTGAAATCCAGTTGTGTGCCGAATGTTTAATGAAAATAAATGCATATTTTTATATTAGTGCATTTTTATAGAAAACTGTAGGTTATACTGTACTGTAAATTGATTCTTGCATCTAAAACACAATACTAATTTTGCTCTAGGTTAAGTGTCTCTAATTTGATTGCAATACTTGCTTCATTTAGTTACTCCAGCACCAAGCACCTTCAACAATATATCTGCTGCACAGTTCTCCATTATTTTGTTTACCCATGTTCTTAACATCTGAAATTGGTCTGGTTTTCTGTAGCAGTTGTGTTAGTAGCTTAGTGAATTGTCAGAAGGAGAAACTTGCTGGCTTTAGCACTGTAAAGTTAATGGTATGTTGAACTCAGGGGCTGTAATTATGAGAGGGTTGGTGAAGTGTATGTTAATTGATATAGAAATGTGTTGGTCTCAGATGCGTGTACATGCACTGTTCAGTACATAGATTTATAAATTAGCTGCACTGCACACACAAACTTGAAAGCTTTGCCATTGTGTAGGCTTGTCAATTTATAGGTTAAAAATTAATAAATGACAAGGAGTTTTCTTTACAAAATTTTAATGTAATTTTTTTGGGGGGTTAATAGTTATAAGAGTAATTATAACACTGCCAAAGACAGTTTTAGCTCAAAAGGTAGAATGAAGAGTATTCAAGACCCAATGCCTTCCATAGTTGTATATCTTAGTCTCTCACTTTAAACTTCCAATTTCTGTATTTCCCTGAGAACATTGAGAGGGTGGCAATGTTTACAACCTTTTCTAATCATATCTTAATGTCAAGCATGTGTTAAGGCTGAACAGTAGTCATATTGTTACAGAAGAAATAAGGTTAACAAGAAAATAGTTGCAATAGATATTTAAATGATACTGTAAAGATGTGAACATTTTTGATGACTGTCATATAGATGAAGGTTAGGGAAATGGTAGGAGTTAAAACAGGCAAGCAGTGCCCAAGTGTAAGTCTTCTGTAATGCCGAAGACTATGGGGGTTTCGTGATTCTGATGGTTATGATGTGCTGAGGATGCAACATTTGCTGTACAGCGTGTCCAGATGGCTGGGGTCACCTTTGTATATATCTATCCATCACACTGTCATTTGATGTAAAGGAGGTACTTAGTTGTGCATTTCATTAAATAAGATGTTTCTATAAAGTTTATAAAAGGAAGCTTGTGATAGGTTTAAGTGCAAGATGGGGGCAGGAAAACTGTTTAGTGGTGGATGTCATTGTGACATTAGAATAGCATTTGCAGTGAATCAAGACTTGCATTTATTTTACAAGACATTTCTGTATTGTCATGGTGCAGTTTAAATATCTGTGAAGCATTTAAAAAGCAATAACAGTAATATATTATTTTAAAGAAAAATTATGATTCGTAATAGGTAAAAATTTGTAAAACAAGAAAGTAAAATAAAAAAATTTCGGTACAAAACAGGCTGCCACTGATCATACTAACCAATAAGTTTGAGCTTTGTGGAGTAGCCATTAACCATTGTAATACTGTACTTAGTGAAGCCAGCCAAAAAAAAAAAAAAAAAAAAAATTGATTTTTTCACAAAATGACAACGGAAAAATCAAGTGGAGCCAAGAAAAATCGAAGTGAACACGTCTTTTAAGGCAGTCCAAGAAGGAAAAATAATAAAATTTTGTTCATGACAATGTAAGCGTAATATCCAGCTGACATTGCCACGAACAAAATGATTGATTTTAAATTGTCTTTCGAATTGTCGCAAATGAAAAGGGATCATAGACTTTTTTTTTTTTTTTTTTTTTTTTTTTTTTACTCATTTTTTCCATTATTGTTTTGTGGGAAGAGTCATTGTCTATCTGGCTGGCACCCCTAAATTTGTAAACAGCCAATGACAGATTTATTCTCTCTGCAAGCTCAAACTTCATGTTGGCTAAATGTATTTAGATCAGTGGCAGCCTCTTTTGTATGAAAAAATAATGTCTGCAGCATAGGAAAAGTGATGTAGAAATTTATTGATCAAGTGGAATAAGAGGAAACTCTTGCTGCCAGCCCAGTTTACATGATTCCTACAAACAAGCAACCAAAGTGCCTAATGTTTCATTTTAGCAAAAAGTTAAATTTTTCCAACAATTTTCAAATGGTGGAACACCAATGTTGGTTGTAATTTGCCAGTGCAAGAGTTCTTAAGAAATGTCGAGATATGATGGTAAGAGGTGGGCAATTTGACCATTTATAAAGTAATGAAAGGAAATGTGGTATGGCAAAGTGTTAGTGAGAAATGATCTGTAACTTAAATGGTTAATAAAATGTAGTGAACATTCAATGTTGACTTTTTCTAAGAGAATGTGGAGCTCAATGATCCTCAAGAGGAATAGCTAAGAAATATAGAGTCGTGCAAGTCTAAGAAAATAATCTGTATGAAGTTAGGTACAAAGATGAATAGTGGATCACGTAATTATTAGTGTGCCAAACCTACAAGGCTTCCACTGTATAAAACTATGTCAATATTAATTTAAGAAGTTTCTAGATATGTTGGAATGCCTATACAAGAGCATACAATTTCTTTTACTTGAAAGGTACAGTGGGAAAGCAAAGTTTCCAATCATTCTGAAAAAAAGGGACACTATGAAGATGTGCACAACGGTCAGTGAGACAATGTACTTTGACAGCAAAGTGCAGGTCTTTGATTAGTTCCCATGAATTAACCATGTGTGGCAGATACATGCTCTAGAAAGAGACATTACCCACTCCTGTTTGTGACAGGAGGAAGGCCATGGGGAATAGGTCACATTTGATAGAAATATTTCCTATATACTGTACATAGCTACAGTGTCATACAATATATCTGATGCCTTCAAATATTGAAGACTTCTGGAGGAGAACTTGAAACTAGTACTGTACTGCGTGTGTCAGCTGGCTGTCGTAGCCTAACCAATTACATCTTCAGCTATCATCTCTCGAGGAACTATGGAGTACAATACAACACAATGTAATTGAAATTGAAATAAGTTTATTGATGTAAAATACACACAAAGGGATGAGGTAGCTCAAGCTATTCTCACCCCGTTCAGTACATCGTGTTAATACATACATATACACACATCACAACACAATGTATTACTGTACAGTGTAGTGAAGCATTGTCTATGAAAAAGTGATAATCACAAAAAGATAAATATTATTCAGTCATTAACATAGACAAAATATGTTCTCCCACTTCCTCCACTACCACCTGCATAACTACTATGCAAATCAATAAGAAATAATGTAGTGTATAAAAACTATACAATATCATGTAATACAGTTTTCCATGTCAAATCCCACAAAGCACAAAGATTTAATCTTCACTTTGGTTAGCAGGAAGTGTGTATGTAAATTTGAGGTCCAAGCCCTTTAAGTGTTCATCCTCCCATTCTTCAAATGCTGCAACCTGTGTCTTGCTCAGGTGTGTCTGCCACCCTCCAACCTCACCTGTACAAAAGAAAATTGATGAAGCTATGTATCTATATACTGTATAACTGTAACTTTTCATTTGATACAGGTTAATGGTGTTTCACATTAACCTTTCAAGAAGCTTGAGTCTAAAGCTCCAGATTGACCTTCCAAAAAAAAAAAAAAAAAAAAAAAAAAAAAAAAAAAGATTGACCTTCCAAGGAGTTTTAACCTAAACATATCACACAGCATCCTCAAGCATTTGTAATTAGCTCAAATTTGAAACACACGAACTGAAGAAAAACTAGAAAACCTAATAAGAAATCCAGAAAAAAATATCCTGGTTTTAAACTGATTGTTCTACACAAAAAAACTAAAATTAATACCCGATAAGAACTAAGAACCTGTACTGACAGTTCAAATAAAAACCCTTCACAAAAATGAGGGACAATATACCAGAAATTACACTAGAGTTCTGTTTATCTGAAAGTAATACTGCTTATCCATAATTTCAAATACAATGGGACTACTCAATCAGACTTTTTCAAGTGGACCAGAATGGATATCATCCTCTCTGGAATTCCACTGAAATAGCGAAAAAAGGGAAGGCGTCAGTGCCCACAGGACATCTGTTAAGGTAACATGTTGCCCTCCCCTTGTTATGCCAATGCTGTATATCACTACCCTCTTAAGAAAAGATATTCACGAATTATTCAATATTATAAGCAATAATTTAATTATCTGCAAATTACAATAGGTTTCCCCTGAATGAACTGGTGAAAATAATGAACAATAAAAATTTTTAGGACAAATTTATGCTTGTTATGTTGGAAGAGTAGTACTCAAGCTAAGAAGGGAAGGCAACCTTCAGTCTTGCCCCAACAATATATAATTTTTTTTTCCAAACCCAATGTACTGTATAGCAATTGTGTTCTTTCCATTATTTCCCACTCAGAGGAAAAACAATTAAATATTTTCCTATGATTTTTATAGGAGTAAGAACAAATTTAGTTTTAAATTCTTATTTTAGTGTTGAGGGGCTGGAGCAAAACCCCGTCTTCAGCTCCATACCCTTACGTTATTGCATAGAAAAATTGTTCACCTTCTTTATCGTAATCTATTTTTATATAACGGAACTTAACAAAATATTTATTATCAGTATTGTATTATATATTATTTGCTTATTATTCAACTAGAAGTAAATCCCCCCTTAGCTAGCCAAGGCCAAACTATAGCACCCAGTGTCATTACAAGAAATTATTTGTCACTTTGTATTACAAAATATGACAGGAGGTAACTGCTGAAAAAATGCTATACAGCAAGGGTTAAAATAATCCAGCATTGAATGTAATGGAACACTGCCATCTGGTGGTGGGCAGCTGCTACTAGTGGGTGAACAACCTAACTACTGGGTGGATTGCTTACATTTGCCTTGCTCTTGTCTTTTTTGCCTTGTTCTACCTTTCTGGTGATTGTTCCTTGGTGAGGGTCACATGTCTCCCTGCTCTCACCACCTCTATGAGGGGAAGGATAGGTTTTGGCCTCTGGTAGGATTTTATCGATTCACAAAGGCCTGATGTGGCTAAACAGGATGTAGTGACAGGAAGCTATCTGCACTTGTCCCATCTCTTGTAAAGATATTCCTTATTCTGACTTTTGCCAAGTTATTCATTCCTCCATCCTTGCCCGTTGGCAGGGTTGTTGGTCTTCTGTTACTGATAACAAACGCGTACTCTTAAGAGTCTTGTGTCCCTGTGGCTTTCCTCCTACCACCGTAACTGCCGGTGGGAAACGGCTTTGGCTAGGTTACGTTTTGGCCATACATGTTTAACTCCTGGCCACTTAATGGAGTGCCGCCTTGCTCCTTATTGTCCAAATTGCATTGTTCTTCTTACGGTCATGCACATTCTTGTTGAATGTCCTGACTTCTAGGACGAGCGTGTCTCTTGCCTTCCGACCGTTCCTCACGGTCAATTGTCCCTCGATAGAATTCTTGGCAAATCGGATACTTTTGTTAACGTTTGCCTTATACGTTTCTGTTCTCGTATTGGCATCCTTGGTGATATTTAGCGCCCTCTGATTACTCTGCACATTTGGTGGTGCTACATAGCCTTCCCGGTTTGGTGCTTTCTTTTGGTAATTACTTACAGATAGCCCATCCAGTGGCCTCCTCCAGGAAAGTTAATGACAGTAAGCACAGAAATCTCAATGTAAATTAAAAGAATAAACAACAAATATGTTGATGAACAATGCAGGCTGCTAGGACAAGGCAAACTTTGATAGAATTGACAACACTGCATACTGTACTTCACGTAAGACAGTATCTCTTCACTAGAGTACCTCGGTAAAGAAAAGAATAGAATGACAATATATGTAGTCAACCAAACCTTGAAAAACCTATACCTTTGAAAGGTCAATTTATTTACGTAATTACCTTTCCGAAGGAATTTTCCCTTGTTTTTGTAGGCAAACCCCAGATCTTTCCAGTGCTCATAATTAACACTGGGATTTGTTGCCATTGAAGCAAATGAAGTAGATACTGCTATGTAACTCACATCATCATCACTCGCTCGAACCTGAGGGAAAATATAATGAATATTTGAACCAATGTATAAAGTCAAATAATAAATGTTTAAATTGTACACTGAAATGTGCAAAAATACCATTCTAAATTATCATTGAAAGGAAATAAATGCAACCTAATGGCTTCAAAAGAACCTTTGAACTCAGTGAACGAGGAACAAGGGTAACAAGAAAGGCCTGTATTGTAAAAAAAATACATGACAGTAATTGGCAAAGGTGAAATCAGGGAAAAATCTGGCTCTGAATTGGGTGGAGAACCATCATGTCTCAACCAACAGAATGATGAGATAAACAATATCCCAGTTGCAAGTGAACTGGTTGTCCATGTTGAATGATACTAATGGGGTACATGCAGGAGCAAGAAGCACTGTCAGCTGCAAAATGGTGATGAGAGAGAGGAAATAGGGAGCTATGGTAAAAAGAAAATAAGCACTTAACATAATTCAAATATACACTCCCAGCAGAAATGTCAAAGGTCCAATACCCGTGTAAAGTAGAACCGAGAGCAACACTACAACTAATTACTTACTCCCCATCAAAAGACCTAGTATTGGCACCCAAGTCTCAAGCAGACCCAGAAGTGAAGCATCTTGAAGGGAACCAGCCTATAGCACAGGAACCCAAAAACTAAGAGAAGGTAACTTGTGGAGAATGGCAAAAGCTAGATAGTGCCAACGAAGAGACCCTGACACAAAAACTGGAGAAAACTATCTAGTAAGGTAAATGCCAGGTGGCTGGCATAAACACAAGCTTGAAGAACTAAAATATAAAAGTAGGACTCTTTAAATACATTACTAATATCCAGAGGAACACAAAAACCATTTAACTAAAGCAGAAGTGATGTCCGAGGATGGGGGGGGGGTAATATGAGTCAAGTTAGTGAGAATGGTATCTGGATGGTTTCCTAGGCTGCCAACTGGGTAGCTGGGGTTGTTTGCTTCTTGCTAACTACTGTACTGCCTGCATTATTTTCTATTTTCCTTCTTCTCTTACAGAGCAGTGACTTCTTGTGTGATTTTATCCGACTTCGTGTGCGGATCAGTTTGGTGCTTCCCACACCTCTTCAAGGGAGCCACATTCTGGTCCTGGTAGGCTCACAAAATCATAGGAACCTGATAATAATGGGTGGGCCCAATACCAGTGCCATAAGCTTTGTAGAGTTATTAGGGGGTGGGAAAAGGCAGCACAAATAAAATTTTTCTAATGGGTATCAGGATTATCAGAAATATTTGATATGTCGTCAAATCAGAAATATGCAGTGGAACCTCGACTTACGAATGCCTCTACTTATGAATTTTTTGAGTTATAACCCCAATTTCATCAGAAAATTCCACTCGACTTAGGCCTTTGCCTCAACTTGCGACTTTGTTGATACACATATGGGTCAACGGAGTGTGTGATTCCTGGTGGCATGGGCTACCCCGCTTCAGTTTACCAGACCGCCTGCTTAGTGACAATCGAGCTTGAATTCTTTGTAAAGAATTTCATTATTTTTGTGCTTTTTTATTTTTTGAACATAAAAGTAATTATTATATATCATGCCATGGGTCCCAAGAAAATCAGTGGTAAGATTCAACCTAAGAAAACACATGTGAGGATGACCATAAAGGAAAAACAAGAGACCATTTGTAAGCAAGAAGATGGTGTGCTGGTTGTTGATCTAACTAGGCAGCACAACAAATCTATGTCAACAATATCCACCATACATGCTAAGATAAGAAAAAGGACATTATGAGTGTACTTTGAATTAATATGATACTGTCTGATGTATTACTTACTTCAAGAAACTCTGCTAGTTTCTTGATGATTTTAATGGGATCTTGATGCAGTTCTTCATAGGTTACAAAGAGAATATTTGGGTTTTCTCTTAACTTCCAATACCCCAAGACATGGTCAAAGAATGGACTGTACAGTGCTGAAATATTGAAAATAAGTACAGTATAGTAAAATATTTAACAATTATAAAAATATACCGACAGCACAGTGGTCTACATCGTCAACTCACAACCGAGGGTCACAGATTCAATTTCCACAGTAAAACGTTTGTGTTTGCACACTATTTCCTTTCATCTGAAGTCTCTGTTCATCTAGCAATAAATCGGTACCTGGGAGTTTGACCAAAATAAGATATGACAACAGAACATGAGAATTATCCAATAATGTAGGCTAATACACATGATATATTAGATGCTCTTGTTGAATACATAAATGTATGTGAAACATGTATCAATACAAGATATATGTATACACAGGAAAAATAGGCAAGCCAAATGATTTATTTTAGAAGTTACATAACAGAAGCAGATAATTATTATGATTATTATACTGTACTTAGAAAGGAGAGTAATTCAGCTCAAAACCTACATGGGTATTTGAACATGGAAGTTTACCTTACCTGAGCTTGACCAAGTTTACCCGAGAGCCACTAACACGAGTGACCTCGATGAGGACAGAAGCTGGCCTGAAATTGATGAAACCCGACGAAGAGAAAGAAAAAGGCGGAAAGACCAGTAAGAAACTTCATACTGTCATCGAGATGAAGACAGCAGGCAGGACACCATCAAAGAAGTCATCTGATCACCATGCAATTGGAGATACACAAGCGTCAGAAATACCAGACGTGAAATGCGAAGGAGTAGGTTGAACCACCAAGGTACCTCACCGAACCGACCTGCTGAAAGATGCGCGGCTGTGGAAAAACACCCGGGTTCAGACATCGAGCAAGCATCACCCGAAACGAAGGCTGGGCCGGCCACCATGGAGCCAGGAGAAGAACTCCCCCAAAAGGATTCCAGCCAAGCCAGAACCCAAAGCAACAGCTGGACTGGGTGGAAGAGGTACAAGAACCCCCACCTCAACTAGTCCTGCCAAACAGCATCCACCACAAGAATCTCTGTCAGGAAATGACACCAGGAAATGAGGCCTGGTCGACGACCGGGCCGCGGGGACGCTAAGCCCCGGAAGCACCTCAAGGTAACTCAAGGTAACCACATACAATGGGAGATTCTGAGACCACGTTGATGCAAAGAGGTCCACCTCTGGGCACCCGTACATCCGATAAAACCAAAGAAAGTAAATGGTGACGACTTTCCACTCCGGGGAAGAGGAAAGAAGTGCGGCAGGCCAGCCACCTGGACGTTAGACACTCTCTGAATGTGAATGGCACGGAGAGCTAAACCTGAGAACACAGAAGAGCCACCCGAAGTGACCAGCTCCAAAGAGCCACAGAATGAATCAACTCCTACTGGTGGAGACAAGGAACCACAGGGGAGCAGTCCAAATGGAGCCAGATCACCGAGCCCATAGGAAGCCGAATTCTCTGCCGCGTCTTCCACACATCCACCTCCTGCATCATGCTGGGAACCCGACGCAAAGACAGCCACCAATGCCCCCGACGAAACTGGGGAGCACTGGTCACAAAGTCACTGCCGACAAATGAGGCGTCCATGAACACATCGAGCGAGTGAGGAGGAAGGCGCTATGACACCGAACTTCAAAACCCGTATAGGAAGCCGGGGATGCAGCAACCAGCTTGAGGACATTGCGGGTTGAACCCAGCAATCGCAAGAGCAGGCAAAAAGGTTGCCCCGAAGATACCAGAACAGCCTCCGAAGCTAAACCCTGCCCAGCGAATAAACCAGAAAAGCAAAGTACAGGCTCCCGCACAACTGCACGAGCAATCACCGAGAGATTCGGATCGCCTGCAAAAACAGCCGACGGTGGTACTGCAACCAGAGCAAGGCCGTAAGAGGGCAACCTGGCCTCCTACAAAGAATGTCCCTTTTCGCTTTTATACGTTACACAAGGCCAAAAATTGTCGTACTAGAAAATGGAAGTGGCTCACCAAAGTGACGTACTGTCCTGTTTTTTGTTTTTGGGTTCTTTGATAGGTTAGGAGAGGTCACTTTAAATTGACCATTTTCTTGACACTGGGAAACCTTAGGAGGACAGGCTAGGGAGGGAGAGAAAGGGATGCAGTCCTAAATCTCACACCAAGCCCAGCCAAGTCTGAACTCTGTATGAGACCAACTGGGACTTCCATCAGCACACCAGGAACCACACCAACCAGTCGTTGAGGGAGGCCAAGACCTGAAGATCTAGCAGACAAAGATAGGCCACCACGACCCAGGTCAAACACATAAAAACACGACGTGCCAGATCATCCTAAAAAGGAGACGACTAAAGTCGTAAGCATGTTGCACCACGACAAAACTGAACCGTGGTGCAAACCATGGTCCCGAACCCAGACGGATAGGGATGTGCCAATACGCGTCCCTGAGGTCCAGGGAAGCATCCAAGCACCTGGAGCGTGAACAAGCCTGCCCTGGAACAATGGGGTCATCCGAAACAAGGAGTAAACCCAATCTGCTCATAACTGTCACCAGAGGCCTACCCCGACCAAACGAGGCCCAAGCCCTGGCATAACCATCCCGGGAGGGACAGGAGCGAATTCCCCCGGAGAACCAACAAGACAATAAAAAAGCCAGCAACGACCAGAAGCTGCCAACAGAAACTGGGCAACACACTCCTTCAGGAACAGTAGAGGATAAAATGGCGAAGAAGACCGAAGTCAGTGCCCAAGCCAAAACCAAAGACAAGGGTAGCAAGGCCTGTTGGCACACGAGACGAGAAGTGAAAAACATAAAAACTGCCTCCTGCAGGATAGGTGCAAACCAGTTCAGCAAGACAGACGACCCCGAAGCAGCCGAGACCAAGACAGACGACCCCGAAGCAGCCGAGACCAAGACAGACGACCCCGAAGCAGCCGAGACCAAGACAGACGACCCCGAAGCAGCCGAGACCAAGACTCCAGTCGAGGCCCCCCCCCTACCCTGTGCTCCCACATCTTCCGAAAGCCAATTTGAAGACAGGTCCAAAAGAAATGAAACAAGACCGAGGAAAAATAACCATGAGTTAGAAGGTCCTCAACAGCCAAAGTAGCCAAAAGAATGGTGACTTGAGCATGCAATTCCAGCAGACCAACATCAAACATCACGAGGAAGAGCTGGGGCAAAAAGGCACTCATTGAGAAACTCGAGCGAGCCCATTATGTGCCTTTAACATTTTCCATTACATGATAAATGAATAAACTAGAAACTCTACTCTACATAGATAGGAATTAAATAATTTTAAGAGATGCAATAAATACTTGAATATTTAAGGAAATACCAAATCAATTCACACATACCCATATCAGAGAGGAACATTTTGACAAAACTGGAAAATGTCCCTTGGTAGCTGCACTGTGTTAGCAGCTGCATGAAGTAGAAATATGACACTGCTGTATCTCGAGGATTTCGGGCAATATATATGAGCTGAAACAGAGATCCATTATTTAAGAAGACTGTACTTCAATTAATTAACTTTGGTTTTTTAACACAGTAATCTAAATTATACTAGTGTTGAATGTAATGAAAAGCCATTTTCTGGGCGAGCCCCAGAGGCTTCCTGGAACTTACTGGGCTGATATATATGTATTAGACCGTGGCATCAGTCGATGGAGTTCTACCAGCCTCTACCAGCAATGATACCACTTCCTACCCAAGGCCAAACAGTGGCTATAAAACCCCCAGCTGGCCCCAAGGCGGGCAATTGCCAAGCAGCAACAGACCCCTACAGAAGCTGTTCCCGAATGCCCTGTGGAAGGGAACCCCAAGATGCAAGGGTAGTACTTAAGGGCACCTAGGGAAGATTGCCCTAGGCACATGCAGCCCCAGTACTGACCAATTACTCCTGGCCTGTGCACCACACACCACAGAAATACACCACAAGGCACAGAACTGCAGAGTCAGAGACCAGAGTCGACAACCGCCATTGTCCACATCAGCTGAGGAACCGATTGCTAAAGCGGCCGGCGGGGTGGGGTTCTGCACAGACGAGCAGCATGACGGCGTTAGTGATGCCCGCTTGTTTTAGTTTGGGAGTTCTGCCTTCTTATTCAGTTTTTAGGTAGCATTTTTTACCATGTGGAGTTTGTTGTGTTACGCCTCCCTTTCTGGGTGCCAAACCCCGGTCGATGGCTAACATGGAATGCTTCCAAATACATGGGGGTTTCCATAGGCCATTGCTCCTCGTGCCTCTCAGAGGTCCAGGTTCTGGCTCATAGTCCTCCGTAGGCAAGAACTCCATCGACTGATGCCATGGTCTAATATAGTGGCGCCTCGATTAACAAATTTAATCCGTTCTGGCACCGATCTCGTCATGTGAAACGCTCGTCTTGTAAAACAACAACACTGTCGTCGGAGGCATCCGAGAACCAACGGGAACGCTAGGAAGCACCACGTAGTTTGCTCGTTAATCGAGAAATTTTCTGAAAGTTGCTCGCCCGTTACTCAAAATGCTCATGACTGGAGTCGTTCGTCACTCGTGGTTCCACTGTACATACACATCAGCCCGGTAAGCTCCAGGGAACCATAGGGGCTCCCCACAGAAACTGAAACAGTATAAACAGTATCAGAATTTAAATTGAAAATGAAATGCATAGCTCAAACACAATGATAGTATCCTACACATCTTTTAAATACTGTACAGTATGGAAATATGATGTACAGTTTATATATACAGTAAGAAAATATTATTTCAATGCGTGGAATTGAACTCATCTCTGGGAGCACCACCCATTGTACTGTGATACGTTCTAATAGATACATCATGTTATCGTGATTTCATCATGCATACGAACAGTAATTTCCACATGTAATTGTTCAATATAATGTTTGACTATAAAGGAATACTGTTGCTTGTCTGGCCACCATGTTTTTGGCTACATCTTCAAATTCAAAATCCTATAATGGTTTATATTAAATTATTAAAATAGAATTATTGATAATTTAAAGAGTTAATCTAATATACAATGCATCTACTTATAGCCTACATGTTATATATGTTTTAATATTTACCAAGAGCCATCATATCAGTTCTTTGTCAAACACCAAGTACTTTATATGAACACGTGGCTCTAACAATCAATTTCTCTACAGCAGTTGTAATTTTCCACATGTATGATTGTAAGGTCAGCAATCTTACCTTTGCATCACTGTTCCCAAATGATGTTGGCAAGAGAGTGAAAGGCAAGTGAGTTTTGATGTAGCGTGGTCCTGCTTTGGCTGCTAAAGATCGTATTCCTGGGTATGGATATTCCAGGTAGGGAAATCTGGTCTCCAACACCTCAGATCTATCATCACTCTTCTTGAAGTTGTGTGTCAACATATACACAATTTCTTGTACCCATGTTGTTCCTGAAAATCAATTCTAAATGTTCTAAGGATTGTGTTCCAGGAGATAAAATACTAGATGAGACAAGAAACAACTCTTAGCCAACAAAAATATACAGGGATATTTAAACCAATTCCTACACTATACTTCATAATATTAGCACTCACTTTGAATCCTTGACCTAGTCATTCAGGAGTCTTTAAGGATCTTGTATATTACACGCCAGACCAATTCTGACATATACAGCACCAGCATGGCATCCCGATCTCAATAAATATTAAGCAGAGCTGGTAAAAGTCCAGAGGTGTTCAACCCCTTTGGATCTTATTTGGAGAGGATTCTGGGAGTTATTCTACTCCCTAAGCCCAACCCAGGGTCAGGCTTGACTTGTGAGAGCTTAGTCCAACAGACTGTTACTTGGAGCAGCCTACAGGTCCACATATTCACTATAACCTGGTTGGTCCAGCACTTCTTGCAGGAAACTAAATTCTTTACTGAAAAAATCCACTTTTGTTCTGGCAATATTTCTTATACTGTACTTGCTTGGAGGATACTAAACAGCCCTCTGATGTTTATATGGATTGCTCTGAGCCCATGGCACCTTTGCCATGGGCCATGGCACCTCACTTGCTGTATTCTTCATTTCCTGCCGTATCATTCTCTCCAGCACGTTATTTTACTGTACAAATTTGGGACGTGGCCTTCCAGTATTTCCCATATACAGTATATATTACAGCCCATCCTGCTGTTTACGTAGTATTTATAGTAACGATGATGACAATCGTACATATATTGACGTAAAAGGTACTTAGAAAGCAGAAATCAGTACAGTACTATCAAATTTGGATAAAACCGGTAACCTTTTTGTACTTTTGTTGCAAAGAAAACTTAACCTAACCTTCATATGACTAACACACACTATCTGAGGCCTAATATAGTACATATTATGTGATGGAAATGTACTCGAGCCATTTCTGTCCTCTCCAGAATTTTAACCCAGAATTCTCAATTGTGAGTTGAGAACAAATCCAACATGTAGACCTTTACTATCATATAACAATAATGGTACTGTAACATATTTTGGCCACCATGAATATTTGAAAGTAGTTTGGGTAGCTGTATCAAAATGGATTAGCTCTATAAGTATCAAGATACACTATGTCCAGAGCAATTTGATTTGGTTTTACAATTACAATTTGAGTTAACATATTACACATTAATACAAAAGATCATAATTACTTACCGGCTTTAGGATAACTTGCAACTATAATATCATCTGACTTGAACTGGAACTTTGGCAACTCTTGAAAAACTCCCGACATAACAATTTGACCAGGAAATACGTAACCTTTGTACCTGCAAATGATAAACTTGTGCAAAAACTAATAAAACTGGTATGGAATTAAATGGAATGTCTATTTCTAGGTGAGCCCTGGTGGCTCATTGAAGATATACACTAGATCTGAGCTTCACAAACAATGAACAAATAATCAGGGACATAAGAATCTCTGATACCATATACTCAGTTCACAAGCTCATTGAAGTGCAAACTATCACCAATACCCATTACAGTTCTAAAAAAAAAAAAAAAAAAATCAAGCAAGAGGGGTTATTCAATAAATTCAGTTTTTAATAAAAAAAAGGATAGACTGGGAAAAATAAACAAACTACTTACAAATATTTAATGGGGAACTGTTCTAAGTACTGTAATAAAAATCCCCCATAAGGAATAGAACAACTGACTGCTGAAGCATATAAAGTCTGTCTGAAACATTCCCTTATCAGAAAGTCAGAAAGAGAGCCAGCTTAGAAAGAGAAAACCGATGGCACTACAGAAGGAAAAAAACAGAAGTGCTTAATAAGACATGACTATCCCTACAAAGAAAAATATAATTTTAATAGAGATTGAAGAAACAGAACAGAGACTTAAGCAATCAAATCAGATTGAAGAAATGGAGTTAGAATAAAGTCATACAAATGATTAAGAAAAATACAAAATATTTTTCCATTCACAAAATTGAAGTAAAACATCTCCATCAGTATGGACCTATGCTTACAAGTGAAGGTTCATACACAAAAGATGACAAAGAAATTAGTGAACTCCTAAAAAACCAGCACAATGTAATGAAATGCCAAGTTCTAGGTGAGCCCTGGTGGCTCCCTGAAGCTATTGCACTGAAACATGCCATACTAATAGGTGCCATGAATCACAGAGTTCTTATTGGCCAACTGTAGCCAGAACCTGCCCCCCCCCCCTCAGTGTAGGGAAGGAACATTGCAGGAAAGTTACCTTTCAAATTTCCCGCCAGTGCAACCAACAGCACATTGTGTAGAGTTAGTCTATAATCACAATAAGAGATAATGGCATTCGAGAATATTACAGAGTAACAATCTCTAAAAAGATGTAAACAAGTACCAACTATTGTTAAAAGATACTATTCCAAGTACATTCTGTGACTGGAAAAGCATGTTAAAAAATATATAAAATGTTAAATGTGGAAAACCTGGTTTAAATCCTAATGATAGTGAAGAGGCAGTACAGGAGGAAAATGATCATCTGCTCCAGTTGTTGAGTAGGCATGTTTGACTTATGCATACCATGCAGACAAGATCCAAAACTAGGCTCAACCATCCCTAGTTCACCAACTTCTGCTCTCTTCTTTGTCCATTGTTGTGTATGTTATTTTTATTTGTAGCTAGTTAGGAATGCACCACTAACTACTGTACTAGATACTTTTCCTCCCTAATCTTGCAAATCCCTTTGGGGATTTCTTGATCATGCTTGTAACTATGACCAACATGCAGAACACCATATGGGAAGCTCCTGAACAGCCACACCTACAAGTCGGACGGAACAGACCACAGGTGGAGGTCGAGGAGAGCTACTGTCAATCTTTATAAAAGGACACACGTACACGAAAAAAATAATTGGTAGCTGAAGAAACAAGAAGAACAACAACAACAAAAATTAAGCATGGAGGTGTAAATTATAACTGAAGAGACCAAGAAGAAAGAAAAGGTAAAATTTAAATCATTTATTTATAAGGTACAGTACAGTACTGGGAAATGCTGAGCTTCAAGAACTCGGGTGCCTCCCTACCAAGTTCCAACATGGTTATGAAATGGCCAGCACAGTTGTTAGTGCAGTCTGAATTGGGTTTACCCTTGGAGATCATGGGAACAGTCAAGATCAATAGGAGGCTTATACTAGTAATGATTTTGTCTTGTGTAACAGTGTCACCTAAGTAGCAGCCCTGCCTCAGCCTGTGACTCAAGTTAAAAAAGATGTCTGAATAGAAATTGGAAAAATCCAAGATCCATAGAGGAATCCTTTCATGTTGATCCTTGATATGTACCTTCTGTTGCAGCCACCTGTGTGCCTGCAATTCAAGATCCCAATATCCTACAATTGTGCATACCTCCCTCATACCTCACTCCGCTGGTTCGGTCAGTCCCGACAAGTCACGTGGAACAGCCCTGAAAGCCACTCTGCAGGTGTGAAGCATGTTGTAAGACAGAGTCTCCTGTTATGTTGAGCAGTGGAGAGTCATTGCCATTTGTATGTCCTGGTTATATGTTACATGTTAGTGGTGCTTCACTAACTAACTAGCTAACTAAATTTAGGTAAATTCTGGTAAATATCCCTTCCATGTATAGTCATACAGGATGAGCACTTCCTCCTCTTAATTACCTTATGTTACCTATCCCTTACCTGTACATTGATACATTACTCCCAAAGAGGGAGTCATCCACTTGAACCCTTGTAAAATCTTCCAAAAGAGCTTTGAGTCTTGACCCTTTTTTCTTCCTCAAGTACCAAGCAAATGTAAGGGTGCCAGTAAAGAGAGAGATTGCAAAAATTCGTTTATATAAAAGGAATCTTCTCAGGCTGGGATCTTGAGTACTGCTGTTTATATGAAAAAATAAATGATAAATTAATACACGAAAATATAATATACTCACGCTTTTTAGCAATTTGCAATCATGTGTTAAAATCATAAATACATAATTTTTTCAAAAAGGTCTATTATTTTGTAGCTCTTGAGGTAATTTTGATTCACTCTGCCATGTAGTATATCACTGACAGTCAGGCTAGAACAATATATGACTGATACCACAGGACCTAAAGCATCTCTGCGGTGTTCTAGGCCTTAGGCATCAATGTTGACCGAAAATCAATCCCACCACTAACAGATACTCAGAAGGTGTCTGTTCACAAGCCTTGAATTATCAGTCCCAATGATATCATAAATATGTTCATAAATTCTAATGAGAAGCTACCCCTAATCCATCATCAAATTACTTTGAACCTACATTGTCTGACCAACACTAGGCAGCACAACCAATCAGCATGGCTCAGCACCACCTATATCAAGCTACAGATACATCCTGACTGTTTAAATGGAAACTTAAACATTCAACTGATTACCAGCTTAACCCTTAGAGGTAATGGAGGTCATTTGGCCTCCATTACCACCAGGTATGGAGGTCATATGGTGTGAGGTTAAACCTGTCTATGCACAAAAAATAAACAAATTCCAAACAATAATGTGTCATACAATTATTCATTTGTTTGCAGAATACAAGATGTTACGCCATAGGAAACATCCATGTGACCACCAGCAATGCCAAGCAAACCCATTAGAATAGGTGAACCACAAAAAATGCTAGGATGAAGCCCACCAGCAAGTGGGCATGCTGGTGGGTTTACACAATCAAATGTGCAAATGGGCTTACACAATCAAATCCTTGTGTAACCACAGAACCTTCCCAGAACTTTTGTCCAACTAGGTGGTGAATTACTTAACATTTTGCTTAAGATAACAGTGTGCCTTATTTACTAAGTTGCTCAGATTTACCTTGCTATTGTCCGTTTTGATTTACTCTTTCTAGTGACTGTTTTTGGTTAGAATGAACTTTAATTCCCTGCTACTTGAACCTCTATGAGAGGACCAGATTTTGGTCTCTGGCTGGATTTTATTGACTTGCACTCCATTCATACATTGGTGTGACATGGTATGAATGGAGCTATCACAGGTGGCTAGTAATAGGGTGCCACCGAGTGGCCCCCAACTCCACCCCCAAAAACTGTTATATAGCAGAACTTACCTAGTATTATAGAACCTGTGTAGTCCTATGCATAAATCTGACTTGGCTAGAAGTGACCTTGGAGCTGTGTAACTCATGCTGTACAGCCTCCCTGCCCCATCTATCCTTCCAGCTGCAGTAAACAAGGGCAACGCCCGCCATAGCATTCTCTACCAAAATAATTCCTGCAAACAAATGTAGAGATTATTTAATTACCAAAATTACATCTTCAAGGTTAAAACTAGATATTTGTCAATGACAGTAAGAGTAACTATAAAAGGTATCATGGTCTCCAATACAATATTGTACTATACTAGCATATTTACAGTACAACATTATGCCCAGCCCAAAATGTGTGGCCTCCAACCTCAGACACACATTCTATACTGTATTATATAGATAAATATATACAACCTATTGAAACTTAAAAATAAGAAATATGAACATTTTCACATTTTATTGATACGTAGCACAGCGCTGCCAAGGTAATCAAGCTCAAATCAGAGGCAAGATATAAACAGTTTGGCATGTTTTTTCACCTGATGCCTCTGTTTACTCAGCAGTAAAATAGGTACCAGGGACTTAGTCAACTGTTGTGGGTTTCATCCTGGGCACGGTCAGTAGTTGGCCAAGGGATCATGGGGCCTTGGTAAGCCCAACACCAAGCTTCGTGTCCCTACCAATGAGAACTATAATACTGTAGGTATATATGGCTCTTCTTATATAGTATGATAATGGACCGTGTGTTTTTCCACCATGTCTAACATTTATAAAGTTTTCTAAAGTTCTTGTTGAATTCGATAGGCAATCAAAACTTTGGTAGATATTTTAACTTGTTAATCAATGATGTAACTTGTACAGCTTAACAAATGTTGAGGTTCAACCTATTATGTGTGTGTGTAACTTTTCCACTAATAGGGTAGGCCTATATTTTGTCGCTGTTCCATAACCATAGAGGTAGGCGAGAAACTCACCCTTTCATGTCATCATAATATTATAAAATGGATTACAATTTTAGAAACTCTAGTAAAGGTCCTGGATGATGACTCTAGACTATCCTAGAGGAGACTGTCAAGGAGTGGGAAAGGCCTTGCAAAACACCTCCTGAAGGAAGGTAATAGAAGATCAAGGGAAAACTTGTAAAAGGTCATTACCAAACTTGTTCAATAATATGTTACAGGAGAAAGAAAAGAGAACTAGAGGGATGACACAGGCAACAAAATAGGACCTTTGACAAGTCGCCGGCGTGCTGTCCCCGTTAGAGGTGTTGTGGCCCTCAGGTGAATTAACTGAACCTTACCCGGAGGAGTAAATGTGCTGTACGATACTCTGCCTCCACGAACACAGACATAAACATTTCTATGGTGCCAGACGCACGATCTGGTACGTCTGTTAGTATTCCCCTAGTTGTACTCACCTAATTGTGCTTGCGGGGGTTGAGCTTTGGCTCTTTGGTCCCGCCTCTCAACTGTCAATCAACTGATGTACAGGTTCCTGAGCCTACTGGGCTCTATCATATCTACATTTGAAACTGTGTATGGAGTCAGCCTCCACCACATCACTTCCTAATGCATTCCATTTACTAACTACTCTGACACTGAAAAAATTCTTTCTAACGTCTCTGTGACTCATCTGGGTACTAAGTTTCCACCTGTGTCTGGTCCGTCTAATACTATGCTATGTATCCTCACAATCCCAATGTACCTTCTTGTATATATATAAATAAATAAATAAATAAATAAATAAAAATTAATGTGAAAGCCATTTTGAGTTTCACTGCAAAACACGACATCAATTCGTCTGAATTATGAAATAAATACAAATAATAATAATAATAATAATAATACTATAAAATTTAGAGTAAATATACTCTCCTTCTCGGAAGAAGGAGAGTATATTTGTTTAGTTTGAAGGTAAGTTGTGAGTCCTGTACTAGTGTAGGGCGCCGCCATGACGGTCACAGCTGCTCTCGTCCCTGTGGTGTGTAAGTGTTGTGGGCCGCCTCTGTTGCCTCTTGAAGCGTGTCTGGCTTATGTGTATACCTCACAAGGCTAGTATATTACCTGTGACGTGTGGCAGATGGTGAGTGACACACTGACACTACCGTATTACCAAGATTATTGTTATGAACGGTGTTCCCTGGGCCTCACTCAGGAGAGACACCCTACTGGTTATCACTTCAACATTACTACTTAATTAGTGGTGTTATCTACCTCCCTATGTATGGTTAGGTTAGCTTGGGTTTCGTTACATTAATGCGATGTGTTATTGGCAAATATGTGAAGTATGAAGTTCGAAAACTGTTTAATTTCCCCCTACACTAGTTGTTTTGCTTCATAGTCAAGGCTTTCTGCCTTGTTTTGATAATTACTTGCTTATCCCCTACAGTTTGATTTACAGAAAACCAAATTTGTTTGGGCCGTTTCAAAGAAAACTAACAAACTATACACTTTATATTTTAAACCAACTATTTATAATATAGTACACTACTGTACAATAAAATTTATAATTTTAGAATATTGTCTGGAACAAGGGTTCACTTGGCAGTTTACAAGTAGACTATTATTGGAACTGTAATATTTTCAGACCACCACTAATATCTAGATAATTATGGAGGTGTTTGACCAGGGCGGCTGACCAGTCAGTAGTGCTCTTGTCTCCTCAGGTCACAGGAACGTTGATAGATTTGTTTTGTTCCTATTTTCTGGCTGGTTCTTTTGGCTGGGAGTTTGTGTGTGGCCCCTCCCCCAGCCTGGCCTCCCCCAGCCTGGCTACGAGGTGCCTAGAGCTGGTGGGGTGGCTGCAGGTGTGCCCATGGGGGTGGTGGCCAGCTGGCAACTGCTCATTTGGAGGTCAAAGGAAGACATCAGTTTATTTTGCCTGTTTGGGTTATGAGTATTAAGGGGCATTGGTGCTTTAGCTGTTTGCTTTGACTTTACTGTATTTGGCTACCCACTGGATGCCTGACACATTATTATCTGGGGTCACTGGGTGTTGATAGGCAATCTTGCAGTTGACTGTGTGTGGGGTGGGTGCCAGCACACCTCCCAAGGGGGATACCTGTGTCACCGAGCACCAGCCCTGCGGTACATTTGTCTGCCCTAAGGCCCAGCGAGTTTTATTTTCTGCCAAGTGACACCGTATAGCCTACCGGCTTAAGAGTTTCTTCCCGTCTCACAGGAACGATGGGATTCTACATACGGCCCTATGCTATGGCTGCCCCTAATCCTACAATAACTACAACATTAGAATTGCTTTACCCTGAGAACACCCTGGCTCATCATGGACTACAGTATATCACTGACATAACACTATAACCGCACCTTATTTTGCCCTGTTTTCTCAGAATATGTTATGGCTTTCTGGTACATTGTGTTGCATCCAAAGCCTGCAGCACCCAATAGGTCTGCATTTGTGTAACGCAGCTCCCCATGGGTCTGGATCCATGTAGCCAAAGTCCCCATGGGTCTGGATATAAATAGAAATTTAATAGCATTTCTTACACAAATATGTGCCATGGAAATCATAAAACCTGTTTTATAGTAAAAAAATAGACAAAAAGTCTTTATTATACCATATAGAACATCAACAGTTAAAAAAAATAATTTTTCTTCATTATGTGGTAAAGTGTCACCCAGAGCATCTGGGTGTCATCACGAGAGCATCTGTTTAATGTATAACCAAGAAATGTTGAAGTGGTAGATGTCCACAAGGGACGAGGAGAATATTTGCCAGCCAAATGTTTGACATGCATGTGCTGTATGAGAATCGTGATGACTAGTATATTTTAAGATTATGCTTCCTCCCAAAGTATAGATGTCAAAATATAGATGTTTAGGATTGATAATTTTGTTTTTTTTATTCCTTTCAAGCAGGTGTAAGATTCCCCAAAGTGCAGGCTTACTGGTAGACACCAATAGCACTCTGGTCTACATCATTGGCTCACAATTGAGGCATCTGGGTTTAATTTCCAAGTGGGACAAAACAGGTGTGCACATTTATAATAATATTAATATTAATAGTAATAATAATTACTGGAACCTTTGGCAAGCCGCTGGCTTTCTGTCCCTATTGAGGCCATTGGGGATGATGGTTCCCAGGTAGATTATGGTTTTTAAATGGCCTTTTTTTTATACAGTGCAAAACTCAAGAATGCTTTAAATCAAATAAATGAATTGTATAGCAATATAACATTTATCTCTTAAGAAGTTGTTAAATTTTTTGCCTCTGTTAAAGGCAAAAAGTGGAGAAGGAACTTCATTATGTATTACTTACACGTGTCTAATTTTTTATCTGGATTATTTGCCATTTGTAAGGTTAACAGTTGCCAAATCTTCCACTTCACTTCTGCATTTTATGATCCCACAATTTGGAGGTCTTACCGAGATTCAAACTCAATAATGTACCATCAGATGGGGCAATTTAGAACAGATTAGGCAATTGAGACTTGACTAAGGTAATTGAAAACACCCTCTCCAGAGGTGAACAAAGGTAATGGCTACTCCATAAGCATTATAAATATATCTTGTTAATTAAACCTCGAAGTGTTCTCATTACATCAGTCTGTTCTAAATTGCTCCACCTGACAGTAAGGATCAATAAGTGATCATTGCCTTTAGCAGTCTTTTTATTTAAATGCTTGTAGATTTATTTAGTTTGTGTTTTTCAGTAGCACACGTGTTAGTGTGTGCAGGCATGAGTGAAGTGCGTCACTTCAATAATCCCTACCCTAGGGAAAGTGGGGAAGACGGTGAGCATATTTTGGATTGCACAACACAAAAGGTAATTTCATAATGTTGTAGAAATATTACAATTTCATAAATAAAATTTCATTGCATAATGTATGTATGTAATGTATGTTTGTGTGAATCAATTGAGGATTTGTTTGACCGTTTTGCTGCTTTGTTTTCTGTGAACCCTCCAGTCGTCTATAAAGGTTGCCTGACTTTGTCGGCTTTGTCCGTTGGAGTGGCAAGTTGTCACCTGCTCCCTGTGCCTCTTTACGAGAGGGCGAGGTTCTGGTTCTCAGTAGGCCAAACAGAACTTCACAACTTATGTGACTCTTTAGTATGTAACAATCTCAGTGAGATAGTTTCAAGGGGCCACAAATGCCCGCAGTAAAAGTCTTTTCATTACATTCAGTTCTTTTTTGTTAATGTAATTTTAAATAAGACTTTAGAGTACAGTATTACAAATTCTTTCAATTTTATTTCTAGTTGGATGTTCTGTAAGTCCATAAATATTCAAATGTGTTTAATTTTTTTAAGTATGATATTCATAAGATGAAGTTGCTCTTATTCTCAACTAAATTTTGCTAAGATCAAATTACTGGTAGATGTGTGATACTGAGGATCTTAGGAATGACATAAATATTTTTCAGCTCTCTGAAGAGTACACAAGTAAGACATGGAAAAATATAAAGATGTTGTTGAATATTCTGGATGTAGAACTGTCAAAGGAACATGAAACAAGTGACACTTCAGTGTATACCGGGATGAGTGGTCATGTGTTGCTGTATCTTCATGTGGCTCGGGTTCTCAACGATGATAAGTACCAACAGGTGAGCTACAATGTTAGTGGTAAGGTTTATAATACAAGAAGTTCTCGCTTAACGAACATTCGCCTTAAAAACATTTGTCTAAATAAACATTCTTCCAGGTCCCTATGTATCCCCCTCATGCATAAAATCATTGTACAGTACAAACTCGCTGGAGTGTTCCTTTGAATTTCGTGTCAGCGTGAATGTCCGTGTTGCAGCCACATGGAGTACAGTATTGTATGGATGGTGGCTGATGCTGATGTAGGTTTGTGTGGGTGGGTGGCTTGATGTGTGAGATACTCCCTTACCCAGGGACCCTCAATAATCCACACACACATGATTTGATTGTGTTTACTGTGTTAGTGGGGTGGGGCCCTGGGCTGGAAATAGACGGGTGGGGAGGTGTTAACGCGTGAGGCCAATTACAAAATGGTGGACCACCAATACAGTGCACATGTATTTTCATTTATTAATGCAATTATACCACTACACTCTTCAAAAACAGCTATGACAGGCAGGATACTGTAATTCCATCATTCAAGGTAAATAATGTTGTAATTTTTTATATTATGTCCTAAAAATATTGGTTTTGTGAGGATCTTTGGTGGCCTGGGAACACATCTTCTATTTATAGCATTGCACCTGTGGAAAATCTTGATTCACTTTCTGAACAAATGCTTTACAGACAGTCTCAGAACGTAATTCGTTCATAATTGGGGAACTGCGTGTAATACATAGTTTAATTATGTATGTATATACTGTACTGTATATTTATTTCATATTACTGTACCAAGGATAATACAACTGCAGTTGACTAACAAAAGATGGGGTGACATTGTGTTTGTTAATGGCAAAAGCCATTTTGTGCACCAACTTTTTTTGAAAATCATCAGTTCAAGACTCAGTGTGCGCTGAAATACATCTATAAATTATTTGTGTGGTCTAAATATTAGAACATCAAGAAGACATTGCACAATGACATGCCTAACTAATGGCATGCTGAATAGGTTAGATATCAAAAGCTATTTTGATATTCAAGGTAACTAGGAAGATGCTGCCTATTCAACCTTCTTCAAACGTATTTTTGGGATGGTCATAGAACCCAATCAAGTTTACCAAGCTTGACTTTCCTATGGAGCTATGTTGTTTCCGTTACCAAAGTCAATTGTGTTAAACTTCTATAGTGTGTGAAATTTTTTTTAGTTGAAAATGTAATTCTTGTTTTCTTGTGTGCAACATGAGTGAATAAATTGTATTTCAGAAAGCTAGAGTACTGGTAGATAAGGTACTTCAGAAGCTGAAGAGTCGAAGACCTTCATTTTTGTGTGGAGATACCGGTCCTCTAGTGCTTGGTGCTCTCGTGTATCACAACAGCTTGCTGGAAGATAAAGTCAAACACTGTATTACAAAGTAAGTCTTCTCTTTTAGCAGTTTATTTAAATTAACTACTACATAGACTGATATTGTAATCATTCGGTGATGATTATACAGTGGGTAAGTTGACATGAAAACAATGATGTAAGCTTCAGTAGTGCACTACTGCTTGAACAGAACTCTGCATTCTGGCAAGCTGGATGGAGTTGAAGGCATCTTGGTTAGTAGAGTGATTATTATTTTCAGTGCAGTGGCAGATAATTAAAGTCATCTGGTGAAGAGAGTCCATACATTAGCTGGAGGGGAATTAGATGTCAAGAAACTTAAGAGAATTTTAATACAGTGCTTAAAAATATACTTTAAAATTTATAAATGCTAAGTACAAAATATTTGTTAAAGCAGTAAGAGCATAATAATTTTTGGTATAAATAGCTATAAATGGCAAATTTTGGATGTAACATAATGTTGGTTGCAGTTGAAGGGGTCCTTTTGAGCTGTTGCGTTAAACAGAGGCTACAGTTAAGGAATTGCGCCCAGTAAATCCTCCCCGGCCAGGATACGAACCCATGACATAGCGCTCGCGGAACGCCAGGCAAGTGTCTTACCACTACACCACGGAGACTGGTATTTTAGTGATATTTAACACCTTTTGAATATCCCGCATTTTTACGGTGCTACATAGCCTCCCCGGTTTGGTACCTTCTTTTGATACTTGCTTACTTACTGTAATGATACAAATTAGTTGCTTTCACAAGTATAATTTGTTAGACTCAAATAAATGTCACACTATTGCATATGTAAAATATAATACATCTAATTATATTTTCGTGATAATAATTTAATTTTTATTTAAAGAAAAGTAAATAGGATATAAGAAAATTGTACGAGTCATGGGTAGGGTAGATACAATGTCTAAAGCCAATATGCAGAAGTTTTGGGCATAAAATGGGGAAAAAACTAAAACAAAACTAAATGAGGTCAAATACAATAATGAATTAAAATAGAGGAATATAAATAAAATTACAATTATTACATGATTGGAACAGTAAAAATTGCAACAGAATGTTAATTTTACAGCATAAACAGATGAAATAAAAAGGTTACGGTATTAAATTTTTAAATGTCATATAACTGCAGTAGTATCATATATAGATATCAACATCATTTACTGTTTCTAATTTAGATGTTATTTACGAAAACTATCTTCATACAATGTTTTGTTCAAAGATGACGTTTTTTATGATAATATACTTTACAGAATAAAAGAATTGAAAAGGGAGGTACTGAATACAAAGTCAGAGCTCCCTGATGAACTTCTCTATGGAAGAGCTGGCTATCTATATGCACTTCTCTTTCTTCAGCAAAAGGTCTGCATCTCTGTCTACTGTTTTCTTTCACATTACATTGGCCTATTAAATATGAAATACACGATTTACCACTAAATTGTTATTAGAGTATTAGTTGATACTTATGGTGTTCAAATGTATTGCTGTTATTACTGTACATTTTAATATCCTCTCTTCACAAAAATCATTGGAGCACCCCAGGGATTGGGATCAGCGTTCTGCATCTCCCAAACTGAGTGGGTGCAAATCCCCGGAGTGCTCCATTGAGTTTCATGTAATGATATTGTGATTTCCTAATGTGTATCCTCTTTTTATTTTGTTGCATATTTATTTAGATTGGGAAAGAGGTTGTTGATGATAACATGATACGGTCAGTGGTGACGGCAATATTAGACTCTGGACGTGCTCTATCTTTGAAGGAGAAGTGTGCTACCCCGCTCATGTACCAGTGGCATGAAAAGCGATACATTGGAGCTGCACATGGTATTATTGGCATATTATTCATGCTTTTACAGGTTGGTAAATATCTTTCACAAGATCAGATTTTATATCTAAATACTATTTGTTTGTGAGTGGAATGATAGGTTATAAATGCATAATCATCCTATGTACAATATGACATTAATCCTTGAGCAGTGGGTATGGAAAAATGGTCAAGCCCGCCTAAGCTAGAAAAAATATAAAAATATACAAAATAATTGTTCATTAAAGAATTATTATTTTGTATGCAAAATTTCAGAAAAAAACATTAGTGAATAGTTACACACTGAAATCACCATTGTGTGATGCATCAAATGAACAAATCCACCAGGGCTGTGACGAGGGTTCGAACCAACGTCCGAGAGCATCCAACATAGGTTTAAACCCTCGTCATGGCCTTTGTGGATTTGCTCATTAGTGAATAGTTACCTTTTTACTGGGTGGAGGCACTGAAAGGTTGTGCGGTGGCAATGTGGTCTGGCGTCTGTTAACACACGATGCCAACTTTCCTCTATCTCTAAATTGTTCAGTGTTTTAAAAGTTTCGATGAGATCTGCCCTGTCATGCCTAATTTGCAGTCTTGTTAGCCCTGAGGCCCCTCAACCATTCCTGGTATGAGAGTTGACTTATTTCTGTTATGATTTTGTCGCCTGGTTTAGTCCCAGGCAAGGCTTTGGGAGTAGAAGAATTCCCAGAAACCCCTCCAGGTAAGATTTAAATTACAGTACAGCATTGAACTGTAAAAGTAATTTTCAGTTTTTGTTTAATATTCCAGGCCCACTTATGGGAAAACTTACCAATGATTTATAAATTTAATTTGATTTAAGCTGTGTTTATTTTAATTTATTTTAAATTAACACTTATTATTATTATTACTGAGTGGACATTGATTTGTATCACTGATAAATTTCCTGTACTCAAATTTTTTTTTATTATATTTTAATCTTACCATAATTAAACAGTCAATTTATTTACTAAAGTATTAATAAATACTTTATTAATATACAGTACTGTATTAATATATTAATTTGTCGGAAATTTCTGACACCACCATACTAGCGCTTTCTTCCTTTACTCTTCATTCTAACCTTATGTGATCCTCTTTCTCTTTTACATCCCTCTTGCAGTCACTTCAGCAGTCAACAATAAAAGTTTCCTTTACATGGCCATGTTTAAATTTGACTATATATCACATTTTGTGACTTGTCATTTCCAACAGGCAAAAGAACATCTTTCTACAGAAGAATTGCACGAGTTGATTCGGCCGACAGTTGACTACCTGTGCAGCTTACAGTTTAGCTCTGGTAACATGCCATCGTCGATGGGCAACCCAACAGACCGACTAGTGCACTGGTGTCATGGAGCTCCTGGTGCGGTATTCCTGTTCGCTAAAGCATACCAGGTAGTTTTATAGGACAAGTATTTAAAATGGTTTTTCCCGATTTTCCAGGTCATGTATTGCTGCTTTATTTTCAGATATAGTCAAGGTAAATAACATTTTTCTTTAAAAATTAATTTTTATTTTTCAATTATTGTAAGATATCCCTGGTATTATTGTTGATTTAGAGGATGATGACCCCATGGATTGGAGTTTTCCCTGTTACACTAGACATGGTAGAGGAGGTATAATTGGTTGTTTAGCTTGGTTCTGTACAATGACATGTAAGCATTTTATAATCAGAATGGGATTATAGAGCTAAAATTACTATTGTAGATGTATGTAAATGACCCAGGTAAGGCTTGGAAAAATGTTAACATTTGATAATTAGTACTATTAAATTACTTTGTTATAACAATTGTACTGTATATACTGTTTTCTATAGTAATTAGTATGCAAGAAACTGTTTGCTTAAATATGTGACATGCCATGCTTGTCTTTAAAATGCTTTCCTGTTTGTTATAGTACAAGAATACAACACTGCAAATATAAGCATTTACTGTGAAGAGCCTTAGATATGGCACATATATATTTACTTTTCTCAGGTTTTTGGAAATAAGAGTTACTTGGAACATGCGAAGAAATGTGCCGAGTGTGTTTGGGAGCGTGGGCTGTTGAAAAAAGGTTATGGCCTTTGTCATGGCTCTGCAGGCAATGGATATGCTTTACTCTATCTTTATCAGGTACGACTAATTTTCTTATGTTTGTGTGTTAATGTCCTGTATTAGTTTAGTACATTTATTATGCACCCTATACCCATCCTGAGGGTGGTAGTGAAAAGGGTTGCAGAGGCACATAATGGGCTCAGGGACTGAACCCCAAAAATTATATAGCTAAGAAAGTAAGTCTTGTGGGCTAGTTACAAAATTAATGTATATTGTTACATCAACAATGGGTTCGAGACCGACCACAAGTATAGTCTCCAAGTTAAGCAACTATATGGAGTGCTAGTGTCATAAATGATGCATTTATCCTGCACACCACTTTCCCCAACCAGTGGTCAGTGATGGAAAGGTTGCAATCTCTCACATTTACTACCTACATTCAGCAAACTGTGGATATTTGGCAAAATTTTATGGTAGTAGATCATTTTAAATTAAATATTTGCACATTTCTTGAACCTTTGTTAAAGAATTGTCTGTATTCACATGTCTTTTTCCCACTCCATCACATAGTGAGGGGAGGGCATGCGAATAATTTTGTTGACATGGATTACATTTGGTCAGGTCAACATCAGCAGGCAATGAAAATTCCCAGAGATACTTATATCCGAGTCTAAGCCGAGCAGTAGTAACATCTAGGAGTCTGCTGATTATATTGGCTGATCCATAGATGGGTGGCCCTTCTTGTGTGATAGTATGATGATAGATGGAATTACTGATGTCAATTTCACTTTCCCTCAGATTTGCAAGATTTTGTTGAAGTTCTTGGTGTATTATTACTCTAAAAGACAATCTTGCTCTATAGGCAATCCAAGGTTATACTCAATTTCTCCTTTAAAGGCAGATTCTTTGGCTAACTCATCGGCTCTAATCATGCATTTGGAGGTTAATATGACATGAACTCCACATGAATTGCTCACTAATTTCAGAACTGATAGTGTGTTAGTTATACTGCATATTCCTTTAAAATTAGTTCTCAGAATATTGTTCTTTAGATACCTTGGCATTTTTAGAGCTTAAATAGTATGATAATTAGCACAGATTTAGTGATTATACAGCACAAAAATTACCATTAATTCTTATATAATCATTCTTGATATTTTTATTTTAATAACATTCAAGTTTAGCAGGCACAGTTGACTGTTACTGTACATTGTGTGTATTTTAACATTTACAGTATTCGTCTTATATCATATGTTATAAAATTATGATATGTGGGCATGTGTTCCTGCAAAGCACATGTACAATAGTACCATACTGTACTGCTATGTATTTTGTTGACAAATATAATTAAGATGCATTCCAAGATGATGAATTAGGTTATAGATAAAAATACTTTGTGCTGCACTGTAAAATATAGTTTGATTGGCATATTACACTGTAAAACTACATAAAATAAACCATGTTGCGTGTGTGTGTGTAGTGCACATAAAATAATTTTGAAGGAAATGAACATGTGGCAAAACATGTCGGTAAACATAGGTACTGTACACTACTACTGTACACAACCACAACCATATTCACAGACATCTCGGTAGACTTAGTCCTGTAGAGTACACACCTTGGCTGTCTGCATTTTATGTTGAGCAAGTAGAACAAAATAAGAGATTATAATAAAACTACTGTTTATACTGATCCAGGTGACAAGGGATGCAGTGTACTTGTATCAGGCTGCACAGTTTGGCAATTGGGGTCAAGAATATGGCAAACATGGCTGTCGCACACCAGACAGACCATTCTCTCTCTTCGAGGGATTGGCAGGCAACATTCACTTCTTAGTTGACCTCACAAACCCAAATGAAGCAAAGTTTCCAGGATTTGTAGTGTAGTAGAATTAAGATACAAAAACAATAAAGGCTGTGCTATTTGTTAACTTTATTATTTCTTCCTAGATATATAAATTAAAACCAGTACAGTATATTGCATATGAATTATTGCATGCACCTCTTCATTTTAATGCACATGTTCTCCTTCCTAGTTTGTTCTGTTTTATGTACAAAGTACAATATTTGAAGAGCCTTTACTGTATGAATATAATAATGAACATAAATCACAAATATCTCCTTGCTAGTCTAACAAAGACTACTTCATTGTATCACACATACCATATTGTATAATTATTTTATTGTACTTTAATTTAGAGTGAGTCGAGGTTTCTTGAAATAGGAAAGTAATTTTTTCTGCTTGACATTTTCCAGTTATGTGAAATTGCAATTGTACCCAGAGAGATTCAGACCTATCCTGTGATATCCTATGTATGACTATGACTAGACACGTATGTACTGCTTGACCATGACAGCTTAAAAAAAGAAAAGGATGTCCATAGAGATGTCTCCATTCCATGAGGTTTCTTCGAGGTTTGAGGGTCTCTACAAACAACCAGAGGTTGTACCCTAATATGTGTATATATATTATACACATACAAATATACAGTTTACTTGTATATATATTATCACATCACATCAGCACAATTGAAAGAAGCTAAGAGTCAGTAATTGGGCATTCACCTTCAAAGTTGAACTGTTGCTTATTCTTGTAGCATTCAAAATTATTAATTATTTTTAGTTATTCCAGAAATGCTTTGTATACTAGTGGCTTTTTTTTTTTAATATGCATATACTATGGTAATAATCCTAAGGTGTGGAATGACCTCCCAATTGAGATTAAAGCTATACTGTACTTCTCTCAACCAGTTTAAGAGAAACTAAGAAATACATATATGTACTGTAACAAATAAAAAAAATTTCATTCGTCCTAAACAAGTTAATGCGTGTTGTGCTATTATTGTGTATACAGTATTAAAGTAGTGTTGAAGCTTCAGGTTCTATAATAAAGTGCTATATACATGCCTCTCATCATTAAGTAGCTCTTAAAGTTAGACCAGGCACCAGTTCATAACTAGGGGAGAGCTTACATTAGACCAGGCATCAGATCATTAGACCAGGCATCAGATCATTAGACCAGGCACCAGATCATTAGCCCAAGCACCACATTACAACTGGGAGTGCCAACATTAGACCAGGCACCAGATTATCATGGAAAGGGAGGAGGCATTTTGTGTGGATGGGACGACCATATACCCAGGGTTTGAACAAGAACAACTTTAACTGATTTGTTTTATATTTATTTTATCGTCAGTTTTACTCTATATATTTTCTGAGTATTGTTTTACTAATACTATAATCTTTTAAATCTAGGAATTACATTTCATTACATTAGTTTTTAAAATGCATTTAATATCCTTAACATAATCTTCATATGAATGACATTTACTATCACTACAATGTCATAATACCTATCTGTGTGTCTACTGGAAAACTACAGTTTAATAGGCACAGCTGGTTATCATCTAGCTTTATGTATCACAATGTTGCAGTCCCTAAGCCAAATAAGCAATTTGAATGGGTACAGGAGTAGCTAAATTCATATGTTTGTTAACAGGCTGGGGAGCTTTACCTTCCCATAGTTCATGGTAAGCTTTACAAGTTTTCCCTAGAACACAACCTACTAATCGGTTAAAAACCTGGTCCTCAATTACTACTGCGTGAACAGGGGGCAAACTGTTAAAGATTGGCACCCAGTCAATCCTCCCTGGCCAGGACTCGAACCCAGACCATATCGTTCGCAAGGTGTGGGGCGAGTGTTACCACTACACCATCCGAGACTTGATGGCTTTGGATTCTTGAGCAAACTACCACCATCCCAGTAGCTGATAGGTCCAAGGACCCTGAACAACTAATCCCATCCAAGTAATTGGTGGGTCCCACCAACCCGAGATCACTGAGCAAGCTGGTACCATCCAGGTAGCTGGTGGGTCCCACCAACCCGAGATCACCGAGGAAGCTGGTACCATCCAGGTAGCTGGTGGGGTCCCAGATCACTGTGCAAACTAGTCCTTTGCTATTTTTAGTTTTACAGTAATTTACAGAACAGTAAACAAAATATTTAAGAAGGCAATCTTGCATAGATAGGAATCGTTAAAGCTATACTGGATAATAATAGAAATACAGGTACAGTAATAAGTAATAATAAAACTAATATTGCAATGTTAATGTTGTGTTTTTATCTGTTATAAGTAACGGCTAACAGCTAACTTGCACTTGTATGATAATGTGTTTCCAAGATGCTACCAGGAGAATAACTCATCACACACAAACATCAGCATCACCATCACTTTTAATTTCACCACCAACATTACACATCTCCTGAGATTCAGACATCAATATTATTGCACTCCTCAACATCTTTAAAAGAGCAACATACCGGGAATTCTCCCTCTCACCCAAGATCATTTCATCTATTAGTGATAAGGGGCAAAATGCTTTAGATCTCATACTCAGTTCATTTATTTTATGTGTGCGCTCCACCAAAGCTATTGCTCCAGAAGTCAGCTCGTTTTCAAGGTCATGCACCGCCATCTTATTTATCATGATCTTTGTTTCCAACTCCTTTATTTGGCTCTTCAAGTCATCATACCTTAGTTTCTGGTTGTTGTCAATTCTTTCCTCTGGTATTTCAAAAACAACATATTTTTCTTTCTCAACCTTATGGTGTGCCAAATCATGGGAGCATCCATCACTCTTGCATATACCACGGGATGAAATGGGGCATCTTGTGCTTGTTTTCCTTTTTAAAAGACCAACAGTAAGTCCAGCAGTTAAACCAACAACAGTTCCAATGCCTCCACCAATTGCAAGTCCAACTGGACCACCAAAAATACCCACCTCTGCTCCTAACAGTGCTCCGGCACTTACTGCACCACCAACTCCTGTAAAAGCTGCAGTGCCAACTCCAGTGCCAGTTCCAGCCAATGCAGCAGCTATATTGGTTGGGTCTTCACAAAAATTGATGCAAGTTTTTTGACAGATCTCACAGTTATGGGCATGAAATCCCTCGATAACCGAAGACTTTTCTTTTTGTGGATTCATTTCAATTTTCGTACATGTGATTTTTTTTGTTTCATCTGCAGTTTTGCTTAGTAATTTTTTCTGATAATTTATTGTGTCAATCAGCACAGCAGTTCGTTTCACAGTGAGTTTTAATGCAGTTTTTGTTTCCTCAAGGAGCCTATACTCCTGCAAAAGGTTTCTTGTCTGTTGAAGGCTTACTGAAGTAGAATTCAGTAACTCTTCAAAAAATCTGGAATACTCTGCTTGCATCTTATCCCATCTATTTTGAAGAAACTTGGGTGTTTCTTTTTGAGATGCATTATCAGTAAGTAGAACATACAGAGGCCAGTTGTCAAGTTGGTACACGTTGACAAACTGGACTTGGGCGTGCCTCGCCACATTTGCAACTGCACAAGTGTCATCTGAAGCAAATGTAGCCAGAAGCTGTGTTATGTTGCTAATATTACTTCCCAGGACTGAGGTAAACTCTTCTAGCATTTGCGACTGGTATGTCAAAATCCCGTTTTCATTTGCCTTGGCTACTAAAGCAACACAATTAAGGTTATCAATATTGTACTTGTTTCCCAGGAAGATGGCCAGTCTTTTAATGGAAACTTGATTATGAACTTCTCTGTTGGCAACAAGCCCAGGTGTATCTATCAACATATAATTACACTTCAGAGGCATTCCTGTTTGATAGTAGACAATGTAGGCTGTAATATATTCTGTCCGACTCTCTACTGGAAGGAGATCGTCTCGTTTAACATGATCTTTCAACTGGAGCCTAAAATTATCCTCAAGGTTGACACGAAAGAGATGGTTAATCATGCCATTGATGACTGTGGTCTTGCCAGCCCCCGTCTGCCCCAGCAGCAGAACTGACTTAATGGGATCCTCATTCACAGGTCCAATGGCCATCACTTGTATTTTGTTGTCTTCATCCTTGTGAATGAGTTCTGTTCTTATCTGATATACTGTAAGTACATCCTTCTCTTTCACTACTGAGGAACAGCTTCCTATCAAGTTCTTCAGCCAGGGATTCTCCATCTTGACATAGACCTGAAAATATTCTATAATTAATTATAACATTTTCATTACAAATAATACAATGGCACATTATATGAAGATATTAAGTATAAACAATTTATAAGGTGCCAGACATATACAGAAAATATTATGTATCTATGCCCTTATTATGTAAATAATAAGTATCTAAGTATATAAAATTATGTATCTATGCCCTTATTATGTAAATAGCCCAACTATTTACTCGCTTCAATTCATTACAAGGTGTAACCACTGCAGAGGTGTCTGTCACAACATTAACATTTTACTCTCTTAATCTCTCAATCTTCCCCCACTCTTTTATACATTGTTCCACTCTTCCCTTCCATGATACCTCTACCTTATGAGCCCCTTATTTCACAATTGTACACCCTTCTCACTAAACAATTATCAGGCATTCTACTAACGTGTTCGTAACAACTAAGTACTGTATATTCCCTGTATTTCCCCACATTCTTAAGTACTGTATGCAGTCCCCGTGGTGTAGTGGTTAAGGCGCTCACCTGGCGTTTCGTGAGCGCTTTGTCCTGAATTCGTATCCTGGCCAGGGAGGCTTTACTGCGTGAAAATCCTTAACTGTAGCCTCTGTCTAACCCAACAGTAAAATTGGTACTTGGTTGTTAAACGATTTAGCGGGTCGTATTCCAGGGAACATAGGATTAAGGACTGGCCGGAAACGCAATGCATACTAGTGGCTGTACAAGAATGTAACAACTCTTGAATATAAATAAATAAATAATAATAAATATTGCTCTTCACTCACTCCACATTTAATTCCATTATCATTTTCAGTCATGCTGTTTCTCTCATCTACTTCCTTAGTAGGCATCCATCAGTCTCGGGAGACTATGGAGTTGTGCTCTGGTTGTCGGTCTGGAGTGGCCTCTCCAGGGTGCAATGCCAGGGTAGGTTGATACAAGGGAGAAGCTGTCACCTCATATAGCAGGTCCCCCCTCTCCACGGTATTTAAAGTCTCCAATGGAAAGGTAAACATTAATAAAATTGGTTCCAGTGCCATCGCAGAAACTGTCAGGAAAAGGTTGAAGGCAACAACAAACTGCCCTAGGGGCTCCAGCTCCAGAATTTACCTCAAAATTGGTAAAAGAAGGCACAGGAGCTCCAAACCCAGAGACCATCGTGATCAGGGCCAGAGAAGAACTGCCCCAACATTTATTTCCTCCGGCTTATAAAACGGAGGAGAATTCTGAAAGATATTGTTGATAGAAACGTTATCCCCACAGACACCAATCAGAAGATACAATTAATAATTTACTACAAAAACAAGACCGCCAACCTACTTATGAAGAACTCTCCAGACACCAAACAGAATGCCTTAAAAAGAGACCAATGTTGTCTATGCCTTCACATACCCACTTAGGGACTGTCAACCCCAAAGAGCAAAGAGCTTTGCAGTCTCCGTGGTGTAGTGGTAAGACACTTGCCTGGCATCCCGCGAGCGCTATGTCATGGGTTCGTATCCTGGCCGGGGAGGATTTACTGGGCGCAATTCCTTAACTGTAGCCTGTTTAATGCAACAGTAAAATGTGTACTTGGATGAAAAAACGATTCTTCGCGGCAGGGGATCGTATTCCAGGGACCATAGGATTAAGGACTTGCCCGAAACGCTACGCGTACTAGTGGCTGTACAAGAATGTAACAACTCTTGTATATATCTCAAAAAAAAAAAAAAAAAAAAAAAAAAAAAAAAAAAAAAATAATAATATAGGCAAGACAACAATGTCTCTCTCTAGGTGAGTAACAATGCACAAGGAACAGGGCTCCATCAAGGAACATTAAATCTCCTCACACAACCAGACCATCACCAGAGACATATTAACAAGCAACACTGAAATAATGGACAGGTATAATGACAACAGAAGACTGGACATGAGCGAGGCCCTACACATCAAAAAGTCAAGACCAGCAATCAACAACCAGTTAACACACAATTGCATTCTACCCACTTCAAGACCACAAACCAATATAGAGGCAGTAGCAGCAAGAACATAAGCTGCTTATGTTTGTGCATGTAATAGCCTATTAATATCCATTTTATTTCATCCACGTGTTCGTCTCAATCACGTCCTGTACCACCTCACCCCAGGAAAATATAAGCCTTTGCAAATGCATGGGTAAATTTGTCTTTGAAAATGTAAGGAGTGCCTTGCGAAATGAATCCCAAGGCGTCAGACCATAATATAGTGAAAAAAAATGTATATATACTGTATATGGTATAGTTTTAAATAATTCTCTGTACATTTCATGTAATTCTGACAATAAAATTGTTTGAACATTGCTAGGATTAGAACAAGTAAAGTTATTGAAATGAATTAAAATACTGTAAGCATATTTCAAAAGCTGAAACCACCACTTGAATGCAAAAAAAAAAAAAAAAATATTGATCGACTGCAGGCATATTACGCCAAAACAAAGTTAGATCAACATCATTTGGAGTAAAATTAATTAACTTATTAATGATTATTCTTATTTATTTGCATTCCAAATACTGTTTTGCAGTAAATAGCTCAGGAGAGGAGTTCTTATAGCTAGGGTGCCATATGTTTTAAAGTTATACAAAAATCATAAAGTATTTAAAGAAAACAATGATACTGCCATAACTACTTTTATTGTAAAAGATTCACAACATTATAGTGAACAATTATTTAATGCACATGTAATTATACACTAGAGTAGCTAGGAATTAATAACCAGCATATATTCTAGTTCATATGTCCAAACTAAACTTAAAGAAACAGAGCCTAATTTTTCATATACTGTACAGTACTCTACTCTACTGTATCTAGAAGTAACGAGCATCTATAACATAAATTTTAGAGATACTAAATTCTCTGACTTTAAAAACCTATTTACTGCATATGGTTCATGCAACTTACAGAGCAAGCATGGAAATATAGCAACACTGCATGTTGGTGGCTTGATAGCAATTTCAGAGACACCTATTTACGGTTGTAAGCTGCCATATTTAGGCTCGACATTGGAATACAGTACATATTTTGTATATATTGTATTGTACAGACTAGTAACTTTAGTTTAATAGCCTATGGATAATTTTAAAGTACTGTGCAGTTGAAACTTAAGAACAAAATATCTTCCAAAAAGAAAAGCAGTTTTGGGTTGGTAGAAAAACATGAAGAGAGTAGGAAACTTTTCATATATTTTTGGCAGCCTTATGTTGGAAAGTAGTTAAATTGTCATGAAACTATTCATTTATTACTTGAATGGCACATTTAATTATTCTTGTACATATTACTGGTATTTTCATTGTTCTTTAAAGCCCTGGCCAAGAATAATATGTGGAAACATTTTACTAGTGGAAGTTTACAGAGGAAAAGTTACTCTCACACCAGGTGCTGTATGGAAATATATCATAAAGACAACAAACTACTGTGGCTAAAATTTCAATTAAGAAAGATTAAAAAATTAAAAAGTTCGTAAACATTTCATTAAATTTTTAATGTCTCACCAATTGTGAAGAAAAATTTGCTTATCATTGTTCAAGCGCAAGGAAATAATTATATATATGTTGTAAGCAATTATCAAAAGGCACCAAACAGGTAAGGACATGTTAGTAACTGCCATATATGTAGTATCTTGCCATTCATCATTGTCAGAGTCTAATGTAACTGTTTTTTTAGCATTATTTCTCAAATTTATTGTGCAGTGAACAGTGGAAGCAACTAAAAGTTTATACTGTATTTATTTTACTGACTTGTCCATCAAGTGATCATGTGCTCCATTACACACTCTGGTGCCCACACTTGACTAACGCTGCTGCAGTTCTCTAGGCTCCTCCACACCTCCAGTTTGCACCATTCAGCCCAGTAGCCTCCAAACAATCCCCGAAGAATAAGGCAACTATATCACTGACATTACACCCGTTAGAAAGTATAAAAAAAAAAATTATATATTTTCCTCCAGCTTCCTTTGTGTAAAGGATTTGCTGACCGTGAACGAGCAAGTTGTGTTGTGAGGTAACGCGGTAGTCTTCACTTCTGGCAACACTCGGGACGGTTCCTGGAGTCTGAAACACTATTGTGCTGATTCATAAATTTAGACTTGAGTTGAAGGTCTAATCACGTGAGTAATCGGTCTTTCTACACAGGTTTCCATGACGGAATGACTGTTGTGTTGATGGCGTCGGATGATCACTTTTTCTACTGATGTAACGCTACGTTTTCTATGGTATGTATGCCATACTACATTTTTCTTTTATTTACCTGAATTTATCTGAGGGCCATTAACACTCACCTAGTTGTATTTGCAGCGGTTGAGCTTTGTCTCTGGTCCTGCCTCTCAACCGTCAGTCAACTAGTGTACAGATTTCTGACCCTACTGGGCTCTATCATACCTATATTTGAAACTGTGTATGGAATCAACCCACAATTCACTGAACACTGAAAAAATCTTTCTAACATCTCTATGGGTCATCTGGGTACTAAGTTTCCACCTGTGTCCCCTAGTTCGTGTTCCACCCGTGCTGAAAAGTTTGTCTTTGGAATTCGCTCCCTAACGAATTAAAAATAAATCCAAATTATGCCCTATTGAAAAGTAAAACCAAAATGTACCTAATTTCATCCTCGGTTTCCTACATTGTGCTTCAAACTTGCATTGTATTTTGAACTACCCACTTCCCCAATATTAGTACTGTACACATAACATATTACCAGTGTAATCACATGTCAATTTATATTGTAGTTATCTGTTGATATAAAACCTTTCTACTATGTACCTTTTCATCTTACCTGACATTTGACTAAGTTCCTTCCCGAAACGCTGTGCGTGTTAGTAGCTTTACAGGAAATACATACAAATATCAATCTTGTGTGGTTTCACCAACCCATTGTACCTTCTTGTGAATAGATTATTACTGAGAGAACGTAAGGCGCGGCCCGGAGGGGAAGCGACCATCAGAGTCAACACTGGAGAGAGACTCATGTGCTTCCACACACCTGCTGCCCCACTGCCTGTCAGGTCACACACCTGGACATCCCTCACTGTCTGCCAGGCTACACACCTGCTGCCTCCCTGCCTGCCAGGTCACACACCTGGACACCCCTCACTGTCTGCCAGGCTACACACCTGCTGCCTCCCTGCCTGCCAGGTCACACACCTGGACACCCCTCACTGTCTGCCTGCCCTTCACAACAACACTCATCGCAGGAGAAAACCTTCAGGTAAATTGCACATACATTGAAGAAGTAATATTTGATACTGTCTCACTCACGGGCGACATCATCAGATGTCTTTAAGCTCAGTATGGAGGTATGATAAGGAAATAAGAGACAGTCAGAAGTAGAGAGAACGACGTAAACCACGATATTACCAAAATTTCAAACATTCACCGTGTTAAAGACTAATTAAATCTTTTACACAATTGCAACATCAGTTGCATTTGAACTGATTGACGGCCTCACTTTCCCCAGGCAGGGCTCGGGTAGTAGAAGAACTTCCAAAATCCTCTCCAGGTAAGATCCAGGCAAGACTTCTTGTAGTGTTGGTTTTCAGTCTGTGATGGTGCAAGTACTGTCGTGGTGGTGTTGCTGATCCCCATAACGTGTACATAAATTTTACTGCCAAGATCTACTTGAGAAGAAGTATAGGTTAGGAATTGTCTCCAAAGAATTCTCAAAGAATTACTCATTATTGCTATCTAAGATAATTAGACAAGCCAAAACTAATTACTACGAAGTTAAATTTACTCAAATAAAGAGCAACATTAAACAAACTTGGAGCACAATTTCACAAATATTGGGATCAAAGAAATCTTTAAATAACAAACCGACTCTCCTGTCTAATAACGATGGTCAGCTTTCAGCCTCTGATTCTGCTATTGAGTTTAATAGGTTCTTCTCTTCCATTGGTTCATCCCTTGCAAATGATATTCCATCTTCCAGTACTGACATTCAGGACTATCTTACAGGTAACTATCCACAGTCCCTGTACCTAAAGCCTATTAACTCCACTGACGTCAATGAGATAATCCTTTCCCTTAAAACCAAGTCTGGTGCCCTTGAGGAGATACCAACTTTAATTTACAAAAAAGCCTCCAGATCTTTAGCCCCTGCTATTGCTTTGCTCTTCAATAAGTCACTTGAACTCCAAACCTTTCCAGATATTCTAAAAAAAGCGAGAGTAACGCCTGTCCACAAATGTGGTGACCCCACAGATGTTAACAACTACAGACCTATATCAATCCTGCCAAACTTGTCAAAAATTTTTGAAAAACTTATATACAAGCAGCTTTACTCATATCTAGCCAAACTCAATATACTTAGCCCTTGCCAATATGGCTTCAGACCCAAAAAAAGCACTAACGATGCACTTATTAGTATGCTTAACTCGATTCATACAGCTCTTGATAAAAAGGAGTTCCCTGTTGGGTTATTTGTGGACCTGCGTAAAGCTTTTGATACTGTCAACCACCATAACCTTCTTCTTAAATTACATCATTATGGAGTCAGAGGACACTCCCTACAATACCTCGAGTCCTACCTTACTGACAGGCTCCAATATGTTTCTGTGAATAATACAATTTCTCCCACCCTACCCATCAACATTGGTGTTCCTCAGGGCAGCATACTTGGCCCTCTCCTCTTTCTCATCTACATTAATGACCTTCCAAATGCCTCCCAACACCTCAAACCAATTCTATTTGCTGACGACACAACCTTCATTTACTCCAGTCCTGACCCTCTTGCTCTAAATGCCACAGTAAATACTGAGCTAAATAAAGTCCATCTTTGGCTAACTGCCAACAAACTCACCCTTAACATTGACAAAACCTTCTATATTCTGTTTGGCAATAAATCCTCTAGTCTTATAAATCTCAAAATAAACAATACCCAAATTTGTAACAAATTAGATGGCAAATTCCTTGGCATTCTCATTGACCACAAGCTGAATTTCCAGGGACACATTCTAAATATATCTAAAAAAGTTTCAAAAACTGTGGGCATTCTTTCTAAGATCAGATATTATGTACCACGCCCTGCCCTGGTGACTCTCTATTACTCCCTTATCTATCCTTATCTCAACTATGGTATTTGTGCTTGGGGTTCTACTACCCAAAATCACTTACGTCCTCTAATTACCCAACACAAAGCCGCTATTAGAACAATATCCAACTCTGGCCCCAGACATCACTCGGTACCCCTACTCAAATCTCTTAATATGTTAGATATTAAGTCTCTGCACATTCTCTCATGTGTATTATACATATATAAAACGCTAAACTATAATGCCAATCCTGATCTTAAAAGCTTCATAGTAGGTTGTAACAGAACCCATGAGCACCACACCAGAAATAAATACAGTTTTGATATTCCTAGAGTACGTCTTAATCAAACTAGAAATGCTCTGCAAATCAAGGGGCCCAGAATGTGGAATGACCTTCCCAACCATGTTAAAGACTGTACCTCTCTCAACCAGTTTAAGATAAAAACTAAACACTACCTAATAAATTCCCTGTAATCTACCTCACTCCTCTATTGTCAACCCATGTCTGTTATTTTCTTTTTTTTTTTTTCTTTTTTAATCAACACTGTTTGTCAACCTATTGTATTTGTGCTGCTTGTTCAGTCATGTTTCCCCCTTTTTTTTTATCTTTATTTGTATTTGTTCTCAACATCTTTTATTCTTTATGCTCAATTAGTATTAAGTTCTAGATATTAATGTTTTCTTGCCCGAAACGCATTGCGTAATAGTGGCTTTAGGCATTGTATGTACTAGATCTATCTATATATCAATCCATTAATGTAACATCACTTGTATGTATATACCTTACCTGAATAAACATCTGAATCTGAATCTGAATCTGAATCTGGTAAAACATCCTAATTATTTGACTGCCAAAGATCTTTTGACCTGTACACTTTGAAGCACAGATAAGATTATAATTCCATCTAATTCCAATCCTCATGGTTTAGATTGTAATTTTTGTAACATGTGGAATTCTACATGTATTTACATAATGGACAGTTGGTAGAATTTGATACTATTCACTTTATAGTGTAAAATAATAAAATTAAAAACACTTAAATATTTCTAGGCCTAGTATAGTACATATACAATTTGTGTCGGGGGACAGGAAGCCAGAGTGTATTCATATACATTAAGCTTATATCAAGGAACAAGGCTGAATTACTGATCCCACCTAGGATGAAACCCCCACAACAAACTGACTTACTCCTAAGTACCTACTTACTGCTAGGTGAATGAGGCATTAGGTGAAAAGAAATGAGCCCAACCATTTCTGTCCCGCCTGGGATTCGAACCTGGAATTCTCGATTGTGTGTTAAGAACGAACCCGACTGTACTACCAGGATCCTATGTATTTATCTGGCACATTATCCATACTGCTCCTGGGGCATGAATTTGAACTCTAATAGCTAACTCATTAAATGGATCAGTCATTGTATTTTGTAATACTGTTGTGGCTGATACAATAAAAATAATATTCCCTTAGGTTCTTTCTCAAAATGGTGATATTATGTTTACAAAAATATTTTTATTAATACAAATTGACTCGCAAAGGTGTTTCTTTTTCAGTTTGCCATCTTTTTGTACTGCTTGGAATGATGACAGAAAAATATCTTTTCAACCAAACTGGGACTGTGGAAGAGATTATTTGGCCTGGAAAAGCAATCCTGACATTCGCTTTACATAATGTAGAACAGCGGGTGCTTCTGTGGGTCAAGTGCTTTGTTCATCAGGTGTGTCTTTAACATCACTCTTACCGAATTTAAGCTAAGAATAGATATGTATTGCTATTACCAGCACTGTCAGACGTGAGAGCTCTTGAAGGCTAATATGACAGCCAAAATTATGAGGAACTAGGAGGGAGTAGCCTAAAACACGCACAAAAAGAAATTATAATGTAACAAAAGTGTGTGCACTAGATAATGCCTCTATGTAGAATGAACAATTAGTTAACTACACCAAAGTCATGTACTGTAATGATATCAATAATGTAGTGCTTATAAAACACTTCATCAATAAGTGTTGCTCCATATTCTTATTTTGGTTTGGTAATCTTGAAGGGCATAACAATCATCTAAGTCTCCTATCTTCCTAGTAGCTTATCATCAGCAAACATGTTCATATATTCTGTATTTCTTCTGGTAAATCGTTTTTCCCTGATTTACCTGAGGGCCACCAACCCTAATGGTCTCGACAAGGACAAGAATCCGGCAGCTTGTCAAAGGTTTGCCTGGTTTGCAGTGTTGTTAGCCCTGTTGCCTTCAAGCGTTCCTGATACGAGAGATGACTTGGCTCTGGAATGACTTTTGTTGTCCGGTGTTGCACCTTCTCCAGAGCAGCTATATCCTGAAAATGAGGTCTCCATGCTTGGATACAGTAATTCAAATGGGGGCACAACAGAGATTTATTCAGTTGAACCATTACCTTTTCCTTATAGTCAAAAGTACACTTGATTATCCCATGAGTTTGGCTAGCTTTTCTGACTGCTACACCCACCTGTTGTGCAACTTTTAATGAGTGGTGGATTTTGACTCCAAGATCCTTTTCTTCATCAATCTGCTGTAATGTAATGCTATTAATTTAGTAGTTGTGGCATGGGTTGTTATGCCCCACATGCATGGTCTTGCATTTGTTGATATTAAAAAGCATTTGCCAGTCCCCTGATAATTTGTGGAATTCATGTAAATGTCTTTGTAAGGCTGCAATATCATTATAATTTCCCACTTTACCATAAATCTTTGTGTCATCTGCAAATTTGTTGATGTGGTTTGTAATATTCTCATCTATGTCATTAATGTACAGTATATGACAAAAAGGGTAGGTCCCAAAATGGACCTACCATTTTCGTGTAGTGAACGAATAGATTTAAATGCACTAAAACCAATGTCTAGGTGGGCAGGACTCTTTTGAGCCCTGCCCACCTAGACATTGGTTTTAGTGCATTTAAATTTTTTTACATTCTAGTTCTTGGTCACATTTGCTCGTGATAGTGTGGGTGAATGTGACGTTTCCTTCTTGGGTGTACAGTATTCCACTTGTGTATTCACATTGTGTTGGAACACTTTTTTTCTGTATGTCTACAATTAATATACTATTGTATTTTATCTTTTCCAGGGAAAGAATCTGGAGAAGACAGATTCATTTGTAGGAAAACTCAGTGTTGGAGATTTCCTGAATTTTGACTGTCATGTTTATGATAAGGTAAGAGACTTAAGTTTAATTAAATCACATTTCATGTGCAAATTTTTCCTGTTCCTAAAATTAAATGGTTCAGAAATATTGTTATTTTTTCTTTATATTTGTCTTTTATACAGTAATTTTCTCCAATTATTGCTTTATACTGTATGGAGTTAAAATGTGCAATTGCATTATTTTAGACATGTTTTGTTGAATGTGACTGACTTGGTTTGATATTAATATGGGGGTGTGCATTAGGGTAATGTGTATATGTAGACAAAGCTACATATACTAGTGCATATTACTACTACTATTATATTGGTGTATAATAGGAGTAATTGGAATACCTGATGTATAATAAGAGTAATTGGAATACCAGGTGTCAAATTTAATATATGCAGATGCATTTGAACAGAGAATGGCAAGAGATTTATTTAGACAACTTGAAAGTTTTATTGATACGGGAGACAAAAGTACTGTACTGAACTGTACATTTGTCCGCATTCCTGTTTAGTAAAGTTAAGGTAGTGGAGGATTGGATGCTTTCATGATGTTGTTTATGTGTAGAGTATTGCTCTTTGGTCGCTGTTCGGGGTACCACTTTATTCAGTAATTATCAAAGTGATTAGGAGTTTTCCTATTGAATCCAGGGGGTTTCACTTGCAGGAGTTGAGAGGTTTGATTTTCTTCATCTGATAGCTGGTTTCTTGGTGGTGGATAAAGAATTCTCCTCTGCCTCCCCTCTTCAGTTTACATAGCAGGACCACCATACCTGGTGCAGTGACGGAGCGTGTCAATAGGCGTGTTTTGTGGTTCTGTTTAAATTTTCTTAATACTTCATTATTATAAATGTTGCTACATATTATTTTAATTATAAATAAATGTTTTTAACATGAATTGTTATCAGTGTTATTGAAAAGACTGTATTTGACTTACATTTAATTACACACTATTTTCACATGAAGCACGTTTACTGCCATCTCACCTGTTTCTCTTTGCTGGAGTGTAACAAGGATTTGACTCCCTCTTCAAACTCGCTAACAAACTCTCATAACCCCACGAACCCTCACAACCCCACGAACCCTGACACATACTCGTGCGCGCACACACACACACACACACACACACACACACACACACACACACACACACACACACACACACACACACACACACACACGCACCTATTTTAAATTAACGTATTTTTGTAATGTATAACATTGCCATGTTTGGGGGCATGTAATCCTATTTTCTCCATTACTTAAGTTCTCATGATGCTCGATTTTCAAGGAATGTAATTAGTGTTATACAAGTATCCATTGTACAGTACTTTTGTTTGTATATCTGTGAACCAGGCATCAAGTGATAACTGCCAGTGGTATGCAGCTACAGCATCAAAGGAACCACCACAAAAATCAAGTTCAAAGACGCCAGTTCCACGGGTCATGAACCAGAATGGATATATATCGGAACTGGATCCAGGAAAAGGAGTTATTCTCTTCGATTTTTATGATGAGGTAAGTGAACGTATTGCTGTGTGGAATGGAAGGATAGTGAATGATGTACAAAATGGGAAGAATGTGGGGAAGTCATTTGGGAGGGTAGGTTTGACGTTAGTTTTATGTGAAGCCACGTTGGAGGGTAGGTTTGGTGTGCTAGGTTTATGTAAAGCCAAGGTGAAAGGTAGGTTTGATGTACTGTACTAGGTTTGTGAAAAATTGCTAGTAGCAATGGATGGTGTGTACAAAAGGGCAGGGATGTGTAGATGTTTTTTTTTCGTTTGCCTTTTCAATATAATTTACACAGCATGTGGAGTAACCTAATTTATGTACACACAATTGACAAAAACAGTGGTTGAATATTGTATATAGGCCTACAATGTACACCTGTATAGCATGTAAATCTATTCTTGGTACAGCCCAAATGAATTGTCTTGCAACCCACTCCTTTGTTACTGTTCTGTTTGGGAACATTGTTTAGCATTAGATCCCAACACTAGCAGGAAAAACCAGTATGGGGTTTGGTGATAATTACATAATTTCATTGGTCTTGGTTAGATCCATTGTATTTATATAGATATACAGTATATCTGTACAGTAATGACATCATTTATTTAAGAGCTGGGTAATAATTACTGAAATTAGCATATGACAACTGCATTGGCCCAGGAATCATTATATAATAACCTGGGCAAGAGGACATCGGTGGCAGCGAGATATGCAAATGAGTCGGAGAGTTGTAAGAAAATTCTTGTTCCTAGTGTAGGTGGTAAGAAAGTGGACTGCATTGCAGTAAGAGGTTGTCAATGCCAATTCCATCCACAACTTTAAAAAGAAATGTGATGAAAACTCTTCAACTACATTATTGTGACTCGTCTTCTGCACAATTAAAACGTTAATATTGAGAGGGGTAATTTCCACTTCAGGTATGAATGGTTAAAAGGCTGGGCATAAAAAGTTAAATCTTGCTCCACTGTAGTCACTTATAGGTTAGCACTGTACGGTATATGTGAACCACATTGGTCTTTGTGTAATTGTCTGGCACCTCACCCTTATGGTATGTTGTCTGACATTTAATATTGTGCACAATTACTTCAACATATCCACTGTTATTTATCTATAACAGTTGTGTAACTTTAGTTATCTTATCACAGTAAGACAGTGTTATATATTAAATAGATCACTGTTAAGCAAATCAATTAAATATGATTTTGTTTACTAGGAGCAGAGAGTGTTCTTCTTGAGGTCCAAGTTTTACCATTTTGGTAAGCGACCAGCAAGTAAGCGAAGTCTCAAGGAGTTTCTCAGTGAAAATGACCCCCTCCAGTTTGATGCCGAGATGTGTGAAGCTAACGAGGAAAACTTCAACTGCACATGGTTTGCCTCGGTTGTCTGGAAAGGCAAGAAGCCTTTAGGTATGTATATTTTTTATGCCAGTTGCAGGGCAGATCACCTGGGCTCTTGAGAAAACACGCTTATCTTTAACTATTATTCCAGTTTGCTCTGGTAGATTTTACCACAGTTTTGGGGTTGATTTCGAAACCCCAAACCCAGCCTGGTCCCAGGCTGGGTTTGGGGAGTAAGACCTGCCAGAACCCTCTCCAACTAGACTCCAACCAGTTAGTAAACTCCAGCTAGAAGGGATTCTACAATGCTTACCTATCAGTGACTATGGGGGGTTATGAGATTTGGCTATTTCTATCCGATGTGCCAATTACCTCTCTCAAAATTGGCATTTTTCAATTGCGTGTCAAGCTTCTACTGATGTCCCCTTTTCCACTTTGTCTATTCTCATCAATCTTGTATGTAATTATCATAATTCTACTGTTTATTTTCTCCTCTAAGGTTGTGAGGGTTTCTTAGCTTGTCCACATAGCTGAGGGCTCTCAATTCTGATATTAATCTAGTTGCAAACCTCTAAACATTCTCGATTTTTGTATATCCTTCACAAGATATGGGTTCCACGCTGATGCTGTATATGTAGTAATGGTCTCACTTAGGCAGTTTTTATGGACTTGAAAGCCTTCTTGTTTTGAGGCTTAAGTGATGTTCATATGTTTGCTAACTTATTGTATGTTGCTGATGTTATCTTTTTCACAATATAGTTTTTTGAATACACAGACTAGATGCCACCTCGAAAGAATGTTAATTGACCAGACGGTTTAAAATTGTTCAGTAACATGCGATACTTTGGTTAATAGGTGATGATGGCATAGGGTCAATAGGTGGTGTTTTACATTGTTACCGATGATTTATTTAATACCTAATTATAGTGGATTGCTGTCGACAGTGTGCATAGATTGTTATGTTGAAATAAAGAAAATAAGAAACCAAGAAAATTACGGATCTAATATGTATATATATTTAATTAGGCCCTGGTGGTGCCAAGTAAAATACTGGTACAGTATATTATTATGCAAAATATTTCATCTTTTTAGTTATAGGAATGATGCTTTAATATGCTTTAGATGGATGTAAATTAGTCTATATTCTGTTAATCACTCTTGTAGAAAATATTGAACTACATAATAGCTTACTTTTCAGTAAGTGGTAGCATTGCACATACCACTATGATGACTGGTGATGATGTGACGGCTGATGACAGCATCAGCAATGTTGGTGGTATCAATAGAGAGGTTCCTGGTGCTGACGAGTTTCCCTCTCTTGGTCTACCTCCAGGATTAACCAACAAACAAGGCTACACGGTAAACAAAAATTTCTCCCCCCCCCCCTCCCTCCCTCCCTCTCTCTCTCTCTCTCTCTCTCTCTCTAATTCTTTCTATACAGCATCCATTTCCAGTGGGAGCATGTAGTACAGTGGTTCTCAGCTGGTAGTCCATGGGCAGGTGGTACACACTGATGTGTGATTGTCAGGGTCTCTCGAGTCATTTGAGCTGTCTTGGAACATTTACTAGTGAAAGCACCACTGAATCATCGTTCAACAGTTGAGAACCACCGAGTTCGTGTTGCCCATTTCTACACATCCAGCTACTCGTACAGTTGGGACATGTTTTCTTATAAGTCCAGCATGCTACTCTGGAAGCACCTGGAGCATATTTGCATGTGAGACCTATGCTTTGGTATATTTTTGAAGGTGTACATGTGTGCTCACATATGCTACTTGGAATGTCAGAAGTGAGAATGAAAAATATGTATTTTGGTATAGTCTAGAGAACAAGATCAGTAGAGTACCAGAGTTAGAATAATTGTGATAGGTGGAAAAGGATATGTGACAAAATAAAGGTAAACATGGAAGAGTGATAACTCTAGAAGAAGCACTTTAGAAGGAGGAGGGGAAGAGTACTGATGGGCAAGTGTGGTAACAGAAGTGAACATTTGACAGAGGCAAGAAGTATTTTTATCTATTAAAATATAATATAATATACAAAAAAGGTACATTGGGTTTATGAGGGAACATAGCATTGAGGTTTCTACATTCTTGTAAATACACTAGTGCGCATAGTGTTTCTGGCAGGTCCTTAATCTAACAGATAATTTTAAGTAGGTAATTTCTGGCAAAATTTATAAAATGATAGTATTATTGTATGCAGTTGAGAGAAAGGAACAAAGATGGTGTGGAGAATTTACCAGATGTGTGATAGCAGCACAGTGTGAGATTATTGGAAAAGATCTGTGACTGTGCCATTACTGTACTTATTTAGAAAGCAATGGGAAAATTTGCAGTGGGAAAGGTATAGGTTAGCAATGGAGCTAGTGAGTAATGATAGGATATTTATGTACAGTACAGCATTCTTTATTTGTTCAACCCTCTCTACATGTTGTCTAGTACTCCTCTTACTCAGTCATAAAAGAATGAAATATATATTGCTTTCTCTTGCAGGCCTTTGAAGTAAACAGCAATATTCGAAAGGGAAAAGGCACCGTTTTAAAACTCTTCAATGAGGAATGTGGCATAGCTTTGTGGATGATACACCGCAACACTTGGGAAACAGTTTTTTTTCATCGAAAGAATTCTTATCTTGACAGTGTGTCACTAAGCAGCTTTGATATCCAGGAATCTTACTCAGAAGGTCGGTACAACTACAGTATTGTGAGCTTTGTTACAATTAAGCAAACCTTTCTTCCCTAAAGTACATTTTCATTTACCAAAGTCTGGCATCCTCGGCACATGAGCAGGAGTCTGGTGCTATCCTTAGCTTGTGAGCAGGGGTCTGGCCCCATCCTCAGTCCGTGAGCAGGATACTGGCACCATCCTAGCCTGTGACCAGGGTCTAGGGCTAGAAGCATTTAAATTGGCAGATATAGCTCCACTACACATTGAACGAAGCAAAGTACCACAGTGTTTTCTCATTCTCATATCTGATATAGATTAAAATACAAGTCACAGCTTCATATCATCCTTTGCAGATACAAAAATCAAGATGAAAATTACTTACGTAGAAGACACTGATAAACTGTAACCCAACATCAAAAAAATCTTTGGGCAACAGAAAATATGATGTTTAACAGCATTAATAAAGATCTGGGATGAAATATAGCGTATAAAATGTAATCAGATCTGCCATAAAAGGGAAACATGTAAAAGATCTGAGAATTATGTCTGGCAACCTGACATTTTGTGAACATGACCAGCAAATATAGGGTCGGCAAGGAAAATGATTGGATGGATTATGAGTGTTCAAATACAGGGATCCAACCATATGTTAATGCTATTTAAATCACTGGTGCTGCCCTGCCTTGAGTACGGTTTGGTACTCACTTTTTCCTTTAGAGCAGGAGAGAGTTAAAATAGAGGGAATACAGAGAACATATACGGTACACATAAACACGATAAAGCACCTAAATTATTGGGACTGTCTCAAAACTCTCAAAATGTACTCTCTGGAAAGGATATGAGAGAATTGTCAAATAGTATATACATGGAAGTTACTGGCAGTCCAGTTCCCAAATTTGCACAGTAAAATAACGTATTGGAATGAAAGATATGGAAGAAAATGTTGAACAGGACCAGTTAGGAGTAGAGGTGCCACAATCAGAGAGCCCAGCATGAACATGAGAGGCCCATGACTGTTCAATATTCTCCCAGCAAGCATAAGAAATAGTGTCAGGAAAACTTCTTAAAGAAGTAATTAGATAAGTTTCTGCAAGAAGTGCCAGACCAACTGGGTTGAAGTAGATATGTTGGCCTGTAGGTTACTGCAAGCGACAGCCTGTTGGACCAAGTTATCACATAAACTTGCCCCCCCCCCTTCCCCACAGGGGTCTGGCACCATACTCTTGGGAGTACCTGTGCAGGGACCTGGCACCTGGGTGCAGGAGTTCAGTCCATCCTCTGGGTGTCTCTGAAGGTTCATGGGTGCAGGAGCTTGGCACCAAGCTTGGACCACTCATTAAGGGTCTGGCATCATTTCTTGGGCATCTGTGCAGGGGCCTACCAGTGCTTTTGATCCCCATTGCAGGTGCCAGGGTGCAGGAGCTTGGCATCATACTACCCCCATGCAATCCATCCAGGTTAGGTGTCATCCTCACCAAGTGTGTAGGCACTATCCTTGCCCAGTATGCACTGTCCCTACTCCCATGCTGGCACAGTTTTTACTTTTTCCCCATGCAGGGGCACCATCCTTGGCTCCCCCCCCCCATGCAGGGGAACCATCCTTGGCTCCCCCCCCATGCAGGGGCACCATCCTTGGCTCCCCCCCCCTCCATGCAGGGGCACCATCCTTGGCTCCCCCCCCCATGCAGGGACCATCCTTGGCTTCTCTGTCCCCTTCAGGCACCAATCCTTGGCTTCCCCCCATGCAGGCACCGTCCTTTGCTTCCCCCTCCCTCCCATGCAGGCACTATCCTTGGCTTCCCCCCATGCAGGCACTGTCCTTGGTTCCCCTCCCATGCAGGCACTATCCTTGGCATCTCCACATGTAGGGACTTTATGCCGGCCTTTTGCCTACTTTGAAATTGGGGCACAGTATGGTACTGTTGACAGGGCCAATTATACTGTTTAGTATTAAAGAACTTAGTTTTACCATGGTAAAAAACACATCTGGTACCCGAATTCAGTTTACATAAACCCCTCTCACTAAGAAATTGACAAAACCCTTTTTACTTCAGTACATTATCATTGTCCAAATTTTTTCCCATGCTTTCATGTGCATAAAACTGAAGCTCACAATTATATGTAACTATGTCAATTATATGCAACTGTATTGTTAATTTTGATTATATGCAACTGAGAGTATAAATATGACAATGTCAACACCAGAGTTGACATTTTCTGTGGAGGAGAACTTTTCAAGTTCTAACTCTAATAATGTTTTATTTTTCCTAGGCACATCATTAGAAATATCAGCAGTTCCAGCTATTCCAGAATTTCCATGCCGATGGATAGCCCATAAAGCAGTAGCAAAATGTTGAGAGTTCTTTCCAGTACACTAATTGTGCATCATGACAATGAATACTGCAGTATTCATATGACAATAAAGTGCGATGTAGATGGAATGATGAAAGAAGCAAACCATCATGTCCCCTATATATATATATTATATATATATTAAGATTACCACTTTGCATCGGCTGATGGACCAGGTGCTGCTATTATCCCTCTCGGTAGGAAAGTGGGATCAAAACCAAGTAAGATAGGTTATCTTACTTTATGTAACAGCTGCAAAAAAGCAGCCATTACATAAAGGTAGGTTATTCATTTTTTTTTAATTAAAATATGGCCAATGTATGATTTATTTTTAGAAACATCCAGTAGGTTAGTTGGTACCCCCCTTAGACTTGTTAGTTAATACCTTATATCATTTTATGATTTATGATATATTTAAAAATGTTTAATTTGGTATTAAGAATGAGTTTATTGTAATGATATTGATGAGTGTTATATTTTTCTGCCTAAATTCTGACTTGAAACACTTGTTAAAACGGAGAGAGATTACAAAGATTGAGAAGCATTTTGTGTAGGACAACATTCATATAAAAAAATAATGCATACTTAATTTGTAATGCACTTTTTACAGTAATTAGAATTTTTTGGTAATTGGAAAATAAACTATGGTTTGAAAATGGACAATATTTTATAAATTATGGGAGAGGAGATAAATACTGTAATTATAAAATGAAAGCACCAAGTCTGGAAGGCTATATAGCACTGACATAATATTCAAGTTTTCTAGATACCATTCATCATGCCAATACCAGAGCAGAAAGATACAAGCTGAGCAGTATCAAAGGGAAGCAGTCTCTTCAAGGACATTGAGGAACAACTGACTCAAAGAATCGTGCTGCTTGACTGGAAACACGGGTGAGAATGAAAAAACTACTTCAGTTAGCTTGAATCCTGACCTTGTAGATTATACAGACGATGAGTCACAATAACATGGCTGAAGATATGAATACCGGACTACACACCTCAAGATGAGGAGACGACAACGTTTCGGTCTGTCCTGGACCATTATCAAATAGATTGCCCACAATCTACTTGATAATGATCCAGGACGGACCAAAACGTCGGTCATCTCATCTTTTGGCGTGTGGTTTAGTCCTGTAGATTATGTTGAATTTTTACTCGTATTTCCACACTTGACAATAAGGGCAAGAAAAAATATATATACTGTACCTCAGTTAACAGAAATCCCAACCTTTTAGGTCACTTTTGTTCTCATCCATGTTTCCATAGTCAAACAATGTAGACTTGATTTGATAAGGATAGTTAGTTAAAAACACACATGAATTTTGTTACCCACTTCATATGTCGTGGTAGTTTGATGGTCAGAATAATACTGGGAGTAGGGGGGGGCCTTACCCATGTACAAGTGACATGACCTTCATTGCTGAACCTTCAGCTATAAATATATATATTTGTTGGTTTGCCAAATGTTTTACTTGTGTTCCCCATACTATGTACAGTATGGTATGATATTCCTGATGTCTTCAGGGATATCACTGAAGACTTCCTGTTGTTGATAATGTTGAAGTAAAATGGGAAAAACTAAGTGAACTAGCTCTTCACCCCATTGTTGCTAGAAGACATCTACATAGAATGGAACATATCCATAAGAAAATTAAAAATTGTAATAATGCTGTTGTGTTAAATTCCAGATGTACTAAAGAAAACCTGTTTTTAAGTTATAATCTGTTCTTTGAATGGTGGTAATGCTGATGATTAACTTATTCATCGTAGATGCACATTTTGTTGTTTGTCTAACCCTGACCTCACCAGGATCAAACAATTATCATCAAACAAACAAACAAATCCATAAGATTATTTAGCAATGTAGCACAGAATAACAAAATTTTCTTTTTACCTATTCAGATTGCAAATATGAGAGTAAAAGACATTAGACGAGAGATGTCATAGGAATAAGACCTGCAATGGACTTTATCAATGAACAATGGACAATGACCCTTCTCTAGTTTCCTCTATAGAGTACTCATGTTCTACCCTTAACTTACCTGGTCTAATATTAACCAAACCTTAACACATGACCAAGAGAATACAGTATGCACTTATCTCATGGAGGTTAATAAAAACATAGCTTAATAGATTAAAAATTTATAAATGCAGCACTTATAAAAGTTAAAATTACATGTACATACTGTACTGTGGTGTTTATTGTATGAACTTTCATAAATACAGTATTAATTTTGGACACGAGTGAAAACTGGTTGGTTTTCATATATTGTATACCCAAGTGTGGTATAAACCAATTTTTTTTTACCTCTTTGCTGTACCAGTTTCATAAAAACAGCACTAATGTTATATACTGAACCACAAGTTCTATAGTCATTAAATGTACAATAACTTACCTAAATTTATAACTTTTTAAATCTTATAATTTCGAGAGTAAATCAATGCTGCAAAACTGACTAATATTTAATGTAACAATTTGTTGTACTACTGTAGTTAAACAAGTTGCTGTGTCACTACTGTAGTTAAACAACTTACTGTATCACTACTGTAGTTAAAAAAATATATACACGAACCGTAATTTCATACACCTGGACGGATATCCTTGTAAAATAAACATTCATAGAAAAAATGGGATTGAAGTGCAAGTGCAACGTTGATAGAATGGAACCCTTGGTGGAGTGGAAAGACTGGCTCGCGGAACAAACCTTGATATAATGGAATATGGCATGTGGATAAAACCAAGGCATGCCGTTACAGTGGTCTGACTCTGCCTAAATATTCTCACATTTCTTACTTATAATTGTTGTTTTTTATTCTTATGCCTTTATTAAGTTAATGCCTGAAACACTGTACATAATTAGTGCCTTTATAAAATATACAATTACAGTATACTGTTACTGTATTGTAATAAGTAAAATATATCAAAATATGGTTTTATGTAATTTGTAGTAATTGTATTGTGTAATGCACTTAGTGTGTTTAAAGTTTTCTGTGGTTGTTGTAGCTCAACTTTAGTGTTCAGCCTTTGTGGTTCTCCTGACCTCTCATTACTCAAGAATTTTCATCCATTTTGTATGCGAGGAGAATCGATGTCTACAGATAGTAGTAGTGAGGTTAGAGTAAATAGGGACCAGTGGAAGTTCCTAAATACAGAAGAAATGTATTGAGAAAATAACCGTGACCAGGGGAAACCAGTGGCAGAGTGAGACACTAGAGGTGGAGTTTAGCATCACTACCAGTACTGTTGCTCATAAGGAAGTGGAAACATTGCCAACAGTCTTGGCATTGAACCACAAAGGGTTAGAATAATAAAATTATGCAAGAAATCAGTGGTCAGTGAAACCACGTCACACCTGAAAGGTTCCAGTTTGTATTCCCGTGCCAAGACAGACGTGATTGGGCAACGTTTACTTTTGCCTGATGCCTCTGTTCAAGTAGCAGGTAAGAGGTACCCAGGAGTTAGTCTAGTGTTGTGGGTTGCATCCTAGGAAAGGTCAGTTGCCAGTCTAGAGGAACCATGCTAAGCCTAACATGTTTCCTCTCTCCAACTCTGGAAAACCATAAGACTATATACAAATGGTTATGGCAGCAGTGTAGTGCGAGGAATTTTGTACACTTGTGCCTAAATGGTGTCAAGATTCAGTTCTTGGGTCACACATCTCGACCTTCAATTAACTGGTGTATTTTCGTTTTACACAGTCCTACCATACAGTACAGTACTGTATTACTATTATGCCTTCAGATGGTAACAAGGATAAGGCTGCTCTTCCATTACATGAAAAATAATTATTTTATTTTTGTACTTTTATCTTGCAGTATATTTAGAATGCATTGTTTATATATTAAGAGTAATTCTGAACATAGATGCATCTGTGTTAAGAAACAAACAAATTGGCAATAGTAAAAATCTGGATACAATGATATCTTTAAAAACCCATAACTGGTTTGATCTCACCTTTCCATTCTATCAAGGTTGCACTACACGAAGATTGCCTTTCTGAATGTGTCACTTGGTTGCTCCCCCAAGGTAAGTTTACATACGGAACTGATGTGCAGTAAGGTGGGTCAACCTTCTGATGCTTTAGGCTTTGGAAAATTTAAAAAAACTATCAAGTCAAAGTCCTTCCATGCACCCCTCGACACCACAGATACCACCTAGTAGCACTCTACATGACCACAAAACTCTGGGTCACCTGGTCTGCCCCCGATTGAAGCCAGGCAAGATGAGAATTGTTGCCGACTTAAGAGTTTACCAGCTGACAAAGTGAGAGCCCACTGCAAAACACCTAAAAACAAATACATTCTTGCTAACTAACAGTGTGAATTGGAGGGACACAAAATACTCTGAATGCTTCTCACTCAAGGTGAGGAAATGGCTATAATCCCAGTGCACATCATTAATCACACATGTCAGGCCAACACACCAAATGACCTTTTAGAAAAGCATGTCAACTCACCAAGCTGCCACCATTGCCACACTAGGTAAACAGATGACTAACAATCAGGACACAGACTTGTATACAAGACACATGACAGTGATCAGGCAGGCCAAGTCATTGTTAGAGCACTCCTTAGCATGCTTTGTGATGCCAAGGAGGGCTTGCAAGGGCTTTGAATTAATAGGAATTGGGCTTTCTCAGCCCAATTCCAATTTCTGTACCAGAATATAGACCCACCTGGCTGAACATTGCAGTTCCTGTTGAGACAGTGATAATGTACCTTAGGAAGAAACTGTGCGAGATAAGAATAACACATTTTGGGCGAGAATCTCAGAATGGAATGTTTTAGTTATAACAAAGTAGCTCCGACATAAGGCAAATTTCCTAAATGAAGCAGCTACACTATAGAATAATCATGCAAATCATGAGAGTAGTTCTTATCAAAATTACCTTCACTTGTGTAATATTACTTTTGTATTTATAATTTCTGAAGTTGTTTCCATGATGTATCTTGGTACATATCACTATACAGTAACTATGTATACTGTGTGCAACTTAAAATATGAATGCTCATATGAAAAGGTAATTTAGTAAAGTACACAATCAAAACTTAATATATGAACAGATTAAAGGCACAGCAATATTTCTAACAAATCTTAATCTTAAAAAATGTTCTTATTTTTAATCTAGGAAACCAAAATAATGGATAATTACTATAATATTTAACATTAAATTTAAATAAGAAGATATTTTACATTACTAATAGCTGCTGGTTGAAAGTCCTGACAAAGTTGTAGAGAAACATGAAGCCGAGAGTAGACGACTATACCTGGGAAAACATTTCACCTATAAGGGCCTTTTCGAACCCTTGCAGGAGGACATCTCTCAATAAAGACTGCTCTCAACCTTACTATTCTCTGCATAACTAATACAGCAGTGATTTACAACTTTATTTTCTGTTACAGTACACAAAATCATGAAACTATTAATCTTTTTCTACTCTTACAGTAAATTCTGTTTTCCCCCCCACAGAAGAATGACTCACACTATGTAACCTGATTGATAATGTTAGATTAATAATAAAACTTAGATAAAGAAGGAATAAAACAAGTGTAGGCCTACTAGGTAACACATTATCCTTCAAAGACTAAAAAGCTACCAATGATCAACCAAACTTTCTTTAATAATGTCAGCAGGCAAAAATAGCCAACAACAGAATGGTTCCGGGTCTGATTTAAAGGCAGGACAAGACGTTTGGGCATGTTTCCATACACCTGATGCCTTTCTTCACCTAGCAGTAAATAGGCAGCTTGGAGTTTGGTGAATATTGTGGGTTGCCTCCTGGGAAAGGTTAGTCATTCATCTAAGGAAACCTTACATCTGATGTCTATGTTCACCCAGCAGTAACTCGTAAATATCCACCTAAATTCGTAATCCGGGGCATTCATAAACCGAGGTTCCACTGTTTTAAGTTCTATATAAATTGTTAATTATGAACTAATACAAAGAATGTTTTAAACATTAGTTTTCATTTATCTTTGATATACTGTAAAAAGCACACTAAATGCAGAAAATTATGAATGTACAGTACTAGCTAATTAAATTATCTTGGCAATTCAAAACTGCATTTTCAACATTGAAAATCATAACAGGAAATTTATTTTGTGTTATGTTTATAAAGTTTACTTGTCAGACACACACAATAGTTGCTGAGCTAACAGGTGCAGTATTTGTTATACAGTATACCATGGGCATTCACAGAGGTAACCAATTCGTCACTTGCCTGATTTCCTTAAAGCACTTCATGCTGTTGTATATTTAATGCAGTATGGTTAATGAGAACAATGAGAAGTCAGGCAAATGTCTGGCAATTTTCATTATGCTCATTATAAAGAATTATGGCCATACTCTGTTAAACACCACCAATATACAAATTATAGCTACAATTGAAGATGCACTCACCACAAACTCACCCAGTCATAGCCAGCCAGCCACTTGCCAGTAGCTCCTCTACACACACACATTCCTAGCTATGAGCTAAAGCAATCAGCAGACCTGTCACCTCTCTCCAGGTATGAGGATAGGTGGGGATGACAGCTAAAGTAATCAACTGTCACCTCGTTTTTCTTCACGCCTGTCCGACTATTTTATTTTTAAATAATGTCATTATTAATAAATGACTTGCCTATAAAATATGAACATAATATATTGCATATGTTTATATTTGTGAACCTCTTGAGAATGGGTGATATAACAATGGTACAGAACATGACCAACAGCTGATATTGAGGTAGCTGATCTAATATTGCAATCAGAAACTGATCTAGATTTGATCAAGTTGTCATTTTATAGATAAATATAAACTCAGAGCAGTTTCAAATTCATAAATGTTTCTGAAAATGCTAAGTACTTACTAGTGTTAAAGATAAACTTTAGCAGTCATGCACATTCTGTAAAGCATGAAACCCTGCATTGCAAAGACTCTGCACAATATTTCATTCTGTAAAGCAAAGTATGCAAGGACACAGAGGCAAGATGAAAATCGAGTCTTTGATGCAGGACTAAGGTAGGAAACCATGTATACCATACAGGTAGAAGAAAGTATCCACTATTTACTTAAGACTGTCATATTAGATAAAAATATGAAAAGGAGACAAATTTAATGCATTCTTTCTAATGATACTGAACAGATAAACTTATAGGCATATATATATATATAATTTGTAATGACAATGCTATCTTCACAACCTGTTAAAAAGTAATGTGCTTAAATTTATTTATATATTTTTTATTTTATTTTTTATTGTTTTGCAATTTTCATCTATATTGTAATGTACTTGTAAGTGCATTAGTATTTACCCTTATGGACATTACAGTATCTCAATAAAGCTATAGAGAACTTTACTTGAAATAGTTTACAAGAGTTGACTCGTCACTTCTGCGTGATAAGAGCTAGCAATATAAAGCTACTTAAAGAAATTTAATATTTATAACTTTGTTTCCCTAGGCAGTATTGATTACCTTTTCCTCCAGGCAGATGCCTTCCCTCTTCATGAGTGAGAACTGAATATATTATAGTAATGATAATGATGACATTATAGAAATTGCTGAGACAATCTGAAATTTTAAAAGAACTGTACTGAAATACTAGCAGAGATATAGCAAAGATACTGGAGTAAGTGCAGAGAAATACAGCAAGATGCTAGAAGTGCACAATGCACAAGATGAATGCAATACTTGACATACTAATCAATAACTGCCAAATTCTACATGATCTCAGTGGTAGCTGGTTGTGCATGTTTTATGAGCTTATATCTATTATTACTTGAGTTGCCTCAGCAAGCTTACACCGGAAAACAATAAACAAAACATTTCTGACAAGGACTGTGGCAATAACCAAGACATGGTGTGTGGGGTCCAACAACATGTACAGCCACAATGTAAACTATAGCCTGAATTTTAGAAAGAAAATGTTAATCCCTTTAAATGTCTTGCAAAAAATAGATTATATTATATTATATTATAACTGTTAATTTACTATCTATACCATTACATTTGTAGGCAACTAATTATTTATCAATTTGGAAAAGTAATATTCTGTCAATACAAATATACAATACATCCTTGTTTATGATTTAACAAGGCATACAATTATTCTTATTAAGTATTTTACCACTTCATCTCCCTCTAAAAAACATTTACTATCACTTTTACAAAGAAAGTTTCAAGAATTATAATGTGGACGATAATACTGGATGGGATTCTTTACACGTGAAGTCTGCGAACACAGCCGGAGCCTCAAAGAAATTCGTTATAACCTAGCTCTCGAGTACTTGGTCAAAGGAATTAATTGACATTAGGAGTGAAGTGGGAAATACAAAACCTGGATCGCACGAGTGGGGTGAAGAAGGCGACCAGGAACGTAAAGAGGATGCTGGAGCCAAGGCGGTAGTCGGGGGATGGAGCAGGGGCCTCTCCTCGCAGAAGATCAGTGTCTCCTAAAATGTCACATCAATAATAATGAACTAATTTAAAGTGAAGTGTATATGGATATACATTGGTGCTAAATGTAAATGCAAGATGGGTAATCCAGGGGGTAAACAGCTTTTGTAATCTTACCCACCCTCCAGCATCCATGTAGCGTGAAGAGATGCCCAACCTCAGATCATTAAAAGTAAATTTACTTTATTTGTAACAAAATTTATTTCATCTAATGAAGTACCAAGAAAAAACTTATTAACATGGTAGTAAAATATCGAAATATATCGACATATATTTTTGGAGAATCTACAAGATTCCCATGAATGCTTATTATTGACTTCTCCAAGGTTAATGGTCCTCAATAATTCAACCAGAGGTTGAATTGAATGAAATTTTGTTAGATTTATTAAATAATGACTTGTACCATATACAGTAATACGTTTTCTGTAAGAACTCAAACCGTTTTATTGCTATTAGAATATTTTAAAATCAAATAGATATATGTTATATGAAGCATACAAGCCACCAAGACAAATTAAATATGAATATTTTGCTACAAGTTACCTTGAGGAGATCACCTTGAAATGGTTCCAAGGATCAAAATCCCGGTTACCCAGTCCTTAACCAGACCTTTTGGTCGACAGTCTGATCAACTGGGCCGTTTGGATGCTGATGTAAGAATCACAGCCCGGTTGATTAGGCACCTGTTGGAGGCTTTTGCCGAGTTTCCTCTTGAACGTGGAGAGGGGCTGGCAAATTATGCCTCTTATATTTAGAGGAAGAGTAAAAAAAATGCAATAAATGCCAACTTGTTTGTAATTCCTGGTCAAGCTACTTACCCATCTGGAATCTCCATGGAGGTGAAGACTTCTTACCATCACCGCCCCGAGAGAATGCCAATACTCGCAGATTGTAAGATTTGCCAGGAGTCAGATCATGTATGTAAGCCTCCAGGGGAGAGCCAATGTATACAAATGTATCATTTGCCTTTGTGAAGTCTTGATCAGCTTCCCAGACTTTGATCTGTAAATACATGAACACAGTGATACCATGACACTAGTACTGTACTGTACTGGGAAAAAGATATCTAAAGCACATCTTTAGGAATGTCAGAATTTCTCCTGAAGCTCTCTATGTAATTAGTGGCTTTATAAAATATACAATTACTTTACCTACTAAGTAACTAATAAAACCCTGTTGCTTTGTATATTTCATAAATAAAATATTATCAATATTATTATTATTATTACAGTATTATTATTATATAGTGGTAAATCGTTATGCAAATGAACTTAACCTACTGGTAATCCCTCTGTGTACAGTGACTATCATTACTGTACTGTCAAATTTAATGGGCTAGAACACATCAAGATGTGACCTAGTCTTCTACTCTCTCTCAGACTACTCTCAATATTTCAGCTTATGACTTAAACACTTGCATAACCTGAGGGATACAACAGCAGTGAAACTGCCATTCAGGTAAAATAAGTACAACTTCAACCCCAGTAAGTATATAAGATTTGAGCAGAGCCCAGAAGGAAGCTATGCTACAAGGTTGACAACTACATGTATCTGAACAAGAGAGATTTAGGAACCGACATAAGGAGCAATTGGTAGGGAATCTGGAAAGGGTAAAATTCTTAGCATGAGAGACAATGTGCATTTAGAGGGAGAAAGTCGAATCTGACAAACTTGATACAGCTCTACGACAAGGTCACCAAGATACGACAGGAGAGAAGGTTGGGTAGATTGTACAGTATATTCCTAGACTGACTAAAAGTATTTGATACAGTTCAACACATAAAGGCTAGTGTATAAGTTGAGGCAGACTGTGATAACTGGAAAGACACTAAACTTGAGATGTAGAGATGTAGCCAGCAGTTCCCCTTCCCCAAGGCTCAGTACTGGATCTGATGCTATTCCTAATTTATATTTACCAACCGAAAAGAATGAGCTCATACACATCAGTATTTAAAAATGAATAAAAACTTTTAGAAAAACAAGAGTTGAATAAATGGAAAGAAAGAGTTGTAGAAGTCACATCCATTGACAGAGTCAAGGAAAAAATATAGTGAAGAAATAGAATGTCCAGTGATTTAAAACCAACCAGCTGCAACATGGTAGGAGGTGGGCTCAAGGTGAGCTAGATTTCACTCCACAAACAATAACAGATAAACTCTATCATCCAACAATTTTAATTCCATAATAAGACTAGGTTTCCAGCCTTTGCATATGTATTTATGAATACAGAATCAAATTACGAGTACCAACTGTATGGTAAAGCACTTACTTTGTAGCCAATAAGTGGTTCTTCCATAGTCGTTGGCGTAACACCTCTCCAAGTGACACGAATGGTGCTGGGATTGATGGGATACACCCTGACGGCATTGGGAGGCATGAGAGGAGGATGACGCCATGTTCGTTCTATGGAAAAATAAGAGGTGGTTATGGGAAAAGAGACACTGCTGTTTAAATAGCATAGTATTTACAATTTACATAAGGCTGTTTACACTTGGAAAGGTAAAAGAAATGCAAAACCTGAAGGATCTTACTTCAAAAACTTGCTTAGCCTGGAGAATTATTAATACATGTTGCAATTATTTTTATTCTTCACAGAATTTGTTGTATCATCCACAAACACATTCACATAAGAGAATATTATGATAAAGTGTGGAACCGACTCCCCAGAAACTCCCCCCCAAAACCCTCCCAAGAATCTCGCTTGAAAACTGCCCCCAGAAACTCTCCCCCGAAATACTTCTCAAAAACTCCCAAGGAACACCACTCCCCTCCCTCAGAAACATTCAACCCCAACCACTGCCAGAACACTTTCTCATGCATATATATATCAGGTTACTGTGCACACTCATTCACTCATACAGTATTTATATAGCCATCATAACAGTATATAACACTCATGTTAAACATCTTTACTAAACTTTCTAACAAATTACAATAAAATGTTGATAATGAATATTCCTAAAAGGTTAATTTAGCATGCAAAATTAATAGACGGAAATTATTCTAGCAATATGAAAAACACTTTACGTTGCCACAGTTAACATTATGTGAAAATTTACATTAATGTTCAGTTAGCTCTTAATAAATCTAATAACATGTTTCTGTGTTCGATTATAGCAAGTGACGTAACTAAACATTGCCTCGTACTGTACATCAATATGGTAAAATCATGAACAATTTATTCTTACCAAGAAACCTTTCACTTTCTGGTCCTGATCCTGCCTGATTGTATGCCATGACACGCACCCAGTAGAACGTGTTGGGGATCAGACCAAGGATAAGACCATGAGATTCCGTGCCCCTCTGCAACTTGATGATATGGTCAGTCTCCTCACTCTGCCGTCTCCAGTATTTCATCTGTTTCAAAGTTACAATACCACTTCAGTGAACCCTTCAATAGTCAGACTTTAAAACTAACACTTTGTACCCAAAATATAAAACATATACTGTATGTTTGGAAACATACACATTGTGCCACACATTGGAAAAAAAAGTTCTTTAAAACACTGCAATGATCATTTGGAGAAATTATTGACAGCCTGACTAAAGGTTACCAATGTATGATAATTTGAAACTGTCAGAGCTGTTGTTTTTAAGATGCTACCCAAGCCATAGTTTACATGAACCTACAACTCGTGTCACCTGCCAGGCTTCCGTCAACACTCTCCTCCAAGGAACTACTCAAAAAGGTGATGGCATATAATTTAGGAAGGCAATGGAGAGTCCATTTGAAGCCACCACCAAGGGTCGGCTTGCAATAAGACAGAAGAGGGATCAATTCTCTCAACAATCCCTGCATGATGCAATTGGAATGCAATAATACCCAAAAGGGTGTTACATTTTATCAAAGTTCCTATTTTTACATCACTTTGCTCACCCCCCCCCCCCCCCCCCCCGTTCTATTTATCTGAATGACCCGTATGGCAAATTTTCGACAGATTTAATAATATTTAGTGGCTGAACACATCTGTCACTTTTGTAAGTTCAAAAAACATTGGGATTTAGATAAGAAGTCATACATAACCATGCTGGATGAAGAACTTGTCCAAGGGGTTTTTAAAGACCAAAATGTGAAAATAGTAGATTACCTTCAAAAAGTTAATGCAAGCCATCTATGAGATAATTGCAAAGTTTTCTTGGAGGTTGGTCTGTAATTGAAGTCAAATTTAAGGCTCGGGAAGGGGGGGGGGGGGGTAGAAGAACAGATTCGACTGCCTCAAGGTGACTTTCAAAGACCTGGCCATCAACCCCAGCACTTAGGAATTGCTTGCTCAGCACCGCCCAACTTGGCGAAGCAGAGAATAAACGAACTGCAGAGGCCCAGAATTAACGCGCTGCACGCAAAGCATGAGCAACCGCGACTACAGCAGCAACCACGCACATATGCTCCATGTGTAGACGAGCCTTCTGGACCCAGATTGTTCTCATCAATTATTTTCTGACACAGCCACCAATCTTCGACCTGATAGTGAAGTCATGGTCATCTTTGACTGAAGAACGATCATCATCATCATACTAGTTCTTCCTCTTATAGTGAATACTTCAAGACACTAACCCTGTAACCGATGAGTTTTCCACGGATGTTGTCGCGGGTGGGTTCAATCGGCTGCCAAGTAACATTGAGAGATGTAGCATTGTGAGCGTAGGCAGACACCTCCGTGGGCTGCACCTGGGGCATGTCTTCAGCCGAGAATATCTCAACAGGGTCGCTAATTGGTCCAGGGCCTTGGCTATTCCATGCCTGAAAAAATAATCGTTGTTGGATTCCACAAGGCACTTCAAAGCTACAGTTATGCACCAGTAATTTTCATAAAGTATTGTACTAGTCAACTAAATTAGTACATTTATCACAAGCAGAGCACAACTACAAATTTTTAATTATTTTTTAGGAAATGTTGTAAAGTGCCAATTGTTCTGTATTTGGATTATTACATTACTTTTACACCCAATACAGAAGTCAAATCAAAATGTAATAAATTTGTATGCAGTCACTTCAGCAGAACAACTGATACTGCCTGCATGTGACTAAGTCACATGCATTGCCCGAAACGCATTGCCTTGCCCGAAACGCATTGCGTAATAGTGGCTTTAGGCATTGTATGTACTAGCTCTATCTATATATCAATCCATTAATGTAACATCACTTGTATGTATATACCTTACCTGAATAAACATCTGAATCTGAATCTGAAAGTGACATTTAATAAGTCAATTGCAGTACAGTACCATCATTCCATGTACCATGCAGTACACATATGAAGGAGAACAATAGTGAACATATAAATATCACAAGGCTCATGCTGCATGCATGTCAAAGAGTTCAAGTTTCCAAGAATTTCAAAAAGTATCTAATAGTCACCTCATATTTTCGTAACTGACCTAAAAGTGGCAAATCAAAATAATTTCTTTTTATAATGAATAGCACAAAGAAATAGGAGTAAAGGGAAAATGAGGTGATGAGCCAATAAACTATGTATACAAAGTTATGTCAGGTGATAAGGTAATGAGAACTCGGGTGACTGGCCAAAATGCCATACCCACTACAGTCACCCGAGTTCTCATTACTCGATCACCTGACATAACTTTGTATGCTTAGTTTATTGGACCATTGCCTCACTTTTGCTCTACTCTTACTTCTCTGGCTGTTCACTTGACAACTGACTTCCCAGTATTAGAAATCAGATGTTTCCTCATGTCTTGTCATTCCTCACTTGAGAATGAACCTTGTAGATTTGAAACTTTGTGTAAATTATAATAAATAAATACATATATATATATATATATTATGTGTATAAATCATGAAAATTTACACGTGATGAAAAATGTGACAGTGTCAGACCAAGGAGGAAGAATTGAAACAGGAATTTCCTTAAGTACTTTCGTATATTAATACATCTTCAGAAGGAATGATTCCTTCTGAAGTTGTATTAATATACGAAAGTACTTAAGGAAATTCCTGTTTCAATTCTTCCTCTGTGGTCTGACACTGTCATATATATAATATATTATATACACACACATACATATATATTATTTATATATATAATATATATATATATATATATATATATATATATATATATATATATATATATATATATATATATATATATATATATATATATATATATATATATATATATATATATATATATATATATATATATATATATATATATATATATATATATATATATATATATATATATATATATATATATAATAATGTACACATACATTATATACAGTATATGTATTAGCTTATCAAATAATATATAACTTACCTGAATTTTGACTTCATGCTGAGTATAAAAGTACTTGGAGGGATTCACATCAACAACGTGCATGCCAATATTGCCTCGGTTCTTCAAGACAATGGACTGGAAATCAGTCTCGGGGTCGATGACTGTGCGCCTCCAGAACAGCTTGTAGTACACCCCAGGTGAATTCTGATATTCTCCAGGGAGTGGCTGCAGGAAGGCATCAAGGTGTTAGTAATGGGACACCCAATTACTTGCAATGTAAGTATCATGATGCAAACATTACAGTAGTAAAAAATGAGGCTTTGAGTGGGTATGAAAAGCCATTTTCTGTGCAGTAAACTCAGTTGGTGACTGCATCAGGTAACTTTTTAAATTATTCCTGCTGGGTCATAATGGAGCCAGGGAGACAATAATCAAGTAAAATGTAGATAACAATATTATTTACATAAAATTTAAAGCATCAAACAGACCATCAGCAGCACCCTTGCTAACTACCAAACATCCCACTTGGCCACTACTTACACTGGCCATTAGGTGGCAAGGCCAACAATAACACGGCATCTCTCCCAATTCTGCCTGAGCTTAAGGCGTAAGAAAACTACCACTGAGCACAAGGGAAATACAGAACGGCAAGGTGGGAAGGGAACTATCAGGAGAAAGTGCCAAGCCATTAGACTATATATATATATATATAATTCTGTATGCCGTACACATAATAATATACATATACGGCAGGGTGGGAGCAGTGCTAACCAAGTCTACTGAAGACAGTGAATGGAAGGATGGAAATGGGCACAACCAAGTCAACCAATGATAAGAAATGAACGCTGCTGTCATGCAACAACACATCATTCAAAGAATATATAATATCAATGGTGACTTCAACCTTGCTAAAATAGATACACAAATACTAACTGTAATCTATTTGGACAACCAAACTGGTACCGTCCTCCCTCCACCAGTATGCTACGTTGGTGGAGGGAGTGATCTCGCATGCTGCTCTTAGTTGGAGACTCTTTATACAAAACTTGTGTTGTATCCTCTTTAAATTCAGCATGTCCCCTCCCCTACTTTATATCCAGCTTGTGTTGCGTCCCCTTTATATCCAGCTTGTGTTGCGTCCCCTTTATAACCAGCTAGTGTTGTGTCCCCTTTATATCCAGCTTGTGTCATGTCCCCTTTATAACCTGCTAGTGTCGTGTCCCCTTTATTACCAGCTTGTGTCGCGTCCCCTTTATATCCAGCTTGTGTCGTGTCCCCTTTATATCCAGCTTGTGTCGTGTCCCCTTTATATCCAGCTTGTGTCGTGTCCCCTTTATATCCAGCTTGTGTCGTGTCCCCTTTATATCCAGCTTGTGTCGTGTCCCCTTTATATCCAGCTTGTGTCGTGTCCCCTTTATATCCAGCTTGTGTTGTATAAATATTGCAGTTTTTATAATCACTGCAGTCAGGGATCAATCCACGAGCGAGATAGTTAAGGTGAACTTTGCTATACCATGCATGTAGCTGGTAACTAGTAAAGTAATTATGGCTTTATTGCTTATAGGAATGACAGACACCATGGACAAATATTCAGTGAACTGGAGACAATTTCCATTATGATGTTAATAAATATCAGAACTATCAGAATACTGTAGCTTGGATTGATCTTCAAGAAGACTTCTGCTGGTGATGATTCAACTTACGTCCCAGGTAATGGTAAGATCTCCAGTCTTTCCGCCTCCACCTCCCAAATTGGTTGGTGTGGTGAAGGGACGATCCTGTTTGGTGTTGGCCTGTGGGGAAGAATTTATTTGTTGTTAGACATATGATTTTCTCAATCACTCTTCAAACAATTGTTCAATCGTAAAAGAGTGAGCAAAGTTTCTCCAATACCGGTTTAACTTGCTTTTCAAAAAACAAGGAAATATTAATATTCTCAACAAATACAATTTCCCCCTTATATGTTACCATTTCTCTCTCTCAAATACAGTATACATAAGAGTATTCTTTAATAACAAACCAAAATCTCCTAGGAATAATAACTACTAAATTACTCCAGTGCCAAACAATGAGGTGATTGGCACATCATGATCACTACACTGTACACTATTTCTAAATCTGTATTGGTTTTCAGCACTACCTGGTGTTCCAACAGGAGAATTAATGGGAGAGAACATTCAGTGGCCCAACAGAACTATAGGGCTCTAGTGAACAGAACACAGTACAGTACACACAGAAATCACAATAGCAAGATGCATCAAATGAACAAATCCACAAGGGCCGTGATGAGGGGTTCGAACCTACATTTGCAACCATGTAAGGTCAGTTGAACTCCCGGTTGCAATTCTTTTCCATGTTGTAGCACAGTCGATTAAGGTGCGTCTGGGATCCTCTCGGACGTAGGTTCGAACCCTCATCACGGCCCTTGTGGATTTGTTCAGAACACAGTATGTGTCCTATCCAATGGTCAGTAAATGGACTTTATAAGTCACTGCGAACTGTATATGGTATCATCAGGAAATGTCACGCCTCAACCACAGGAAAAATGGTTCTAAAATCTGCCACCAAGTTGCTATATGGCCCCCAATAATACCAAGACTCTCCCTGCACTACTGTACAAAAGTCTTGCCTACCTGGGGTGATGGTGCAGAGAACTGTCCACTGCCAAGACTGTTAACACCTAGCACTCTAAATTCATGCGATGCCCAGGGCGAGAGGACATCACCCAGCTGATATTCTCTACGTCCATTATTGGGATCGATCAGCTGTAGGAAGAAAATGAGGATTATGAAACCAACCTATAAATACAGTAGCCCACTTCCAAACCATTAGAACAGCTGTGCACTAATATTTTACAGGCTATTCCATGTACCTTTAGGCTACACTGAATTTATTTTCTACTCGGTAGCAAGAATTAAAACAAAATTATCAACAAGTTAATGATGGATTTGTATATAGAGTAAACACTTTTCTTGCAAAACAAGAAACAAATATTCATACACATATTCATTCTAGTCTACATACAAGTAAATGATCTCATTCTGTTTTGTTTACCTTGGCAGTAACATTCTCAGCTATAGTCTTCCACTTCCTTGTCCACTGTGTGCGTGTCTGTATAGTGTAGCTCACAATGGGTTGTCCATTGCTTGCCCCGTCTGTCCATTGAACGCGTGCACTTGTGCTTGTTAGGTCTACAGCCGCTATTCCACCTGATTAATAAAATATAGTATAAAATAGTGCTTTTTTTACATCTAAGGCAAGATACCTGGCCTCGATGACATACCCATACAGAATGATAGGATGTTAGGAGCCATACATAAAAGGAACAAGATGCCTATACTGATACATGGGCCCTTCACCAATGAAGGAGAAAGTAAGTCCCATCTAACTAGCAAGAAGACAGATGGTATTGCTGAATCACCTATATAATGGGAATGTTGCCTCTCTTCTAAGGAACTAGAAAAGGCATCTCTGAGATAGTAGCCATGTAGAAAACAAACCTGAAATAGGAAAGCCAAAGAGAAAATGCCTCAACCCAGAGACAATTTTTATCAATTTACTAATCAACATCCAAAGAAAGACCAAATGGTTAACAATTCACGATGACCTCACCATCCAGCAGACAGGAACCCTTTCTCCAGCACCAAAGAAGAGAGACAGCTACCATGTATCAGAGCCTATGTGTAGAAATCTGAGCATGCCTTTTACCATCATAAATAAGAGTTGAATGGTTGAAGAAAATACACTATTATTTAAAAGGAAAATCAAATTAAATATTATCTAACACAGTGTTTATCAAATGGGGTCCAAATGGCCCCCCCAAGGAAGGAATTTCAAGTCTATGGGGAGGGAAATTTGACCAGGGATGGAACTGGAGAATTGGGAAGGATTATGTTTATACTGCAAATTATAAATTGATATTTCCTGATTTATGGTCAGGAGTATTTGCAAGAGCCTGAGACCGCTGAGGAAGGAAAGTGATCTGGGAATTTAAGAATGACTGACATAGTTACAAGAACTAACCAGGAGGTCCTGGTGGGCCGTGAACAACGAGGGTAGTGGAGATGGCAATCTTCGCCACTGGAGTCATGGCAACACATTCATAAACACCTGCATCTGCAAGGGTCAAGTTCACGATGCGAAGGTGGCCGGCTTGATAACCCTGAAATAATTGAAACGTTATATATAATTTTTTTTATTCCTAATGAATTAAGTGTTATCACTCTTGTTTAAGTTAACTCACCTGTCTATATGAATGTACATTATAAGATATACAAGATATATAAGACAGCAGTAGAGAAACCTTATTTTGCTACCCAAGTTATTAAGTTTGGAGAACAGCTAAATAATTTTGTGCCTTCAATGGAAAATCAGGCTCATAAGAACAATAGAATTAAATATACTGAGTAGTCCAAGTCTATGACACATGTGAAAATAGTTGCTACTAATTAATAATGAAGTTATAAAATTATCTGTGGCTTCTTGATACACAGGATATGCTGTGGTCAGTAATGCTTTTAACACCATACATCTCAAGATACATTTAAAAACATTGTTCCCGAGCTATTCCACTCAGATGTTTCCTCAAGCAAGATTACCGATGGTCGCAGTGGAGATGATCTTGGTAATCTCGTCAGAAAGGCTTTTTACACCAAACACAAGAAATGTTTCCAAACATGACTGTCATATGCTGGTGCTAGGGAGATATGGCAGAAAACTTCAATCCAGCCCAAAGTGACTACAAAACAACACTCATTAACGACCAAGGCATTTCCAACCCTTATTTAGCATCATGGACCATCCAGCATCACTCACAAATTGCCAATTACATGAGCTCCATCAGCAGGCTTTCCCCCCCATCCCATCCCAAATCCTTTTCCTGATCCCTTCCGAGTGCTATATAGTTATAATGGCTTGGTGCTTTCTCTTGATAGTTCCCTTCCCTCAGCAGGCAGCACAGATGCCTCCTTCAGGTCCCAATCATCGAGCCCCATCATGTTTCTTCTTGACTAATTCTTGTGACGGTTTGGCAAGGCTCAAAAACACCTTCACATAATGTCTTGTTTAAACTAAAAAAAAAAAAAAAAAAAACTGGGTTTCACGTTTCACTGTGTACTTGTTAAGGCTGTACACTGTGCAATGGTTTCAACGCACATACAGTATTAGCTAATGCTGTACAGTATACAGTATATATATTTGAAATACTTCTCGTGGGTGATCAACAAGTCATTTGTGCATCTCGTGACTTAACTGGTCAGTGACCCAGTGTCTCCTTGTCTGTTTCAGTTTGTGATTTGGTTGTAGGAGTCACCTCTTACAGTTCAAACTACACTCACAATGCCTTAGGTCTTTGCTTCATTTGCCACAGAGTGTGACAGGGACTCTCTGCTGTAATTATAAAAACAACCAGGATCACCTCAAGTTCAATTGATCATATTTTGATGAATGTTCTATCTGATGCAGAGAGTAAGTCACAATAATGTGGCCGAAAACAATAACCCAACCCCCACACACATGAAACGATATGAAAGTGAAAATTTTTCGGTCCAACCTGGACTCTACTTAATGAGGGTCCAGGAGAGACCAAAACATCACATATCTTTCATATGTGCAGGTTAGATCCTGCAGCATACCTGCGATATGTCAACCGGTACCATTTTGTCAAAGCAGCTGGGATAAGCCTGCAAGTGCATTTTATGTAGTCACCACGAACTGGACTGAGCATTTCTCCAGAGCCTCCTTAATGCCACCATTGCCAAGAACAGATATTTTGTAAAATCCTCATTGCTGCAATGCATTCATAATGTGATGTAATTTGATCTTCGGTGATATTGCCTTATGAAGCATCAGAGCTTCTTGCTCGAAAAGGAGCTTCTCAATAACTCGAGTCCTAATTTATTCTCAATATATTTATCATAAAGTTTATTGCATTACAAAAGCCTACTTACCTTTTCATACGGTGGATCCCGTTTGCTCACATACACTTCCTGTTCTCTCTGCTTCAAAAACAATGAGGTTTCATACGGGTTGTCCTAGGAAAACAAAAACGACATGGTCAGCCTTCTGGCAGTGAATCAGAATAAAAAATGCACAAGTATTGTTCAATAAGTGTGTGTGGTATTAGTAGAAACAACACAAGAACCGAACAAGTATAATACTCACATACAAATTATACAGCTTCCTCTGGTAGTCATACACATAACCCTGTAAAATCAAGCAAAACAAAATAAAAAGTACTGTAATGCAAATAAAAGTAATAAGAAGCAACAACTTAAAATAAAAATAAAACTAGATAAGATTTGATAGCATGAAAACAACCAAGGAGGGTACCACCCATCTCTTATGCCAGCATATCCCAACAACCAAGCAGACATACTAGAGGAACTCCATTTGAAGACACAAACGGCTTCAGTTGTTTTCGGCTTGCAATAAAGTGAGTCATGCTTTCAACTCCAACACCTCTGTTCAAAACAGCATGAAGAGGTGTCTTATATACCCAGGGTAGTAGTAGTAGGCATCCATCAGTTTCAGGAGACTATGGACTTGCGCACTGGTGGCGGAACATTTTTGCTTGCACGTACCCAGGGTACATGCAAGCAAAAATGAGGTTACTTGGCAGGATTACACCCATGGTCTCCTGGCACCTTGCTATCTTCACGCGGTGCCAACCAAAAAAGAATAAGACTGTCTCCTGAGACAAGTTGATCTTCCACCTTCTGGCATTACACCAGCAACAAATGGGATAAACTGACTAAAGCTGGCAAGATGAGAAGAGAATAAATTAAAGCTGACATGATAAGAGGAGAGAGAGAGAGTTAAAGCTGGCACAGTGTTAAAATTAGTATCTGGTGGTGCAATGGCGACACACAACCTGTGCCTCACGAACGATTTGTCTAGGTTTGAGTCCTGGCCAGGGAAGATTGTCTAGGCATCGATCCTTAATTGGTTGTCTCTGTTCACTCAGCAGTATTTGGGTACCTCATTGTTATCCGATTGGTCATGCCACAGGAGAAAAACTATTGGGTAAGGCTTAAAAAAAAAAAAAGAAAAAAAGAAAAGAAAAGAAAAAAAGAAAAGAAAAGAAAAAAAGAAAAGAAAAGAAAAAAAGAAAAGAAAAGAAAAAAAGAAAAGAAAAGAAAAGAGGGTATTTTGCTGGAGGTGGGGGGGGCGGGGTCTAGAAACAAATAACGAGCATACAAAAAGTTACAAGACATTTACCAAGAAGAGACACGGCTTCATTACAAAACTACATCCGAGTGTGATTAGATATTGCAAACATACAAATAACAAATTTACCTGCTCATAAGCCAGGCGACGAAGATATTCAGTATCATCTAACTCAATGCGTAAGCCATTGTGCCTCCAGGTGTAGGTTGTGTCTAACAGGGTGTCGGTGTATGCTTCACACTCCAGATTAATGGTCTCACCCTTGGAACTGGTTATTAGTTCGGGAGGACTGCGGTAGAATTCTGGCTTACCTGTTCAGAGAAACTTAATATTATATTTTGTAACACAGGACAGCATGCAGGTAATCCTTTCCATTTATACATCAAACATTAGGAACTTTTAAGCTAGGATTACCTTATCAAAACAGATGCCTTACCAAACACAATACAATGATTCATGCCACTGGCAGACACAGGAGCTACTCCTCTCGGAGAGCTAATCATTAAGAGCATCTTCAGAGGACACCAGTTATAACCACAGGAGTATTTGCAAATGTTAGTTACCTGCATCATAAAAAAAATGTATCAAAGTTTTCACCAAATAATAACAGTACCCTAGCTCCCTGCACAAGGCATTTCTCACAATACAAATATCATTATGAAATATCCTTAAAAATACATCTCTATCTGTGGGGTCTACTGACCATCTCACAGTAGACAAGATTAGAAATGCTTTGATTACATTAGAGCCATTCAGTTATCCTATTCACTCCTTAAACTGACCCATTATTTTAGTCTAATAATACATAGTTTAGAACAAAATGTTATACATACGCAATACAATGAGCCGCCCTGAGCTTGTATCTGACCCGTACACATTCTCTGCAGTACAAGTGTAGTTGCCTTCATCTTCCCGAGATACTGGATCTATGATGAGGTTCCCATTGCGCAGAATGCGACGACGACCACCTGAGGAGCATGGAATTGATCACTACAATTTCAAAATGTTGTCACTAAAGAATTTAATTAAATGAGATGAATGCAAGACCATTGTACGTACATCATTATTATGCAGTGAAATTTAGACCTGGGGCAAGTCACTGCAGCCTGACTGTGCCACACTTGGCACGTCATTATATTCTCAAAATTCTATATTCTATATCTTTGACCAATGTGCATATAGTACAATATAGTCTGCAAATTTATCCAATCGTTTATCACACATCCACCCCCCCACAAAAAAAATACATTACCATTTCCAAGAACTAATCCATTCTGCCGCCAAACAAAGGACGGTCTAGGGGCCGCCTCGGGGTTACAAGCTATAGTGACGTTCTTACCCTCCGAGGCATACATCTCAGTCTCGACAGGCTTCTTACGGAATGAGGGCGCTAGCTCTGAAAGAAGAAAACATATCAGTCAAAAAGCATAAAAATAACTTGGATTGTAGTTGACACGTGCGGCTGCAAGCCGCGCCAAGCAACAGCCTGTTGGACTAAGCTCTTAAGTCAAGCCTGGCTCTGGGCCGGGCTTGGGGAGAACTCCCAGAATTCCTTCTGGGTACACTAACACATTTAAACATATAGGTACTAAGCAAATGGAAGAATTACTGAGAAAAGCTTGACCCATGAAAATGAAGACAGGAAGACTAAGAAACAAGCTAGAAATTATATCTTAAATCTAAACTAAATGAGTCGTGTAGCTCTCATCCTGTACTGCACTTAGGTTTTTACACTTGGGGAATTACAAGAAGCACTATACTGGCATAAGAAATCATATGACAACAGAATTGCTATCTGGTGGCAGTTGGGGGTACTAGGCTGCCAGGCAGTTAGTGGGTCATTTGTAATTATGTATAATTACAATGAGGAACTCTTTCATGACTTGAAGTGTCATCGAGTGTATCTGCCAAGTCATTCCAGACTGGATTAAGTTCATCACCTCAATCCAATCCATGATTGATAAGAGTTCATTATCAATGGTACCTTCACTAACATTGAAAGAACCATTTGAAAAATTCCTCCTAAAAAACATAATTGAGAACAGAAAATGCTCAAGATATTCCGACACTCGTATATATTAACGATGGGCAAGTAAGTTTATTGAAATCTACTAATAAAAGCTAATAATGAAAAGGAATTGTACAGACTTAAATCATGATCACACCTACATTTTTTTAATATTCTATAAATCTAAAATACAGAATATTAGAGAGGCTTACTCAAGACTTTCAGTTGGGCAGAAGAGAAAGAGGATCCAAGTTGATTGGTGGCTTTACACTGATACGTTGCTTCATCTGACTCTGTTACCTCCTTTATCTTCAGCACACTATCCTAAAAATAAAAAATAAAATATTTATAGCAATTTTTCCTTAGAGAAAACATATAATGTTAAACAATTATAATAATACACCTGTGCCACATTTGTTTGCTCAAGTTTCCAAAATAACTTTGAGTATTTGTTGCAACAGTTGAGGATAATAAATGCATAACACACCCATCTCAACAATAGTAAAATGGATGTGCTATTTTGACAGTTTAGTGAAAAGAAAAATCTATTTTATAATGTTAGACCAAAAAAAAAAAAAGCATTGCCAGGGAAAAAAAGAGTGAGTTTAAGTGGCGGCAGGTCTGCTATGCCTCTTTTGCAGAACATGTCATGCCACACTATGCAGGAGCCAATCAGGGAAGTTACGGGATTCCCATCAACACAGCCTATCACCTACCTGTGTCTTTGGGGGCTGAGCTGCAGCTTTTTATAATAAAGCATTGTATCTGATATCTATTTGTGTATTTTTTCCATTAATACTGTGTCTCTCTTTAGTAATGAGGCTATACATCGTCACAATATTAGTAAATAAAATGACAATGTTGTTTATAGCCATCTTGAAATAATGAAGACAAGAAATCTGTCTGGAGAGTTGCTGAGTAACCAATTAACAGAAATAAATACACAAGTAAACTATTAAGAGAAAACTGGAAATAAACACAGTAATTGTCAAGCTTACAGTAGATACTTTCAAGAAATATGATGATCAACCGAACCTCCCTGGCAAAATTCTAAGATCCACTATACCACGTATACGAGACTGCTTTACTGTTGTCATGTGTGTTATTACACAGTTTCACTCGGGTAAGAACCCAGCTAAATCCTACTTCCATAAAATAGAGTGCACGACACACAAATTCATACCCACAGTTTATATGTTAGTAGCTTCACCATTTATTTAGTATTGTACAGTATAGTTATTCAGTATTGTAAAAGAAAATACAATGTGTTAGCAAGTAATAGAAGTAACAAATATTTAAACCTTCTTAGCAAAAAGAATTGATGATGCAGTTTACCAAAGATTCATCCAGCAGTGAGATCTTACATAATGGAGTAGCTGAATGTGCAACCAATCCACATTTAATATGCCACTTGTACACTACCGACACCAAAGTAAAAATTGTGGTCAAATTAAAAAGCCTCAAAATTTACACTTCCCGGGACTAATGAGCATCGGTCTTGATAGGTGAGGTGGGTTGTCTGAAGCTTGTAGTTAGACAACAGCACTTCACACTTTACAGTTAACACGTCATGAGAATGGGCTAGAAAATCAGGGATCACAGAGCAAACTGAAATAATAAATGTATATTCTATCTTACAATCTTTTATCTGAAAAGCACCAAGATTTGTAAGTGGAATTAAGGATAGCCATTTACTACACACTAAAGGTACAAGATACTTACAACAATATCATAACGGTTTTGTTCTCCTGCTGATAGTTTCTCAAATATCAGTCGTTCCGAGTTCCTCAGCCACTCATAGTCCACGTCAGGTATTCCGAAAGCCTCACATTCCCACATCAAATCAGCACCTTTAGCAATGAACTGGTCATGCAGACGAATGGTGAAACTTGGCTTTGCTAGAACAAAGAAAATATATACATTATTTGCCAATTAAAAATATAAATACAGTAATAGGAAATAAGTATAAACCTTTCATTTTTCTAAAAATTAAATAAATTGGAATCTTTTATAACAAGATTCATCACTTACCAACACCAATTTTCCACACAGTAAAAACATACCTTGGATACTAAGAGAAATAGTGTTTTGAATGGAAAGCCGAGCATTCTGAGCACGACACACATAATCTCCGATATCTGAAGGCTCCACTTTAGGCAGCACCAAGACCCTATTGTAGTTCAGCATCTGGGCGCCCCGGGGAAGCTGCCCATCTTTTCGAGTCCAGTTGTATAATGGCACTGGGCTAAAAAAAAAAAAAAAAAAAACACGATAATCAGTGATATAAAACTTGTTTTAAAAAATTAAATATACTGTACAGTAATACCAAAGCATCTTTTTTACCACTGTTAATCCTGAGTAAATATCTTTTACAAAAAGAGGCAGATATGCAAGAGATTGTGGTATACTGAATGGCTGTATCATGCATGTATACGAGTATGTCAAGGAGCTGTAATATTGTATTTCGATTTCCCCCCCCCCCCTCCTTTGTCTCCCACCCTTTCCCTTCAAATTTTCCAGATGTTAATATTTGAAGACCGTCAACTAAGTGAGTTATCGCTTTTGAAGCTGTCTAGAAGAGCTAGACTGTTTGTAAGACTGTTTCAAGCCCAGGCCTCAAGAGTCAATGGTTGTTTACACACACTGTTCCTAGACCACTCACATTCGTTTGGTTGCAAGTTCGGGTGTTGGTTCTCAAGGACTAGGTTTTTGTTTGAGGTGGTAAAGTAATTTGTTGTAGTTTTATTTTCCATTTTTGTAGTAGGTGGCAGCTCATGCTCTTCCCTGTCGTTGTTTCAGGGTTTGGAGCACTTGCCTCTTGCAATTAGTCTAATTAGTTCAAGGCTTCAGGTGTCCGAGGAAATGGTTAGACCAGTTTCCTCATCCTAGGGTCCTAGGGGTTTCTGTTACCCTAAGGTATGGTAAGACTGGTTTCCTGGAGCCAGAGGGGCTTTGTTGCCATTACCTCTCTAGTTTGATGTAATAATATAAAAAATATGAAACAGTAGGGAAGACAAAATATCACAGCACTTACTATCCAAAAGCAATACACTCAAGTCTGACATCTTCTCCTCTTATTGGTGCCTCAGGAAATGCCTTGGGAAAATTGTTTGCAAACTTGAGCTGCTGGTAATTAGCTGTGGGAAGAAATCAATGGTATTAGGAGTAAACAAGGTAGTCATCCAAGACAATTTAAGCTACATTTAAGTTTTCTCTCCACAGGGAGAAAACTTTACTTCAATATCTTCCTATACTCACTCCACACACAACCTTATATTCAAAGTAATATCAATAATACTGTGTAACTTTTTTGTCCCTGGGAAGCAAGTGTTATTTTCTAATTGCATATGCCTTCAAATTATAGAAAACTATTATTATTTCCCCTCAAACTTTTCTGTGACAAATTGTCACAACTAGATAAAAGTCGGTAGTCTTCAAGTAACCTTCAAGCTGTCTAAGGAAAAGGTCAAAGTAAAGTTTGAGGGAATTAGTCATTTTCTATACTTTGCAATTAGAACATAACACTTGCTCTTCTGGGACAAAAATTTTGTTACATAGTGCAACATGACCCAGTAACATGCTATATATCTGTTGCTGCATAGCAGATGAATGTTACAATTATAATGTAAAGTAATAAATAATTAATTAAGGTAAGACAATTTTCAGGAGAAAATGCCAAGCACATGGAAGGGTAGGGTGGATATGAGACAGATTAAGAGCTGGAACATGATGGAATGGATCTCCTGTGTTTGATCTCCTTGAACCAGATCAAACAGACCATCGAAGAAGCAAAGACATCACAGTACCAACAAATCCACATGGTTAGGAATAAACAACACAAATAATTGTAATTCTTGTTAAAAAATACCACAATCTGAGAAATAGAATAACATGAAAATTTACTTACGATGTGCAGTAACTCTTAGATTGAAGAAGGGACCATTCTTGCCAATACCGGAGACAGTACTCTGAACATTGCAACTGTATTTGCCAATGTCAATAAAGTCCAAATAGGAAAAATACAAGTTTCCATCATAGGAGACCATAGTTCTCCTGTCCTCTTCCACGAAATTAGGGAAGTAGTCCCTTGCCCAGTAGTAGCGAACATCTAATGGAACAAAGTGTTTCCTTTTAAATTAAACAATGAAAAAATAAGTTACCTCTCATATATCAGAACTTATCTATTCATTCTTAGCCAATGATGTGTACAATAATGACATTCTATGTAAATACATCCTATGAGATCATATCTTAAATCATAACTAAACATTTTGAAGACATTTTGCCAGTCTGTACAACTGTACAATTTCCCAAACAACTATTCAACTAATTTTAAAAGAGGCCGCACATATGCTATCAAACCTGGGAAATGTTGTGGTGGATCGCAGTAGATGGCTTTGCCCCAGAATTGATTGCCTTCTTCATTTGAACGCTTGAGGTTGAACTCGGCAACATAGGCAAAGGACAACTGGATGCTCTCTGATGTGACAGACCCATACTCATTCTTTGCTCGGCAATGGTATTTGCCTCGATCTTCAACCTGTAAAGTTGCAATAACAGCACATGTAAGCTTAACCAAATATAAATGCCTTCTTTCCAATAAGATGACAAAAATGCTGTTCTTTGGTCTCTGGTATTAGAATAATTAATTCTGTACAACTAAATGTTTTACTATAATTTTTACTATAACTGATGGAAAAACAGTTTTCCATCATTTTTACTGAAGTTAAGTTCAAAGAGAGTTGATGAATGCCTGGTACTGCAGCCACAAGTAAATGTAAACATAATTTCAAAATGAGCAGTCTTTTTTAGAAGTATGGATCATGTGATGCAATACTATAAACAGATGTCATCCAGCCTGAGCAGCACAAAAGCGAGATCGAGAAATCTCGTGAACAGAATAACTTCCCAATAAGAGGCAAAATAAACAGCACTTTATGCGGGGCAGGAAGATACCACATACTCATAGCGAGACAAACTCCCACAACCTGGAGATATGTGCCATCCAGCCTGGAAAACAAGGTCCAGGTGTCAAGAAGAGAAACAAATACAATCTTCTAATTAAAAGTGCAAATCAGACCACACTGGCCACCAGGAATGATGATGGGCTGACTGTTAATATCAGCCAATGAACCAAAACCAGACTCTCCCAAACAAACACTATATGGAAAGAGGAACCAAACTACTAACGTTCAATGCCATTCCAACAAGTGCCCGTGTGAGATTAGGCCAAAACATCAGGGAAGACATGATCACCACATATAAAATCATCAGGGGGAATAAACATGGCAGACAAGGACAGACTATTTAGCATGGATGGTACAGAATATAAACAAAAGGGACATAGATGGAAACTAAATATCCAAATGAACAACACACATTATATTTATAATTTTTCAGTGTCCCAACAGTGAATATAGGTAATGCACTAAGAAATGAGGTATTGGAGGCAGTTCATAAACAGTTTCAAATGTAAATATGAAAGAGCACAATTGGCTCTAGGATCTATATACCAGTTATTTGAAGGTTGAGAAGTGGGACCAAAGGGCTGAAGCTCAACACACAAGCACAACTAGGCAAGTACAGCTTAAAGGTATCAAATTTAATCAACTTAAGTTTTCTCTGCTGGCCCAATTTTAATGCACATATGTATACATCATAACAGTTTCTCTTATGTCTTCAATACCTACTTTACTCACATTTTATATTGCTTGTAAACACAAATATTGAGGTAACCACTCACACTGAACTGAACTCACCTGTTTAGGATCATTAATAATGAGTGTTCCTCCAGACACAGTGAAGCGTCTGTCTTCCAAAGGATTGATACGTTTGGATACAATGGCTTCATTTTCATAGCTCTCTTTGTACCAATCATAAGTTGGGTGAGGGTAACCATCAGCTTGGGGGAAAAATAAATTATGAAATGTCAAAATTAAAGATTAGAAATATATATTCATAGTAAAATGATTAAGATTTATTAAGTAAAATGTAAAACAAATTTTCAACACCTATAAATGACTGAGGGATCTGTTTAAATTATAATCCATAACATGTACCAGAAATAAAACATAAATGCTAAAAAACCAGCGTTGAATGTAATGAAACGCCATTTTCTGGGTGAGTCCCGGAGGCTCCCCGGAGCTATCCCAGGCTGATATGCTAATGTCAGACTTTGGCATCAGTCATGTGTATGGAGTTCTTAGGCCTACCGGGGACCACGGCCAGAACCGGGCCCCCTCAGAGAGGCAAGGGGAGCAATGGCCTATAGAAGCCCCCGTGTAGTTGGAAGCATTCTATGTCTGCCATCGACCGGAACAGGCACCCAGAAAGGTAAGCGCCCCAAAACAAACCCCTATTCTGGTTAAAATTGCTACCTAATACCGAACTAGTGGATAGAACTCCCCAACCGAAAACAAGCAAATTAGTGTGACGTCACACACTGCCGCGCCGCTGTCTGCGCAGCTCCCCCCTCCCCGGGAGGGGGAAGGGGGAGCCCCAGACCCCCCGCGCCGGCTACCCACACCTCAGTTCTTGAGGCTGGATGTCAAAAACGCGAAAAACCGCCGACCGGAGGGAGGGAGGGATGCCGGGGAGCCTCCGGGACTCACCCAGAAAATGGCGTTTCATTACATTCAACGCTGGTTTTCTGGGGGGAGCCCCGTCGGCTCCCCGGAGCTAACTACCCACAGACAGAAAAAGAGGGACTTACCCGGGAGGCGGGCGTCGCTCACCCCTCAACTCGAAGCCGAGACAACTGGCTGCAACCGCCGACCCAAAGCAACACAGGCCCGACGAGGGCCAGGGACATTCACAAGGTAGCGAGCAGCCAGGACCCTGTTCGACCGCCAAAATCCCCGCGCCCGAATATCAGACCAAGACATATTCCCAAAGACGGCAGCAAGAGCCGCGAACTTACGAACGTCATGGGCACGGGGATAGACCGCAGGCTGGCTAGACCTAATAACCCTGCGGACGACCTGAGAGACCCGAACCCGCGAACAGGGAAGAAGGGAAACCGGATCAACCCACAGCGCGTCCCCGGACACAGAAGCCGTGGCGCGCAAATAACGGCGAAGCGCCGCAACCGGACACAAAACATGATGCACCCCCGGCCTGACCAACCAAGCATCAACCACCCATGGACCCCTCCGGAACGCAGCAGTCTCATTCTTCGCCAGAAAAGAAGGAGACGGCTGCAAACGAACAAAACTATCACCACGACCAAAAGAGCAGAAACCCCTGCGCCGGAGGAGAGCATGAAGCTCCCCTACCCGACCCCCAGAGGCCAAAGCCAACAAGAAAAGTGCCTTGGAAAAACAATCCTGGACCGAAGGGGCCACAACGAAACGAGGAGATGAAAGGAAAGCGAGCACTCTGTCCAAAGACCAGGACGGCTCAGGCGACGCATGAGCAGGCCGGAGGTGAAACAATGCACGAGACAGCTTGCGAAACGGCGCAGACGTAACATCGATACCGAAAGCAAGCTGAAGCGGCTCCGCCAGCGCCGCACGATACGAAGCGACAGTGTTAGGCATAAGATGACGGTCCTGAAACAACCACGAGAGGAAGGACAAGACCACCCGAACAGACAAGGAGCAAACACGACGAAGACGCAAAAAGAAACGGAAGGACCGCCAGGAAACTTCATACTGCCGCCGAGAAGAAGCCCTCAGGTGGGACACCAACAAGGAGGCCACCTGATCACCATAGAGATGATGATAGACTCGAGTCAAAAAAACCATACGCGAAGACTCGAGGAGAAGATCGAACCAGCTACGTGACGTACCGGCCCGATCTGCTGAAAGAGGCGGAGCCGCGGGAAAACCCTCGGGTTCGGACACCGAGCAACCAGCGCCTGAAACCAAGGCTGGGCCGGCCACCAAGGGGCCAGAAGGACAACTCTCCCCTGGTAAGTCTCTAAGCGAGTCAGGACCTGGAGCAACAGCCGAACTGGGGGAAAGAGGTACAGGAACCCCCACCTCGACCAGTCGAGCCGAAAGGCATCGACCCCGACGGCCTCGCAATCGGGGAAGGGCGCCGCATAAACGGGAAGACGCCGCGACCACGCCGACGCGAAGAGGTCCACCTCGGGGCGCCCGAACGTCTGGCAAAGCCAACGGAAGGACTCGTCGTCGACCGTCCACTCCGTGGAGAGGGGAACGAAGCGAGACAGGGCGTCGGCCAAGACGTTGGACACGCCCCGTACGTGAACCGCCAGGAGAGCCAAACCCCGAGAACTCAGCAGACGAGTCACCCGAAGCGACCAACCCCAAAGAGACAAGGACCGCATCGAACCCCCGCGGTTCAGGCAATGAACCACCGGAGAGCAGTCCGAATGGAGCCGAATCGTCGATCCGCGGGCCACCCGAATCCTCCCCAGAGCAAACCACACTGCCGCGAACTCCCGCACCGTACTGTGAGCTCGACGGAAGGACGGATCCCAACGCCCCTGGCCGGCCTGGTGAGCACTGGTCACAAAACCCCAGCCGAGAGACGACGCATCCGTGTACACATCGAGCGAGGGCTCGGGTAGGCGCCAAGGCACTGAACCCCGAAAAACCCGAAGAGGAAGCCGGTGACGCAGCAACCGACGCAAGTCCCCCGGGGGTCGAACTCTGCGATCGCGAGAGAGGCGGAAGGGGGAACCCCGAAGGAACCAGAACAGCCGTCAAAGCCAAACCCGACCCGGCGGGTAGACCACCATCGCGAAGTTCAGGCTCCCGCACAGCCCCTCGAGCAACCGCCGGGTGACCCGAGGGCCCTCCAGAAACAGACGAAGGCGGGACCGCAGCCGCAGGAGAGACTCCGGAGGGAGAGACAAGGAGGCGGTCCGAGAGTCCCACACGAGACCCAGCCAAGTCCGAACCTGAGAGGGAACCAGATGGGACTTCCTCCAGTTCACCAAGAACCCGAACCCGGCGAGCTGGGAAAGAACCAAATCCCTGGCTAGCAAGCAAGCTGACTGGCTGGGAGCCCAAACCAGCCAGTCGTCGAGGTAGGCCAACACCCGAACACCTAGGAGACGCAAACGAGCCACCACAACCCGTGTAAGGCGTGTGAACACGCGAGGTGCCAGGTTCAAACCGAACGGGAGACAACGAAAGCGGTAACTCAGACGCCCCACTACAAAACCGAGCCAGTCCCTGAACCGCGGATGAATCGGGACATGCCAATAAGCGTCCCGGAGGTCCAGGGACACCATCCAAGCACCCGGCTCCAAGAGGAGCCGAACCTGAGACAGCGTAGTCATCCGAAAGGAGGGGCAATGAACCCAGGGGTTCAGACGGGACAAGTCCAGAATGAACCGCAGGTCCGCGCAGTCCCGTTTCGGAACCGGAAACAGACGGGAAACCCATCTGAGGGACGACGTCGTTTCGACGACGCCCAAGCGTACCCACTCCAAGACGACTCGACAGAGCGCAGGGGAAGAAGCCTGCCCCGCCAGCCCCGACCCCCCAAAGGGGGGAGGGGCCACCCAACGCCACCGCAGGCCGCGAGACACGACCCGAAAGGCCCACGAATCGTGGGACCAGGCGCGGGCGAACAGCGCAAGCCGCCCCCCCATCGCCCCGTCAAAGGGGCAAACCGCGAAAGGGCCGGCGACCCTTACGAGACCCAGAACCCCGCACAGCGCGAACACCGCGCCGACCAGACGAGGGAGGGTCCGCAGGAGGAGCCAACCCCAAACCTGACACCAGAGGCCTACCACGACGAGAGGAACCCCGAGCCCTGGCACGACCTTTCCGGGAAGACCCACCCCGGGACCCCCGGAAAACCAACAAGTCCGACATCGGACGACAAGCCGCCGACGCAGCCTGAATAAACTGCGCCACGGCCGACTCCCCAAACAGGAGAGGACAAAAAGGTGAAGAACGCCTAAGAGCCAGAGCCCAAGCAGATTCCACGGAGGAACCCAGCACTGCCTGCCGACACGCGAGACGGGAAGCATAGAACAGGGAAACCGCATCCCGCAAAATCGGCGTGAACAGCTTCAACAAGGCAGCCGACGAACGCGCAGCCGAGGACAAGGTGCCGGACCCCGGGACGGACCCAAGCGTCCCCACATCCTCCACGAGCCAATCCGAAGACAGCTCCAGGAGGGAAAAGAACCGCAAGGCCGAACACAAAAGGCCCCGAGCGCGCAAGTCCTCCGCCACGAGCGCCGCCGAAAGGGAGGGAACCTGCACATGGAGCTGAATAACGCCCACATCGCGGGGAAGGGCAGGGGCAAACAAGCACTCATTCAGGTACTCAAGTTCACCCCCCAGGAAAACCTGAAGCACCGTGGAAGCTTCCCGCCACTCCAGCGCGCGGGAACGACAGAAGGAATGCCAGGAATCCAGACCAAACAAGGGGCAGTCTGCTAGCCAGGATGACTCCGGAACCTCGTAACGGAGCCAGAAAGGGAACGAAGTCCCAAACCTGAACGTGGACGGATCCATTTCCGAGGCATAATCCGGGTCACGCAGGAGGTAAGCTGCAAAGGCCGCGCGCACCACACCAGGTTGGATGCGATAAGCCGAAAACCTCCTGAAGGACGGAACCGACGTACCCGGGGGAACACGGAACCGTACCCGGGGAGGGGCCGACACCAAATCCAACTCGTACGCAGAGGGGGGGAAAGAAAACCCCACTCCTTGTAACAATAAGCCCCGCTCAGTGGGAAGAAAAACCCAGGCGGGGTCCAGCGGGGCCCAAGGCCCCCAAGTCAGCCCCTCCCCAGCCTCGAGGTCCGTCACCACAGGACCCGAGGCCGAGTCCTCTCCCCAAGCCCCGACCCCACAAGACAAGGACGGAGCAGCCGGAAAAGCTGGAGGAAGGGGGGCCCACTGGTCAGACCCTGAAGCTTCGGCCGGGAGACAAGACTCGAATGCCTCTGCCGCCCCCCCGGAAGGGGCAACCCCCGAAGCTGCCCGAGTCTCGAGATCAAGTAACCCCTGCTCCGACCCCGAAACCCTCAGACGCTTCGGGGCCGGAAGCAGGGGCGGGGGACCAGAACGAACAGAAGGGGAAGGACGAGGAGGTGCGGACTGAACCAGGATCGAAGCGACCCCCACCCCCAAGTCCGGGTCTCGAAAAGCAAAGCGGGGCAGCCCCGGGGCATCCGGGGAAGCAACCAACCGAGCGCGTTGCAACAGACGAAACCTAGACTGCAACGCACGTGCCGCCTGTACCCGAAGAGAATCATCAGAGGATTGGGTAAATTGAGTCACAAGCAAGCAGCAACACTCACAGGACTCAGGGTCGAAAGTATCACCGACCCAACAGGCAGCGTGGCAGAGGCAAAAACAATGAGGGTCACCCTGAGACAAGGGGACCGAGCAACCCTCAAACTCGCACACAGCGAGTGGGGACTCCGGGGTCACATCCATCGGACCCACGCGCCCCCTAGGGGATTCCCAGGGTCCTGAGCGTTTACTTTAAGAGGACTCGCGCTCAGGTAGTCCCAGGCAGGGTGCTGCAAACCGGCGCCCAAAACTACCAAGCAAACTTCTAAAGCTGAACCCCAGGGACGTGTACACTCACGGGGACCTAGCAGGGGGCGCCACCGAGGAGAACAGTGGAAGGGCAAAAACAAACTGAATAAAATGACAGAACCCCCCACCAGGCAAAAAACAAAAAGAAAAACAAAACCCCGCAAGAGGACAGCGAACCCCAAGGAACAGAGCCGGCCGCGATGTCGGGAATTACAAGCTGAGCAGCACCCTGCGCCCCTACCAGTGCAAACTGCCTCTTACCTGCCGGTAACAAGGGAGAACAGAACACCCAAGAGCCCAACAGGCGGCCGAAAAACCGAAAGGTAAAACGGACCAGCAGAGGCAGACCCCGAGGAGCCTGTGGAAGGTGGCCCCAAGCCCCAAGGGCAGTACTTACAGGGCACCTAGGGAAGGCAGCCCTAGGCGCATGCAGCCCGAGTACTGAAGATAACTCCTGGCTCTCGCACCCACAAAACTAACACCACACTCAAAGCACAGTGCAGTAGCGACACCGGAGCCAGAGCACACGACCACCGCCAATAGCATCAGCCTCAAGAACTGAGGTGTGGGTAGCCGGCGCGGGGGGTCTGGGGCTCCCCCTTCCCCCTCCCGGGGAGGGGGGAGCTGCGCAGACAGCGGCGCGGCAGTGTGTGACGTCACACTAATTTGCTTGTTTTCGGTTGGGGAGTTCTATCCACTAGTTCGGTATTAGGTAGCAATTTTAACCAGAATAGGGGTTTGTTTTGGGGCGCTTACCTTTCTGGGTGCCTGTTCCGGTCGATGGCAGACATAGAATGCTTCCAACTACACGGGGCTTCTATAGGCCATTGCTCCCCTTGCCTCTCTGAGGGGGCCCGGTTCTGGCCGTGGTCCCCGGTAGGCCTAAGAACTCCATACACATGACTGATGCCAAAGTCTGACATTAGCATATCAGCCTGGGATAGCTCCGGGGAGCCGACGGGGCTCCCCCCAGAAAATGGGTATGAAAAATTCTGCAGCATAATAATTTTGCTATGAAAAAAGCATCTCTTGTCTATCTGACCCCTCTGGGAACTCCCTCGTTAAGAAGGTAATCATATGTAGAATTTTCTCTACAGACATCACATATTACATCATGAATAAAAGATATGTTAAAGGTCTTCTGGCCACACACTTCCCTGATCTTCACACTGTATAAGTGAAGAATGGTAATACAGTATATGGATAAAGTTACAGCAAAAACTGAATAAAAATACTGTAGTGTATTGTCCTAAAATTATTAATCTGAACACAGGAACCTTTCCACTGTTCAAACACCTTGACATCAAACATCACACCAAATCCAGCAACAGCATTACACTCTCCTGCTCTTGCAAATATTTGATTTATGAATGAAAATACAAAATAATGCAGCCCAAGTACAGAAGCCTATCACAGTTCACAAAGAGAGTAAGAAATATGAAGATAGAAGAAGATAAATCCTGCATGGTGTTTGTATGGTTTGAATCCTGTCCTGATGTTGGGATATAGGGATAAAAGATTCATAACTGCAGCATCACACTTTAAAAGTCAAAGGTTAAATTACGTACCAATGCACATTACCGACACATAGTTAATCACTTCTCTCCGCACAAGATCAAACATGGCATTTGTAGGTTGTTTAACAATAATGGGAGCTCGTGGTATCTTGGTGGGGTCTTTAACGAGGAAACCATACTCGTGATCTCGCTCGGTCGACTCATCAATCAACATGTCGATGTTAGCTTGAGGTATCTCACAGATGTAAAGGAGGGGTTCCTCACCATCAACCATCAACAAACCCCACTCTTTGTGTCGATATGAATAGCTGTGAGAAAAAATGTACAATAATAAATGGTATTTAAGTATGACAGTTCTCTATCAGACAATTTTTGTATTTGATGATGCACTGTGATTTAATCCATTTTGTATATACTGTATATATAAAAAAACAAAAAGTCACATTAGAGTGCTACCTACTATATCGCAGGATATACCACCATCTGCAAATGTCATCTCACAAAAGGTAAACACTATGCACGTGTAGTGTTTCACATTTATCTTTAGGATCACAACTCTGTTCTGGGGATTCTCTCTCCTTTTTAACTTTTGTTCTTAATTTCTTAATTACATCATGTAACAACTTTTGTCCCTGGATAGCAAGTGTTATTTTCTTATTGTTTATGCCTCCAAAGTATAGAAAATGACTTATTCCTCTCAAACTTTGCACTAACCTTTGCCTCAGACAACTTAGCGAAGACGTCTTGAAGGTTACTTGAAGGCTGCACACTCCTTATTTAGAGCTGTGATATGCCACAGCTCTACATAAGGCGTTTGTGATGTCACAGGTCTAGATAAGTAGTCTGCAGCCTTCAAGTAACCTTTAAGACATCTTCCCTAAGCTGTCTAAGACAAAAGGTCAGTGCAAAGTTTGAGGGGCATAACAGTCATTTTCTATATCTTGGAGGCATAAACAATTAGACAATAACACCCACTTTCCAGGGATAACAAAGAAAAATTGTTACAGTGTTACACAAAAAAATTCTTTACACAAAAAAATTCTTAACCATTTGTTGCATCTACTCTCTTTCCACATACTTTTTAACCAATGTTTTCACTTATCCACACCTTGCATTCCCAATCTTCTCTCAACATGCTCCATCCTCTTGGACTGATCTGTAGAGCAATGGCCTTGCAGGTCAGCATTTGATTCCCGATGGTTCAAGTGGTTGGGCACTGTTCCTTGTCTCCATGTCTTTCCAATGGCTTGGTGCTCTCTCCTGATAATTATCTTGTCTTTCACCATGCTGTCTACCCTATCCTTAATTTCATCTCTACTACATTCTATAGTGTAGTACAACTTATTTTATCCAGACTTGACAGGGAGGAGTGTCACCTCAATATGGCAACTATGTCAGCAGTGCAATTTCTCATCATGCCAATTTTATGATACATGCTCTGCCAATATCTGTCTCACCACTCTAATGGTAAACTATACATTGTTTTACCAATATACATTACCATTCATATTGTAAACTAAATGTTATTCAATTATGAAAAAAATACAGATACAGATGGTTAACTTTCTTTGTCAGAAATGAGAACTGTACCCAACTGAGAAAAAACAAATCATCCATCATGTGAAATTTGACCAATACCAATACAGTACTGAAAAAATAAGCCAATACTACCGATACTGAAACAATGTGCACAGCCAATACTTTTATAAGATTAATTATCTTAAAAGATGGTACAGTTTAATAGGACTAGATACTGCCTGTAATGTACACTAACAAGCATTATTAACACAGAAACTGAAGACAATGTTGAAAAATGCATACATAGGTTAATCAGCTGGCAGAAGGATCAAGTCGCAAACAGTTGAACGATTCTGTTTTTCACACTAACCTGTAAGCAAGGAAATTTTTAGTAGGGCCCGAGCCTTGGTTTGGCAGAAATGCTTCCATCATATCTTGAAATGAAGTGCCATCACCTGCATTTTCCCAAAAGTTTGGGGTCTTCTGGAAGCCTGAAGTGTACCATTCTCGCTGGAGGGGGTCATTCTCGTGCAGGTGGCGTGTGAGGAACCCATGCTCTTCTTTATTGCTCACACTCACCAAGTCCGAACCGTCACCATATGCCTAAAAATACATGAATGTTTGGTCACACGTTAAAACCCTAACATCACATGTATGCTACATGTTGACACTAGCATTTTAAAACATGCTGTTGCATCTTTAGTACCGTATGATGTAATATGATTAGAATTCTGTCATACTTTGACTACAATATAGTATTATATTCCAGTAAAGTTGTTATTATAAAGTACAGTACTGTATATTATCATATTATAATTATCATTATTATTTGTTGTACTAATTATTCCTACAACTAAAGTATTGCAATATATGCAATGAAAACTAGTCAGAACAAAGTTTCATAGATTTGTGCTTTTATACTCCTGGGGGGACCTGATGAATGACTTGGGGGTCAGTAGAGACCAAGTTGGAATAATAAAAGTATATTACTCCAACTATATTATTACACTAAAGTAATAATATTCCACCCCTAATATAAACCACAACAGCAGCTGGTGAGTCACAATAACGTGGCTGAAGGTATGTCCAAGCTACACATCAGAAAATGAAGAATCTATGACATTATGGTCCGTCCTCGACCATTATCAAGTTGACTGAATACAGTAAAGGTAAATACATTATCAAGTTGACTTGATAATGGTCCAGGATGGGCCAGTACATCATCGTTTCTTCATTTTTTGATGTGTAGTTTGGACATCATAAACCACAGAAAATCCCAGGAGTGAGGATAAATATGGATGTGCTCCATTATGTATCCAGTAAATCTATGGATATTAAACATGTAAGCAGGAAAAAAAAAAGAGATCTGTTAAGGTAGTGACTTGCCTTGCACTGTGCTCTTGCCTGTTCTCTTGTTTTCACTGGTGAACGAATAAATTTATAGCACGAGGTCCTGTGAGTGAACCAGTTTGTGGGACATTTCTTATCTTCCTTTTCCTCCAATAAAGGATCCTTCAAGAGCGTGTTGAAGCTCTGCCCGACTATTGTACTCACGGCCCAAAGGCTCACAACCACTCTTAACAGCATGGTACTGTAACAAGTTAATCTTATTTATTATCCTTAATATATAAACCATATGAGTAATATGTTACATTACAAACAAATTTCTTATATATAACATCCTTTTAAATAGCAATCTCTACCTGCCCAAAACACGATTCATGTTAGTAGCTTTGCAAGAATGTAAGAACACCAATGTAAATAAAATTATTTACCTAATATTCTTAGGTTATGTGCTAACCCTCCTCCCCCCCCCCCAAAAAGTGTTCATAGTAAAAGCTTATGAAATACTGTACAGTAGCTATACTATACACACATCGTGCTTAACAAATATTGATATGTTCCATCCTGCAGCAGGACCCACAGTCATACTTTGAGAAAGCTACTATTTACTCTGCATGAAAAATCAGTGGCACACTTCAGTAATCTTTTTACCAATGAATGACATCCTTGATGCCTACAATTCTTATGAAGGTTAATGTTTTGATAACACCTTATCACTCAAGTGTAGAAGATAACCTATATACGAGTGCCAGTCATTTTACACCTCTTCAAAGTTGAACAGGTTATGTATACCTGTACATGTAAAAGATAAGCATTAAAATGAATTGGAAAACTAAAAAAAATAAAAAAACTGTGGAAAGAACTTTTAGCTGTAACAGTTACTGGTCAGACAAGGCAAATTCAGAAATTTAGAGTACTTTACCATATTGTGATCCGTGAAAATCATGCAAATTTAAAATTATGCTGCTTTATAATATACAAAATATTTACAGCTAAATTTCTAGGCATTGTATTTGGCTACTTGTTCAGACTACTTGTATTTGGCTAGGTAAGGGTTCATTATTTAAAGGATTGACCTTGACCAGATGCTTCAGGCAAGGGTAATTTATCTTTTTCTCAGTAAAAAGAATCTTTAAAATATAATTTATTTTGCATTTTATTACTTTTGTAAACCAACACTATATATACAACATGCCTCACTCATTCTCAATGTGTATCATGTGAAGTGTGTCCAGTATGAATTATAGCAACATGCATCTTATCCCTACTAGAGCTAACCATTGAAATCATTCCCACACCCTACATGCTAAGGATCTTCCCTGTAAGTTTCATCAGTTCTTAACCTTATTTACTGACCGAGTGAGAATCTTCCCCTCTTCCCAGCTGGCTAGAGCATCTTGTCACACAGCTCTCAATACTAAAAACTCTTGCTCCACAGCAAGTATATTGATCATGTGCAGATAAATTACAAGAGAAACAAAATGCTAATGGATAATTCTTTGTAAAGAAAAAGAAAACATTTCTGAGAAGAGTGGTAGATGTTCCTAACCTTAAACAGAATAATAAAAAACCAAGAGAAGTTGTGCTTCATAATTGCTACTCCTTAAAAACCTAACCTATCCCAACAAAATTTGATAAATTAATGTTTTTAATATATCCACAATCGGTTCACAACTGAAAGGTCCAAAGTATGATTTGCACGGCAGGACAGAGACATTCACATTTCCATTAGCTTGGTATTTATATTTACTTAGCAGAAAACAGGTATCTAGAAGTTAGGTAACTATTGCGGGTTGTTTTCTGGGGAAGATTAGTACAGGAGTTGGTCTAAGAGGACCTGGACATGCTTAGCAGGCTTTCTGCCCCAATGCCGTACTCAGTACAAATACAGTACAAATATATTGTATTTGTACAGTCAAGTAGGATACAAAAACGTGCAAACAGTTTTACCATCCAATGTCATTGCTAATCTTTAAACAACTTATTCTATCCTAACCTAATATACTGTATTTTAACATTATTCTAACCTATTCTATTTCATTCTATCCTATCCTAACCTAACGGAAATAAATAATTATTGTAGCTATAGTGTACGAGAAGTGTTGCGTTATAGTTTTAACTTTAGGAACCATCATGGGACGTCACTATGGAGTTCTATCAGGACGTGAGATGAATACCACTCCTCACTACTACCTCTCTATCCTACCGTGTCGCCGCCGCCATATACTGCACCACTCACTCCTAAGTCATCTATATAACTCAACTAGCTAAGATAGTGTTACAATGAGGTAAAGGAACAATGAGAGACTCACAGAGGTGGCCCTGAGTCGCCACACCTTGATCACCTGTGTTTTGAAAACAAACTCCTCCGAATCCCTCACTTTACTGACCTTCTCATTTCTTCACAACTAAATGAAAAAAATATACGTTTATTTAATAACCGTATCGAAAGTTGTTGTTATTTAAATTATTATATTATATAAATTGATTATAAATGTACTGTTTTTAATCGATTTATGTTGATTCATTTTTATTACTGTGTCGGATTGGGATGCGGGTGTACAGGTAAGGGAACGGAACAAAGGTGAGGAGGAACGCGGAATGGAACAGCCTCATTAACGAGGGTCTTCCGGAGACCTAATTTTAGATCCATTATTTACTAATGAATAGATAATGTAGGCGCTCAGCTCATTTTGCACCGAGTGCAAAATGGAGTAGGCCTACTTGAATAAAACTGCTTGCCATTGCCTGAATTTACCTGAAATTACCAGAGGGCAAATTACCTAACACTAGTGGCATCGATGAGGACAGGAAGCTGGTGGCTTGTCAAAGGTGCCCCCATTTGCCCTAATGATCGTTTCCAGTTGGATTTCAAAATTTAACAGCGTTTTGGGGGTTTTGCCTTTTTTTATAAGTCCTAATCCCTTTATTCTGTTCTGTTACTTTGAAGTACATGTATTACACATACAAGAGCTTGCAGGTGTGGCATAACAACCCTTCACGACTACCACATCAACAACATTACCTTGCAGCAGATTGACGAAGAAAAAGGACCTTGGAGTCAGGTGAATCCATCATTCACTCAAAGTGTCACAACAGGTGGGAGCAGCAGTACAAAAAGCTAACCAAACCCTCGGGATAATCCAGCGTACCTTTGACTTTAAGGAAAACAAGGTGGTGATTCAACTGTATAAATCTCTAGTGCGCCCTCCCCCCACTTCGATTACTGGAGCCAAGCATGGAGACGTCGTCTTCAGGACATAGCTGCTGGAGAAAGTTCAACACCTGCCAACTAAAATCCTCCCAGATCTAAGTCAATTCTCACACCGGGGAAGGTCGAGGGCCTCGGGGCCAAGAACACTGCACACCAGCCATGACAGGACGGATCACAATGAAACATTTAATATACTGACCAATTTGGAGGATGATGATCCAGACAATGTCTTCAAAAGGTCAGATGTAACAACCAAGGTGCAACGGTTTCCAGCTCAACAAACCACAATGTAGGACAGAGAGCAGAAGACCTTTCCTCTCAAGTTGTCACGTCACAAAACAATTATGTATTACATTGTCCGAACCTCACCTAACCTAATCGACGGATCCACGGATAGAAAACGTTATTATCTGTCAGCCATTATGATTTATAGTACATCATGTTTTGTCCGTTGGGGATGCTGAAGTCAAACCGTAATATATTTTTCGAGAGGACTGCATTTCAAAATCCAGCTAGAAAAAAATCATTAGGAATATGGGAGACATTTGACCAGCCGCCGACTTGTCCTGTCTGACCTTTCAGGTAAATTCAGGAAAAGAAAGTCTTTATCAAAAGAATGAAGGCGCCTGGAGGCCACACAGCACCGTCTCCTGAAGGCTATTCAAGAGTTCCAAAACATCATCCAAGACGACAAAAGACAAAAGACAGTCGAGTTAACGTTATCAGATGCTCCGTGGAGTTTATCCCCATGAAACAAAGGCAGCAAGTTTATTTTATGGAATTATTTATATTTATTTAATGGAATTTTCTTTTCTTGTTTTTTTTATAGATCTTAAAGTCGAATTGTATTTTAATAAGCACTCTCTAAACTTTTGCATAGGGTCAGAAATTCATTCTTCATGCTTTTGTTGACCCAGCTGGTGGTGGTACTTTTGTTGACCCAGCTGGTGGTGGTACTTTTGTTGACCCAGCTGGTGGTGGTGCTCTTGTAGACCCAGCTGGTGGTGGTGCTCTTGTAGACCCAGCTGTTAGTGGTACTTTTGTTGACCCAGCTGGTGGTGGTACTTTTGTTGACCCAGCTGGTGGTGGTGCTCTTGTAGACCCAGCTGGTGGTGGTGCTCTTGTAGACCCAGCTGTTAGTGGTACTTTTGTTGACCCAGCTGGTGGTGGTACTTTTGTTGACCCAGCTGTTAGCGGTACTTTTGTTGACCCAGCTGGTGGTGGTACTTTTGTTGACCCAGCTGTTAGTGGTACTTTTGTTGACCTAGCTGTTAGTGGTACTTTTGTTGACCCAGCTGTTAGTGGTACTTTTGTTGACCCAGCTGTTAGTGGTACTTTTGTTGACCCAGCTGTTAGTGGTACTTTTGTTGACCCAGCTGTTAGTGGTACTTTTGTAGACCCAGCTGTTAGTGGTACTTTTGTAGACCCAGCTGTTAGTGGTACTTTTGTTGACCCAGCTGTTAGTGGTACTTTTGTTGACCCAGCTGTTAGTGGTACTTTTGTAGACCCAGCTGTTAGTGGTACTTTTGTAGACCCAGCTGTTAGTGGTACTTTTGTAGACCCAGCTGTTAGTGGTACTTTTGTAGACCCAGCTGTTAGTGGTACTTTTGTAGACCCAGCTGTTAGTGGTACTTTTGTAGACCCAGCTGTTAGTGGTACTTTTGTTGACCCAGCTGTTAGTGGTACTTTTGTAGACCCAGCTGTTAGTGGTACTTTTGTAGACCCAGCTGTTAGTGGTACTTTTGTAGACCCAGCTGGTGGTGGTGGGCCGGCTCTCTTACCACCACCATATAACACGTACTCTTCACCCCGACATAATATTCTTGCTGGGATACCAATTATCTGCCAGGAGCAAATGCCGTATATTTTCCGTTGGGTTCATCAGCATGTTAATTAGTCCCCAGGAAAATACACACACACGCCAGCTGGCCTCACCTGACTCCCCCTTGGGATTTTCTCTCTATTCCCTGGAATACGAAGATGATTTAAATCGTAAATCTAAATCCAAAGGCATAATAATCTCATTATTATCGTAAACCTCAATTTTCAACATTTGGGTTAGCTTGGAATGTGATGATATATTGGAAAACAATGGTTGGTGACCTGTTTCAAGTACCTGAATTTACCTGAGGGCCACCATCTCTTTTTACTAGCAGCGATAGGAACAGGATGTCGGCGGCTTGTCAAAGATCTACACCCATTGCGTCAGAAGATTTTTTCAAGTGGATTTTGAAGTGCATTAATGTCTTGGCAGGTACGGCTTTGGCGGGTAGGAGGTTCCATGGCTTTATAGCAGGGAATGAGTCTTAAACATGCGGCTTTAATAGTCAAAGTGTGATATATATGGTGTGATATCCCTGGAATTTTTCGTGATCGTAAGAATATATAATCTGGGATATCCATATAGGTGCTCCAGTGCTTCTTAATAATACCTGTTATGAGAAGCGGAGGCGGGAAGCAGAGAGGAAGAAGAGAGGAAGAACGAGGGGAGGCACGATACAAGGGGAAAATAAAATAAAAATAGAAAATAAAGAGAAAACAAAGAAAAGAATGCAAATTTCAGAAACGCCCATACAGCTGTTTCAGTGCTTTACAATAACACATTTTCTGAGAGAACGGGAGAGGGCGAGGGGGGGTGGGGAAGTGGGTGAAGGACGGGGAAGGGGCCATCAGCCACCAGCCAGGATATTACCAGGCTTGTTGATGCCAGCAGGAGAGAGAGAGAGAGAGAGAGAGAGAGAGAGAGAGAGAGAGAGAGAGAGAGAGAGAGAGAGAGAGAGAGAGAGAGAGAGAGAGAGAGAGAGAGTGAGAGAGAGAGAGAGAGAGAGAGAGAGAGAGAGAGAGAGAGAGAGAGAGAGAGAGAGAGAGAGAGAGAGAGAGAGAGAGAGAGAGAGAGAGAGAGAGAGAGAGAGAGAGCCGTCATTCACTCCTCGGCTGACTGGCATCTGGAACTTGTTCACTCAACAGGCTGATTCACGGGAGATCAGGTCAACTGATCACATGAACGCTCTGGCACACAGCTGGCTACTGGCTCATCGTTACTTAATAAAGTTCATTCCTAATGGTACATATAATAGGCTAATAGGCTCATGAAATAAGTAGGTCTCTAGGAGGAGGCTTCAACTCAGCTCAGGTATGATAACAGCTCTTGCTTGCAGTTTCACCAGGTACGCCATTCGAGAGACCTTCTCTATTAGAGCCTAGTAAGCTCAACACTTAGGAGGCGTTGACACTACACCCGCATGGTGCAATAGTCGTATTAATTGTGGGTAATGTACCTTGAGAAACTGGTGTTGTTCTGTACTACCCACACCCTACCACCAGGGTGGTGGACCCACACCCTACCACCAGGGTGGTGGACCCACACCCTACCACCAGGGTGCTGGACCCACACCCTACCACCAGGGTGGTGGACCCACACCCTACCACCAGGGTGGTGGACCCACACCCTACCACCAGGGTGGTGGACCCACACCCTACCACCAGGGTGGTGGACCCACACCCTACCACCAGGGTGGTGGACCCACACCCTACCACCAGGGTGGTGGACCCACACCCTACCAGCAGGGTGGTGGACCCACACCCTACCACCAGGGTGCTGGACCCACACCCACACCCTACCAGCAGGGTGGTGGACCACACACCCACTTCTATACACCCTCCTCGCGCCTCCACTTCTAAATTCCTTCACCAATATTCATGGAGAGTTAAATCTATATGTAAATGTGCGACTGTTGAGCAGGTGGCCAGTGTGTCGCTGGCAGGCAAGGAGGCAGGTCGTCTCCCGCGCTCTCCACCACTTCTGCCTTACGCCTTAATAACTATTCTCATTTATGCCGTCAAGGATGTATTATATGGCATATAGGATGTATTATATGGCATCCAGGATGTATTATATGGCATCCAGGATGTATTATATGGCATCCAGGATGTATTATATGGCATCCAGGATGTATTATATGGCATCCAGGATGTATTATATGGCATCCAGGATGTATTATATGGCATCCAGGATGTATTATATGGCATCCAGGATGTATTATATGGCATCCAGGATGTATTATATGGCATCCAGGATGTATTATATGGCATCCAGGATGTATTATATGGCATATAGGATGTATTATATTGTATACAGGATGATGTTGCTCATCCTCTGGATTTT